AAAAAAAAAAAAAAAAAAGAGGAGGGGGGTCCGTCGAGAAACCGGAAAAAAAAGAAGGAAAGAAAAGAAAGAAAAGAGTCTGAAAGGGAAAAGGAAAAAAAAATGGTTGGCGAACAGAATACAAGAAGGCGATCTGAAGATCTCCAAAGTGAGCACAAAGACGGATCAGAATTTCGGCACCTCCATGAGATGATAATGGATCTAACGCAGAAGCAATTTGAGGAGGTTTGATATTGGCATTTCGCTGCTCTCTTTAGTCGGATGCTTCGTTGTTGCACTCCTTACAGCAGCAATTTGGAGATTGATAATTTAGTAGCGATAGAGCATTAGTGCTAGGTCGATTGTTAGTGACTGCGGATTCAATAAACAGCAGATCTGTGAAAATCTATGCAGCTAATAGCTCTTGAAATGCAAAAGCGATTTTGTTATTTTGTGTCATACATGTATATTCATCTTGGAGGATGTTGACACGAAAGAGCGCAAAGGAAATTGAAGTCCGGCGCTGAGTGTACTCCAACTGTTACCCGGTGACGATGACGAGCCAACGTCAGCAGCTTGAGTTACATTGGTTGGTAGCGAGTTGGAGGGTCCGACTGTGACAGCTCCGGGGTCGGGTCTTGTTCCGCCATCATTGCGCATTATCGCTGCCACCGTTGATCACAATAACACTACCCTGTACGGTGGTAAAAGTCGAGAGAAAATATTATTTACATACGTTTCGATTGGGTGGTTAGCATTCAATCCCGAGCAAATTATCCTTTTGCGCCAATCTCCGTCCGGCCATACCAGGACAATCTACACGCGACGTCCTGAGCTCCAACAACATACCGTCTAGGTCATTGTACGTCGCTCGATTGGTCTTGACGCCAAGCAGTACTTTTCCCTTGGATTATTTCACCAAGGCCATCATTCTTCATACTATTCTTCTGCTCTGGATTGAACGTGTCCGTGTCGCCATATCTTCGTTCGACTTCACGACACTGGTACTCTACGTCCAGACATCTTGTACCAGCTGCAATCAACATATTATTCACGAAACTCGAACCAGTCTATCATATATTATTCTCCGCGCTTAAAAGGCCATATAAGACAGCCTTCCTCTGCCTTTCGTTTCTGAGACCCGCGCATCCATCGACCAGGCTCACATACTTCGAACCCCCTTTTCCACCCGACCAACCTTAAAATGTCCGGCGCCAAACGCATAGAACAATGGGAGGTGGAGCGATATTGGGAGATCTTTTCGTCACTATCCAACGGCGGAAAGTATCTTAATGGCACGCAGGCCGCTTCGGTGCTCAAGAACTCGCAGCTGCGCGACGATCAGCTGGAGCGGGTCTGGGATCTAGCGGATGTGGATAATGACGGCAACCTGGATTTTGAGGAATTCTGTGTTGCCATGAGATTAATTTTCGACTTGGTCAATGGGGTGGGTACATGTTTTCTTTTGGTGGCTAAATTGACTCGCTGTATAGAGTGTGGGGGTCTCTGACGGCGCCTCTACACTCTCACGCAACTAGGAATTTGCAAGGAGAAGGACGATAATGCTAATATCCTCGCCAGGAACTCAGAGACGTCCCACCACAACTCCCCGACTGGCTTGTGCCCGAGTCGAAAGCCCACCTCGTCCAAGCAAACCGCGCCCTGACCGGCCGACAGCCCCAGTTCGAGCGAGTAGAAGACGACGAGGACGATACTCCCGGCCTCAAGGACGGATTCGACTGGTACATGAGCCCGGGCGACAAGTCCAAGTACGAAGAAATCTACACGGCCAGCAAGGACAGCCGTGGTGAAGTTTCTTGTACGTTCACCATTCCTCCCCCCCTCTCTTCTCCTCCTCTACCTCACAATCCAGCCCTTTTACCACTCTTTTCGTACTAACATATCGCAGTCGACTCCCTTGAACCGCTGTACTCCTCTCTCGACGTCCCCGACACCGACATCCGCTCTGCATGGAACCTGATCAACCCATCCGCGTCGCCGACCATTTCAAAAGACGCCACGCTCGCATTCCTCCACATCCTGAACCACCGCCACGAAGGCTTCCGGATTCCACGCACCGTATCTGCCTCTCTGCGCGCCAGTTTCGAGCGCAACCAAATCGACTACAACGTCGAGCGGGTCTCGACTCCCACTGCATCTTCCCAAAAACCAGGCTACGACGACTCCACAAGTACAGGCCGCAAGGCCAAATTCGGCGACACGTACCTATCCCGCCTCGGCGTCGGAGGCCGCAGCACGTACCGGCCCACCGGCACAGACTTTAGCCAGACGAAATCGACCGACGCCGAGTGGGAAGAGGTGCGGCTCAAGAAACAGCTCGCGGACCTGCAGGACAAGATTGACAAGGCGGAAAACGCAGCGGCCACGCGCCAAGCCGTCAATGGTGGCGGCCGGCGCCGCGAGGACCGCTCCAAACCGGCCCTGGTCAAGCGCGAACTCGAGCAACTTTTAGATCACAAGCGTCGAGAACTGCGCGAGCTGCGCGACGGCCAGGGGAAGAGTAAAACCGGCGCAAATCTGAAAGCGATTTCTGACGAGATTGGCACAGTGCGCGAACAGGTCGACGGGCTAGAGTCGCATTTGAGAACAAGACAGGATGTCTTGGAGCAAGTGAGGAGAGAGATTGACGATTTGAAGGCTCAGAGATAGTTTAGCATGTAGTTGTAGTTGTAGTTTGTAGTTTATACTTATTAGTTTTATTTAGTCCAGTAGATTATTTTATTCTATTCTATTTCTATTTTCTATTTTCTATTTCCTTTTTGTTATTAATTTCATTTCTATCCTACTTTCCTGAATCTCTTTTCTTGTTCTCCTTTATTTTCTTTCTTCTCTTTTCTTTGTTCTTTCTTTTTTTCGCTTTTCTTATTTTTTTTTTTTTTTTGTTTTTTCACTTTCATTGTTACTTTTTCTTCTTTTGTCCCTGAATTTACTCTTTCCTCTTACTACTAGTTATAGCACATTCTTATAACTTAGCTGCTGCCCGCTGCCCGTATGATCAATTCAATATCAACCTTAAATTTACTCTTTCCTCTTATCCTCCTGAAAAAGGCCTTACGGACTGGTTGATTTAGCTGTAAATAAGGTACTGTCTTTACAATACAGCACAGCACCATACAGCACAGTACAGTACAGTACAGTACAGAGTGTCAGAGTTAGCTGTGTACGGGATTTCGCCAGGGCCTAGGGCCCAGGGCCCAGCAATGTACAACGAGGTGCAGAGCAGCAGAAAAGACGTAAAACGTAAACGTTAAATGGTAAATATAAACCAGTAAAATGTAAACAGTAAACAGTGAACGCGTCTAGACTCTACGTATATCCGTATATCCGTATATCCGTATTCCTGGTTTGTAGGACAGTAGGACTGTACTAGGTACCTACCTAGGTAAGGTAAGGTAGGTAGGCTGTAGCCACACCGCCAGGTTGCACTACCAGGCTGCATTGCGGTATATATCACTACCATTACTTTGTATATATTCTGCATGATCACAAAGATAGAATAAAATAAAATAAAATAAAACGAAATAAAAGATAGAGAGGGAAAAAGAGGGGGGAGAGGTGGGGGAAAATAAAAGCCAAAGAAAAGGAGGGGAAAAGAGGGGAAAAGGCGATGTTCCAACTTGGCTTATTACGTCCACGCGATTCGTCCATTATGTAAATGTAGCGATTGATTGATTCAATTGTTATTGAATATATATTGAATAAATGTGTACCGAAAGATGAAACATGACGAGTTATAGTACGATGGTATCTAGAAGGTCCCGAGTGGGGGGAAAGAAGAAAGAGAAGAAGAAAAAAACACAGTGGGCAAAAAGGAAAAAAAGTCCAACTAGGAACATTGCCCGATAAACTCCATTGCTCCAACTCCAATTATTTCTCTGCCAGGTAGAATATACACAGGACAGTAACGTAATATATAAACATATCCACGGTCCCGGCGAGTGTGAATTTCGATATTGACCTTAGGCAACCTTTGGGGTGTCCGCTATGAGAAACGCCCAATAGAGTCCCATCTGGCAGTTCAGTCTATCGGTAAATCGAATCGCGCTTTGTCGAGATGGTGTGCATGGGAATCTTATTCTCGTTGTCTTCGACTCCTTGGGACATCGAGTGCGAGTCAGACCCGGCATAGATGCGTGTTGTTGTAGCAGCTCCCAGACCATCGTTGTCGACGTCGTCGTCTCGCTCGTCATATTCGTCGGTAGTTGTACTCATGCCAGCAAGGTTGAGACTCTTGGTGCGGCTCCTGCGGTTTCCACCGCTGCCGGGCAGACGAACAAAATTGTCCCGATCGCCAGAAGTCGCGCCGTTGGATTTTCCAGTGCCGCCTGTGCCGCCAGTATCGCCGGACGAGCCTTTGCCACCGGACGCGCGGCTGAAGAGGCGAGGGAATAGAGTACGGAGTAGAGGCCGCAAAGTAGGGAGACAGGCGCAGACGATGCCAATGCAGGGCTCGACGCAGGACCAGATGAAGGACTGTGCCATGTTCCATGTAAAGTCCGGCGTGACGTACATTTGTGAGAGGAAGTGCAGGCGGACGATGCCAGCTATGCAGACACTATTCGACGGTTAACACAATGGTAGAGGACGAGCGAGGTGAGGAAAGAACAGGGGAAAGAAAATGGGAGAGCTGGAAGAAGGCGGGGAAAGAGACATGATGAATACGTACAATCCACCGAGAAGGAAAATACCCGTGACAGCGAGCTTCTGCGCCGTTGGCATCTGGAGCTTCCACACCATCGGCAGGGGCACGGTAAGGATAATGAAATCCGTAACAACGCTGAGTCCGCCGTTCGCGAGGAAAAACGCATAGGTGTTTATGCAGCGGCCCTTGGCCATGGGGTTGAGGTACTGTTCCCAGAAATAGCTGTGCGGGATGCATTGCACAATCGCCGTCACCCAAATGGCGATCCACCAGCCAATTACGAGGAACGCGCAAATCGAAAGAGTAATGGTGACGCTCTTGACGGGGAAAATGCGGTGGTAGAACATGATAATGGACATTTTGGTCGAAGGGATAACAGCGCCATAGAGGAATTCGTATGCCCATAGGACCTGGACAGGATGTATTAGTGATTTAAATTTACGACTTGGGATCGACAGAACTCGAATAATACGTGCTAATACAAGGGAAAGTCCGTACCTTGAGCACTTTTTCGATATTGACGGCTGGATTATAAATGTGCTTGCCTATGCCGTAGTGACAGGCTATTCTTCTCGTCAGCAAGTGTTTTCCAGTTGGTTAATCAAGCTCTAAAATCCAGTTTGCACACCAGGCTTCAGACTCACCAAGGATACTCAGGATTCCGGTTCCGAATGCAAAGGCCTGTGTTTCTTGTTAGACTTGTCGACTCGATGCTGCGGAGCTGAATCAAAGTGTAGAAAGCATGGATGACTGAACAATGGGCAAATGCTGATGAATACAGGATTGATATCGATCCTGTCCAATCATGGCCACAATACGCAACAATACCAAGCAAGAATAAGGGTAAAGGAAAAAAACATGAATGAAACAGAACGTACCAAAGCCAGAACAATCAACAAGTCATCCCATTTTAGTTGTTGCTTCGCAGCAAATCTTGTTCCAAACCGTAACCCTACCGAAATTGTCGCAATCACCAACAATGCAATAACAGCAGCAACAACATGAGGACCGAAATCTTCGGTAATGTCCATTCCAGGAGGCGGGCCCGATGCCATTGTCTAACTTTTGCGTAGCTGTCGTGCAGACAGGCGTTCTTCTCCAACAAATAATCCCTGATTGGTATGGAACTCGAATATAAGGTAGACGAGATTTCCTCTTAAACTTCTCGATCCCCGGTTCGTATGATCTCGGCTGACTGGTATTTTGAGTCGCTTCAATATCGTAATGATCCCAGAGATCGACTATTCTGAGCTTCAGACGCAGCGATAAGTTGACGGTTTGTGGAGATTCGGTATGAAAACGTTGAGTGCAAACAAGCCGGAAGATCGGATTTTCCTATATTGGATTCAAAATTGAAAATTGAAAGTGGTCTGAGCGAGCGAAAGACCGGATTGTTGGTGTAGAAGCTTAGGGGGGAGAAAAAATGCGGAGGAATTGTCCAAGGCAGACCCGGCCAATGTATTTATTCATCTGGTCTGGGTCACCTCGCATCGACGATGATCTTTTTCCATACTAAAAGAGGGGTCTTGGTTATTGCGTCGCTCTCCACCCTCCCTCTCAACGGAGACACAGAACCATGCTATCAGACTTGGGAACATATCCGAAAGACTGTTAAGCTAGAAAAGAAGTGAGAAACCAGTCCAAAACCAACCATCAAGAGTTCCAATTCCCGTACGGACGGGCACTACGGATACCATGGGTAAGCTATTGGACGAAAAACTTCCTCTGTAGATCCCCGGCGTTACGTTTCCTGGTGTTCACTGCATGCCAAGTGTTTTCTTTGTAGATCTCTTTCCGTGCAAAGCATGGGTTGAAACCGGCAATTGGAATAAGTTCACACTCTTATTCCCACCGTTGAGGTCAAGAGCAAATCTAGTTTTCGAACATGGAGCCTATTTTGGCGGTTGGAAAGACTTAGGGGTAAATAGAGTGGCCCCGGCTATTCCAAATTCATGGCTAGGTTGCAGCAATTCCGTGTGCTCGAGAGCACAAGAGGACACTAGCCGGTTGTTCATGCATGTGGCAAGTGGAATTCTTCCGCGTGCTAAGTTAAGTAGTACGCAAAAGCGGGTTCAGAAAAGGCTCTTTTTTGCTTCTCCTTGGCAATATTCGTAGGTTTGGGTAGATTGATAAGAGATGATCATCGCCTAGCCGACTGCAACGTAGCAGCCATTAGTATGTAGTAGTCGCGGTGGCTAAGTCTGGCGGCCTTTTCTCGGCCAGGAAAGGTATGCCACTCTCCTTTCGTAGCATTCTCATGTGCATGTTATAAAATGCTGTGATATAGGATTCGGTTTCGAAGCGAGAGGACAATGCTGCAAATGGGGTTTAGCCGCAATTTCGATTCCCTGACTTGGCGACTTTATACCATTCGAAGAGAGAAAGAGAAATCTTTTGCGGAATAATCAAGATTCGAATGAATTGCGCCTGGCTCGATTGAAGGAAAGAATTTTTAATAAAAGTGTTATCTAATAGTTACAAACTCAATGGTCAATGGAAGTTAGAGTGCTGACCCAGGCTTCTCTCTCTAGAGTTTTAACTCACCAAAGTGCCCCCCCGACGAGCAGTGTCGTTGGTTCGGAATTTGCCCGGATCAACCATGATTCGCACTCGAAAAACCGTTGGAAGCGCGCGGGCCGAAGTAGGCGGCCCACTTGCTTGGCGGTGAAGAAGTGGGGCGGCGCTAGAGACCTGTCACACTGGAGCTTCGCCAAAGGGGTTAAACCAACTTCTTGTCGTTTCTTGTCAGGGGTTCGGGGGCGCTCCACTGATTGTCCACTCTAACAAACGTTACTAATTTGCTGGGTCTCGATGGGTCAATCGTTGCTCATTGCAAGCGAGTGGAAATTGCTCGTAACCGAAATCAAATCAATATTTCATTTGATGGAATCATTGAGCTGCAGATGCTGCTCTGGATGTGGTGAAAGTGGTGAAAGTGGTGACAACAACTGAAAATAATAATAACTACTAAAACAGAAAAGAGGCCCCATTTTGATATACTGTTTGAAGTTTGACCTGCTTAGTGCACAGAGATGCTGCTCCCTGCCGCTTCCCTAATCACATCGACCACTTTCTCAGGCATGCTGAGCATTGGCGAGTGACTGGACTTGCACACGTGGAAGGTAATGTCGTCCCCACGGAGGCCAACCATAGCTTGCTGCGCAGGGAACGGAATAGCATTGTCCTGCTCGCACAGTAGGTAGGTGGTTGGAACATCGAGATAGCCGGCATGGGTCAAAGGAGAAGCAAAGGTGGATGCGGCATGATATTGGACCTTTGCGGCCCATGAATTGGCCTCTTCAGCCGAGAGATCGTTGTACATGATTTCTGGGACTTTGTCCCCGGCCAGCGTGCAGCGAGTGCCCTATTTCATCCGACGTTAGAGTGTTGCGCCATGGTAAGGCAGATTCGAATCTGCGATCTTCCCGGCAGAAGGGATGAACCACCATGGAGGAATGTTGTCCGACTTACATCGAGGTGGAGAAAGTCTGGGAAGACACCGCCAATCATGTCCACCAAGGATTTTCCAGTGGGTATCATGAATGCAGAAAGGTAAACAAGTGACGAAATGCCGCCCTTTTTGCCGTGTGAATTCCTCTCCTTTTTAGAGAGCCCTTTTACGCTCTCCGTTCCAGGAATACCACCATACGAGTGCATGATTAGAACAACGTCTTTTCCTTCTTCGACTAGTGTGGTCGTTGTTTGCTGAATGAATGATGCATCATCTGTCATAGTAACGGCATCGTTCCCGCCGACAGAGGGCAGCTGTAATGCCACTGCTGGGAATCCGCTTGCCTTCAGCTGTGATATGACATTGCTGTAGTATTCGGGGGTGTGCCAGGCCCCTGGGATAAAAACCAGTGTAGGCTTCTCTGAATTCTCTTGTGCTACAGACATTGTTTCTGAAGGTTGTCGGATCGGTAACTTTGTGTTTCGCTGATTTGCAAGGACGCATAAAAGAAAAGGACTTTGTCAGGGAATTTTCAATGGTACGACCCTTAAAAGGGGAAATGAAATGCACGCCGTGGTGGAGTAGGTGCTTGTGCTGAAACTGGCATGATTCAACAGATTCAAGCGATATTGACTAGCTCTTCCAAAGCGTTGAAAGGTCCCATATCTTTGATCAATCCGCGGGCTCGAATAGTCACGAATCAGAGACAACATTCATATCTCGGCGACCCAGGTCACCGCCCATGTTGCTGTATAGAGTGCTACATACTGCCGTGGAGAATACCTCTAAAGAAACCTAACAATTTTGAAGCGTGATAGCTTGGTCATGGCGTTTCCACAACATTGTGGCGTTATATGACCCTATTCTGGTTATGAGTACTTCTGTAGAGCCCGCAACAAGTTCATTGGAAGGCTACGTGGATTAGTATAGTACCGTGAAGCCCAGCCATACGGAGCTTGTCCCTGGGAATGTTGCATCCCCTAAACTCTGGTTAGAATTACGTACAGAGTAAGGAGTAGGCGGTCATTGCACAGGCCGGCCCCAGGTTGAAAGACTTGCCATGTGAGCTTGAAGCTCTTTTCAAAGAGAATTTCCGCTAAATTATGTCCGGTGAAAGGCTAGGCTCACAATAACCGATATAATTTCTCTAGTGGAGCTGTATGTCTGCTCAAGAACGAAATACTCCGTATGCTCTCCGTGGACACCAGGCAGGATAGTGGTTGTGTCGATCCCTTGACAGGAGTGGTTAAGCTGGTGGAGCGTCTAGCGCGCCCCACTGACAGAGCATTGTGAGACGCCGACAACCCAGCTATAAAGTTAGCCTTCCGCGGCTAACTGTACCCTAGCTCGGTAGGCTTGACTACTGCCAATTCTTAGTTGGATAAGGGGTCAAACCTACCATCATCCACCAAGCTGGTTGTTTGAGAGTACAGAGAACTCCGGTAAGGATTGTCGGCACTTCCCAGAAACTTCCATTCCAGTACAGGATTTTGTACCATCATACTCGCACGCCAACTGCCGTTTATCCGTAGCTCTCATATCTTGGTCGCCACTACTGTGGGTCTTTCCGCAGGGCACAAAGCTAGTTTAGACTCCTCCGTATACGGTTTACAGAACAGTGGTTCGGGTAGGCGTCGATTTGTGCCTCGATTTTACTTCATACGACTCTGTACAGAAGACATTTTTACTTCGTATATATCTTCGGTTTCTTACATAGTCCACACTTTGTAAAAAAGAATGCAGTAATGTGTGATTTCTTCTGATTTGCGATATCGTCTTAATTCCAGAAGAGAGAATGGAAAAGGAGAAAATGTTCCCAACGTAGTGTCCTGCTTGATATCAATATTAGACCCGTTCGAAACATACCGCTATGCATAAACATGCTATGCCTTGAAAACAAAGGGGGTTCGAAATTGACAGACATGCGCGCAAAGATAAAAATAACAATTCACCACCAAACGCCGACCTTCGACAATCCCCACACAAAGATCTACCGCTTCAATTCATCCAGAATACCATTAGTACCGTCCTTCTTGGTTTCCACCGTCTTGAATACAGTTCCCTCGCCAGTCTTCTCTTCTTGCACGCCCTTTTGTGCACGCTCGTACGCCTCCTCTGATCGATCCGTAAGAATTTCCAAATCTCTATCGCTCAAGATCCCTTCCGCAGTCGTATTTTGGCTCAGCTCGTATTTTTCAAAATCATCCTGCATGAGAACCCTCTGTAATTCATCAAAATCTTCTTTGTTCTGTGTGACTGAGCTGAGGCTTTTAAATTTGCCCTTTTGAATAACCAGCTTTTCGAGACGGCGCTTCGCATCTGCTTTTTCGAGCAGTGTCTGCTCAACCGTGCCCTTGGTTGCAAGGCGATATACTATAACTGGGCGTGTCTGGCCAATCCGGTGTGCGCGATCCTGAGCTTGTAGATCTTGCTGTGGATTCCAATCCGAGTCAAAAAGCACGACTGTGTCAGCGGCAGCAAGGTTGATGCCTAACCCTCCCGCACGGGTACTTAAAAGGAAGAGCTTATACCCGGGATTCGAGTTGAACGCATGTATCTGGGCGCGACGGTCTTCTTGTTTGACGGCGCCGTCAATACGGCAGGTATTCCAGCTATGGATAAGACGAGCCCAATCTTCGATAATGTTAAGAGTGGTTTTGAATTGTGAGAAGACGAGGACTTTGTGGCCCCTGGCAAAGAGTGCAGGGAGAAGGCGTTCCAGGAGGAGCATTTTTCCGGATTCACTGATGAGAGTGGAGTCGGGAGCCGCATCGTTTTCCCAGGGCCAGTAAAAATTGTGGGGACTATTGCATGCGAGACGAAGTTGCATGATGGGGTTTTGCAACTTCTTGCTAGCAATTTCCTTTTCTGTGAGGTTTTTAGCATTTCGGCCGGGGTTATTCAAAGGAAAGAACGAGCAAGGACGCAAAGAAAGGGATGTGCAAAAAGAAAAGGACACATACTGGCCAAGGCAATAGTCTTTGAACGCTCAATTTCTTCCAACTCCTCCGAATCAGGCTCCTCCTCGTCGTTCTCTTCTTGATCAAGCTGCTTGAAGAATTCGCGGTCGCTGATTTCTTTGTAGCTATGCTTCTTGTTTCCGCTCCTTGTTGTTCGCACACTGGAAGGGGAAGACTCTCTGCTTGATTTGACGCTCTTGTTTGGGGTCGACACGCTGCTGTCAATTTTTCTCTTCAGACTGTGACTTCTCATACTTTTGGGGTTGTTGGTGCTGCTCATAATTCGCTCCACCGCCTTCTCCTCAAGATATGCTCTACTATTTCCCTCGAGAATTTCGCGGTATAATTCCCGCTGAGCGCCACTTAGAGGTGCGTAGAGAATATATTCCCGTTTCTTGGGAAGCGAAGACTCGACATCTGCCTTGACCCGACGTAGCAGAAATGGCTTGAGAATTGCATGCAGAGAAGCAATCAAGCTGGATTTCCGCTCTCCAACAAGAATCTGCTTGTGCCCTTCCTTATTCTTGAGTTCGGAGAAGTCGAACCAGCTCTCAAACGAGGATAACTCATCAAAGATATCCGGCATGAGAAAATTCAATAATGACCATAACTCGGAGAGATTGTTCTGAAGGGGCGTGCCTGTAATGAGTAGACGGTTGGCGGAGTGGTAGGATTTTAGTTCTCGAATCAGGCGGCAATTGAGGTTCTTGATACGATGCCCTTCGTCCTGCAGAACACGGAGGCATTAGCTGCGAATCCCTTCAGAATACAGACATTCAGTAAGCACTTACGATAATAATAAATTTCCAAGCATACTTTGACAGAAACTTCTGATCGTTCATGCATATTTCGTAAGATGTGCAAACGACCGGGAAATGGGGACTCCGGGGATCTTTAAGCTGTTTGCGTCGGATTTCCTCTCGTTCAGACTTCGACCCATGGTATAGCACGACCGGAATATCAGGTGTCCATTTGGCAAACTCCTCAACCCAATTACTCAAAGTGCTCAACGGTCCGGCAATAAGAAAGGGCGCATTCACTCCTTTACTTCTAAGAAACGCCAAAAAGGCAATGGTTTGAACAGTCTTTCCCAAGCCCATTTCGTCGGCAAGAATTCCATTGAGACCATTTTCGAATAACGAAATGAGCCAATCAAGTCCCTCAAGTTGGTAGGTCCGCATGTTTCCCCCTGTAACGAGCTCCGGCTGGCGAGCGGAGCGCAAATCCTGCATTCCGATAGCAGAAGGCTTGACACTGTTCTCCTCAGCGGCTTCTTCCATGGCCTCAGCAAGCGATTCATTTCCAGCTTTAGCTTTGAGGTCATCCTTTTTGAAAAATTGTGAGATTTTCAAATCTCCGCCTGCCTTGCCCTTAGCCTTGGCTCGAGTCGAGGGACGTTTGGACGTCAGCTCATCTTTCTTCTGCGTTCCTTGTGCTGGCGTCGACGATCGACCAGCGGCAGCACGCGTAATCTTTCGCTGTGATGCCTCCGCTGCTTTCTCTGCGGCAGCTTCTCTCTTGGCGGCGCGTTCCTTGTCTCCCTGAGCTTGTTCAATTGCATCATCTTCCTGCTTTTGCATCTTTTGCATCAGAATAGAAGCATAAATCTGATCAGACAGACTAGTTAGCTCTCGATATCGACAATACTTCAGCCCCAATCGGGAAAAGAGAAGAGGGAAACTTACCTTACTCTGACCGAGCAGATACTCCAACCGCTTAAACTTGACGTCTACTTTCTCCTCTCCGTCCTCCATATCCTTCTGCCGCTCTTTCTCGGCCTTTTGTCTGCGCTTTTCCTCCGCCTTCTCCCCTGCAACCCTCATGCGCTCTTCTTCGCCTCGCATAGTTCGTGACACGCGAGACTCTGAGTCTTCATTTTCAGAAGATGGTGAGGCTTCTTTATTATGGCCGACATCAGATTTGTCTGCTTTGGAGATTCCGTTTAAAACGCTTCCATTTGACTCGGCCGCGCCATTCTGCGCGGCCTGGTCACCCTCCTTATCTTCCATGACCACATCGTCATCTCTCTCCTGATTGAAACCTCCATTATCTTCCGGCGGCGTTGACGGCGCAGTCGTAGGAGGCGGCGATGCAGTAGTTGTCCTCGAATCGTCTTCATTCATAACAGAGGATTCGTCTTTGGAATTAGCGGGGAGTCTGGTCCTCATAATTCGCGGCATTGTGCAGGCGTATCAGTTGGAAAAATTGTCGTACTCTGTACTGTCTAATCTGGACTATGAGAATCGGTTGAACTGCATTCAATACGCGGATATTGTTCCATAAAACAATGCGAATGCTACCGTAGCGGCAAGGACAAGAGCAAGACTAGGAAGGGTGAAAGACAAATTCAACAGCAAAAAGACCAGGCAATCTCCCTATATTGTCGTACTGAGAGGAAGTCCTTCAATAAGTCATTCAGTCATGAGAGCTCCATGGACAAACGACAGACACAAGACTAAAAGTCTATGATCTCACGCGTTTAATCCCCAATGGCATATTCCGCCCATTTCCCAGGCGCGTAGCGGGACGCGCCTGATCACGTGCTAGGCTGCCGAATCATTTGTACTGGCAAAGTAGGGCAAGTTATACCAGGACGGCTTTGCTTATGCTTTTATGTTGTCATGCCTGTGATGAATTGTCGGTGCGATCATAGCTCATAGAGACTGAACTTGAGTAATGCCAGTGTGGCTTGTTACATTGAACTGGCATTGCTTTATTTTCCTTGCATTCTTGGCCCTGCTTGCCTGGATCAAATAATATCTATATTATCATCTGTATCTGCTGTACTGCAATTGCTCGGGAAGGATGTTTACTCATTAAGATGAAGGGGAATATGTTGACCAACTTTTGACCACCTCTTAGCGTCCGGTAGAGCGGTAAACGACGGAAGGGCCAACGGTCAGTAAGCCTTCCGTGCTGTTGAGTGTAATTCAATAGAAAGATCAACGGGGAAGAGAAGTGAGCAGAATAAAAATAAAAATGAGAAATCTATCCATGTGTGTATCCCAAATATCCCGTTCCGAGTGACAACATCCCATTATCATATCTGTCCAAGTTCCCTTGACTCGCCATAAGAGTCAACAGAAACCAACCCATTGCAGGGGTGTTTTGTTTCTTGCAATCTTCTCCATACGACGAACTCAGTGAATACCTGACTCACGAAGATAGCCACGCCATTAGGCGGCTGTCATTTGTCATGTTCGTCAAAATCGAGAGTCGATCATCGGGACATATGAAAAAGCTTGCACATAAAGTGCATCCATTAAACGCGACGGCGTCAGTCAAACTCTGTACAAGAATTGCTTCGACCTTTTTTTAGTACCACGCCCTTCCGACCGAAGTCGTACCAGTCCCGGAGAATCATTGTAGAAAGATTTTAAAATAAAAAGAACCGTAAATATTAAAAAGAAGGGAATAAAAGAGGTGAGGGATAAAATCCCTGCGAAAATAAATTGGACAATGAAGGGAGAAGAAGATTTAGCTTCAGAACGCCGTCATATATGTGCCATTAGCCATGCCTGGAAAAGATTGAAATAGTATGCCGCCTGACAGAATCTATTTAAAAAGAAGCGATTAAATACTTTCGTGAAACGGAACTGGTCCGAGGATAGTTAAGATTATTTCGCCCTAACCATGAAGCCGAAAGTGGGAGATCGGCGAATGTGTATGGGGATGCGTGAAAGCCTCCGGTGCTCTATCCTTTAAGATGGATGAAATAATTGTAATCTAGTGTAAGAGTTCTAATTACCCCAAACACGGATTAAGATTAATCGGTCGATTTATGAGTGAATACTTCCTTTGGTGAAAAGAGGAAGACTGGGCCTGTATATGAGAAAAAGTCTTAGAGTCTGGCTTGACTATTGTTTAGCGCTAACAGCCATGCATGAGCGAATTCTTCGGCCAAGAGTAGCCAGTTTCATTCCATTGCTGATATCAATTTAGCAGTCCGCCCGGAAGGAGACAATTGTTCGGAATCACTCACAGTGAGATTGGGGTTATTGTACGCCAATGGATGATTGCTAATGTATTCTGTCGTCTCATAGCCGGGGGGGTCGCACGTCACCACTTCCTCGCCTTCTGGTTGATACCATCGAACATAGTCGATGCGCATCACGGTCGGGAATGTGAGTCGCGCCCAATCGATCCAAGTCCATGAATTACTGATGCCCAAATTCAAAATGATACTCATCGGCTCTTCCGAAATTTGGCGGCTCCCAATGTTACCGTTTGGACCAACCGCCTGGCCACTCATCATGTAAGACACATCGTCTCCCACAAACCAGGCAATTTCGCCATTGCTGGTTCCAGGAGTGTATTCAAAGGCATATTTTTGGTACTCGTTGCCATCGTACCAGTCATTATTGAGCAAGGTTGTTCCAGAGATACCCTGCTGAAATGGTCCACCGCACCAGGCGTTCATCGTGGTCGTATTCACGTTTGGAATGGCCATGAAATCGTAATTTGGATTATACCAAATATCATATGGTGCAACCTGATAAGACTGCGTCACAACGCCAATAAAGTTGTTTGGATCCACACTGGCTTCGATTACGTCGATTTCTGGAGCGCCTCTTCCCGTGCCAGGGGTGGGGTGGTCCTCCCCTTGACAGGTGCAAGATGACAGTCTTTGGCCAGGCAAATGCGAAATGCCATCCGGCGAAGATTGATTGGGCGTAATGCCAGCATCGCACGAATCATACGTGTAGGGCCACACTCCTTCGGTCGAAGCCTTGTAGCCTGGTCTACCAAGGTTACCCATTGTCCAGACGCCAGGCCACAATCCTGGAACGCCAGAAGGGCCCGGCAAGGAGAGAGCGACTTCAAGTGCACCACCTTTGAAACAAATTTGGTTCCAGCTATTCAACATACCCGACCGAAATTGCACATTATGATTCAGCGTCTGATCGAGTCGTAGCTGAAGCGTGCCATTGTAGGTGGTAACTGCATCTGGGTCATACCATTCCAGATCCTGAGTCGCGCCATACCAAATGTTGGGAGCCGTCCAATACGGATCGTCACCCGGGTAGAAGCTTCGATTGGGTTTGGTAAACTCGTCGCTGAAGACAAGGTTGAGCGTGTTACCGTTAAGCCCAGGACGAGTCATTGCAGACGAGGGGGTGGCTGGGTCAATAAGTGAGGTTCGCATATTCGTAAACAGAGGATACTTGACGTCGTTGACCCACGTCCAAGGTCTCTCAGTGGGATACGTTGCCGACGAATTTTTGCCAGACGGTGCTGTAATGCCGGTAAATGTGACCACCGGCAAGACGATGAAGATGCAAAGCAGCCCAAGAATCAAGAGGACCAACCCAATAAAGGATATAACGGCCTGGCGCCCCATGTAGTCCTTCATCTTGGGGCGGAACTTTTCATCGTCATCTGGCTCGGGCATGTGTAACTCATCGTCCCATTCCTTTTCATCGACAAACATGGGAAAGCCGTCCGTGTGGGAGATGGGAACGCTGATGCGGTCGTCAATAAAGGGTGAAAAGACCTTCTCACGGTCAAACTCGGTCGAGGCGCGGGCCGAGTCATTGAAAGGATTCTTGACGGGCGAAGCCGCAGGAAGCAATGGGCCACCAGAGCTGTCGACCAGAGCACTTCTGGACGAAGGAGGTGGCGGCGGCGATGACTCCACATAAGAATTTCGATGACGGAACGGGTAACGCGAATAGTCATGGCCGAGATCACTGAGGGACATATTCTGGGTTCGAAGGGAAGGTGAGGATTGCTGCTGCCGTAGCTCTGACGGCCGATTTGTGCGTCCCCGGCTTCCACGAGGAAGGGGAAGTGCTGGTGGAATCGCGCGTGGATCCGATGCTGAACTGCTAGGATCACTTGATTGCAGCGAGAGCTGATTGGTACTATCCTCGTTGGATATTCCATCACTGTCAGCACTCTTGACCGACACTGTGGGTGAAGCTGGGTTCAGTGGTGAGGGCACGGCCGGCGCATATGACTGCTGCCGTGGGGGGATGGGTAACGGCATAGCCGGCATCCCCTTGACAACAGGCCGCGTTGTGACTGAGAGCCCATTTGAAGAGGTTGAATGAGAGCTTGACTTTCTAAGAAGGTTGGTGGAGCTTGTCGACGGCGGTGATTGTGTGTTACTCGACTCCCGCAGCGACGCAGCTGCCATTTCGGCGTGCAGGTTTGTCGATGACCGTCCATATTGCTGCACTCCGCCAAGTAAGTCCGATTGTGAACGTGAAGCTGCCTTTTGCAGAGGCGACATGTTGGTCAGATATCTCTGCAACGAGAGGCTTTACGAGCCAAAGACAGGCAGGATAGACGTTCACAAAACGGAACCCAGAGCAACAACAACAACGCGAGGCTGTGCGTTGCCTCTACAAGTTCACCATGAAACCAAACACTTTCCACGAGCTGAAAATGCAGCTGCGAGCCACGGCGGTGGCGATGATGACGATGACGATATTAGAACTAGTGTTAAGGGACCAGGAGGAGGAGCAGCGGGGTCTGATAGCACGGCCGTCAAGGAGGAGATCGCACTGGAGCGAGTGGAGGTAGTTAATCCGCCGTCAACTGGGGATGGATGGAAGAATTGAATAGAAGAAGTAAAACAGCGAGCGAGGTTTCCTTCTTCACCAGTGCCTCCGTCTCTAGAGTAAGAGAGAGGTTGGAGAAACAAGAAACGAGCGTCGCGGCAACTAAGCCATGGAAAGTTGGGAAACGGTGGGTGAGAGGAGCAGCCGCGTGTGGGTGTGAGGGTAAGAGGCCGTATAGTAGAAGGAGCGAGCGAGAGAGACGGGCAAAGCGCAAAGGTACTTGGTAAAGACGGAAGGATGACGAGTTTGACGGCGGCCCAGGGCCAGATTCAACTAACGACAGACCATGGGTTGAGTGGCCCAGAGATAGTCCCGAATAGTAGTCGCACTTTTGCGCTTTATTCCAATCAAAGCGAAGTCACTGGGATGTTTAGGGGATGGGAGGGATCTTCCCAGTATATGGTTAAGCAAAGCAGGTAACTCACTCGTACATAATGTTGGGGGGGGCAAGTAAAAAGTGATTCGTGATGAATCCCCAGAGGGACTGTATCTCTGTCGCAAGCAACCCATGTTCTGCAGCAGAATTATCACCGCCATCGCCATCATCGATCAGGAAAAAAGTACCTCAGACTGTCGTCTTGGCTTACGGGGTACGGCCAGTGACCTGAAGAGTACTTGATGCAGGACATGTCTCTGCTTCCCTTCCTATTTGAAGATATTCGCCTGGAGGCGCTGACTAGTCTCATCGCCAACCTAACGACGGGCCAGCCACCACGAAAAAGCCGACGCCCCAGCCCTTCCGAAACCGAACCCCTTCCTCATCCTAGCGAGAGGAGGAAAGGACTCGATTCATGTGCGATGCGGGTCTACATCGACTTACAGTAATTTATCGAGCTCTGCATCAATTTGAATTCTAGCGACATGGATTTACCTGGCACTTCTTTCTTTCGTTGCAGTCATAGGCGGTACGTTGGGAGCTATCATGCATTCTCTAAGCCCATGACAAGCACCTAAAGCAAAGGGAACCATGGGTTCATTCCAAGGAGACAGGTCCATAATTTGCCTCTTTGGGACAGCGTAGACTTCTATTGCGCGACGGTCTTCAATAGTATTATTGATAGGCGTCCACACAGGTGAGGTCCCTAAGGTTAGAGTGGGGAGAGAAGATTTGGGTTAAACGAGGAACTAAAAGGTCTCTCCACAACTCGGGTGAGGCCGATAAGGAAGATCCGGAGAGAGCGACGGAGCCTCGTTATCTATCCGCTACCTCGTTGTTGTACCCACTATTTCCCCCACATGAAGTATATCTGCGCCCGCTATTCTCTTCTCGGGCATCGACACTCTGAAAGAGGACCCACTTTGGTCTGACTTACCACTGAACCTGCTGCTAGTTACCTACCTAAGGTATATCCAGCACATTCCACTGAAGACCTTTGGTGTTCTAGTACATTCCATCATAAGCATACCACAAAGGCAAAGCATGTACTGGAGACCTTACGCTCTTTTACATCCAACCCAGACATCCATCTTGGATACGAACCCGGGTCATAAAAACCGACAAGGAAGATGCAGCGACCCATGCTCAATCACTTCGTGTCCACGTCATGCTCGAACAGAGCGGCACAGATCATTTATGATCATGGTAAGGAAGGAGGAACATACAGTGTGGTGCTGTGAACAAATATAGTAGCACCAGCGAAGATACATGTAGGCGGGGGAAAAGTCTCCGATCTAGCACTGTAACTGCGCATCTCTGCAAACGGCTTCTGCTCCTTCCACCAAGTTGGGGCTGTTTGTCAGCAAATCACCTTTCCAAGAATATGTGCCTTGATGCTTGTTGGAAAGTGTCCAATGTTGTGGATTCACACTACATGTACATGACATAGGCAGAATTCAGTGCGGCTTGCCTCGTAATCATGTTCCGAAGCTTCAATTTTATCTACCTTAGTTTCAAGCACTTATATCCATTGTTTTCCATCTTTGTACTGCATATTCTGTCTCATGCAGGAGATCTTATCTACACCGCGGCATTCGCCTAAAGTAGGAAAGAGGGTAGGTATGTATGAATAAATAGACATGCCGGATCCACTTTTTTGACACGCGATAAACTCAGTCATCCTTGCAGTGGTAGAGGTTTACTTAAGAACACAGTTTCCAAGGGTCATTTTATTCCGATAGATCCATGCTGGAATACCAACATATTTTGAGATGTTGAGGTAAAGATTTTCTTGTATATTTTCATTCCTTTATGCTCGAGATGATTCGTCATATCTTACATGCTATGCGATTCATAATATAAGAGTTGACGATGATGATCATGGAAATTGAGGGGAGGATGTTTCTGGGCTTTCTCTCCGCATCCTGGGGAAATCCTGCAAAAAGGAGGATTCCCGGATTGCGATGAAGAAGCGCAAAAAAGAATGGAGATGAGATGCCCTTTCAGATCATCGTGGCTCAGCCAAGATGTTCCTCAAATAATAAGGCTCCGGGGCAGCAGAACATAGTTTGCTGATAATACAGAAGAGTGGCGTTGTCCAAACTGGGACAGCCAAATCATATGCCGGCGCTTCTACCGCTTTGCCCCCTTGATTCGGACTGAATTTCCCGGCTCGTGAGCTATCGGGACTTTTTATCATCTGGACGTACGTCTTTGCCTTCTGGTTTAGTCGCGTCATGCAGATGATCCTTTTCATTTTTCAGCTCCTTCTTGCCTTTGATGGCTCGGTTCACTTGCCAAACTGCACGCTCCACCTCAAGTTGGAGTTCGGGAAACTCTAGCTCTGCGGCTAGGAGTTTACCATCGCTCTTATGCAAGAGCAGAATCTCTCCAGCAGATGAGCTTATATCTGACTCGGCGTTCCCCAGGTATGTGATTTTGTCCTGTCCCGATGTTGTCGCTGTCGAATGCTGCTTTCTTGCTTGGCTCAAACGGTATCGCGCATCGAGAAGGGACGACGGAACGTGCTTGATCAGATTGTTGTCCAGTAGAAATTCTACATGCTTCGATCCCGACAATGCTAGCAAAAGGTCAGCGCTATATCCTTGCGGTGAGTGAATGTCTAAAGGGCTCGTATCCGCAACACATACCACGCCAATGCGACCAGGCGCGAAAACATAGGTAGAAGAAGGGGATGTTTGGTATACTATAAGTCGAAAAGGTAGGTTAGTGACTTTGAAATTGTCATTATGCGGGGTGCTACCAGCATCCGAGAGGAGTGATTTACATGGGTATCAAGGCAACAGGTGCTGTAAACGGCATCCAGAAGATGCTCCACCACATGCGTTTGCGATGTAAAGACTGACGCTCGGTCGACAGTGTCCTTAGAATGTCCGACACTTTTTCATCTGGAATTATGGAGCTCGGGAAAGTAACGTCGACGGTTCGTGTGCCCTTGAGCTCTTGATCGCGTCGTCGAGCGCTCAACGGTGGTACGCTCTTCAATCCCCATTCCTCATAGGGTATCTGTTGCATAGCTCGATTGCCATATTCCGTGACGCTTTTTTTCCATCCTTTCTCCGCTCTCTCCCATTTCAGCCACACCTCAGATGCCTTGTGCGTAACTCTGTCAAGGTATGTCTGGTCGGGGCTGACATGTCGGTTTAGGCGTTGGCAGTAGATCAACGAGCGCCGGGTAGATATGGGAAGGAGGTGAAGGCGCATTATCTTTATTGGAGTAAAGGAAAGTTTATTGAAAAATTGAGCCCAAGGTCAATTGTGCCATGGGGGTTCTGCGAGGACAATTGAAGAACAATGTTGTGGGTTGTGGCTTTCAAAGACCCGCATAAGCAGGGTGATGATACAGGCAAGCGAAAAAGACGAGCAGCAGCTTTGGGTTGCTTGACGTGTTTGCAGCTATGATGGAATCAGGTCCCACTACAGTGCAGACTTAGTGTAGATCTTGGTTAGGGGGTGAGATCATCACGCGCGCACCAGCCACCAGCCACAGCCATCATCCCTCAGTTAGCGACAAGCTGCTTCTACTGTACCAACTGCGTTGTAACGACCTAGCCTACCTCCGTAAATCGCTTGGAAATCACTTTTGTCATTTCACTGGCACCAACAAATCGACAACAGTGTCTTTCAGATATGGCATTCCTTTGAATTCGGATCAACTTCTCCATTCGACTACCATAGTCGCTTCACCTGGGCAGCTGCCGGTGCACTGCGTGCTTTTTTATTTAAAAGTTTTGCAATTCGCGCAAAACGACGCCGGAGATCACTCCGCCGCCAACAATCGGGGAGCTTGGCGGCCCCGCCGCCTCCGCGCCTGCTATCACGTAGAGCAGCGGTTCTTCGAGAATGGCTGCGTCGGAGAGTCATCATGACTTCCAGACAAGAGCTGCCGAGGCCCTTTACAGGCCGCCAACAGCCCGGAGTCAGGATACACCTACAAGCCCTCAGACCATCCAATCTCCCCACTCACTGCAAAACCATTACAATGAAAAGCATCCACATCTCCACACACCTTCAGATTCAGGACCGAAATCGGGTATAAGGACGTCCTCGGTGTCATCCTTTGGAAACACGCTTGACTCTTCCAGCGTGAACACCGTTACTGAAAACGAGGAGAAGCAGCGCCATGTCCGCACCTTACCGAGTAAGAAGCAATCTCAGATCACCCGCTTCCTGAACATTTCTCGATATGAACCAAGTAACTGATATTTCTGATCCTAGCATGGGTGCAGTCGTTCGAAGAGGATGCTGACGACAATCCTGGCCCCAATGTGCATCTCCTCTCCCAACCGCCGAGTGCCCAGGTCGCCCATCACCATTACCTACCGAGCACTTCGCACAAACCTGCCCCAGGGCGACTGTACGATGCCCAACGTGAACGCACTCCGGTGACCATGAACTCACCGGATCGAGAGGACGCATCAAGATGGCAGACATTTGTCAAAGTATCCGCGTATCCGCCTTCGCCTGCTGAAGGGTGTCAACATGTGGACGCAGACTGGTTAAGAGAGAATCTCCCGGATTTGGAGCAGCCGTGGCTTGCGAGTGCTCAGAATGGGCAGGATGCGCAAGCGGAGGGAGTTCTAGGTCGAAAGCCGGTCCGACGAAAATGGTGGAAACGACCTCAGGTAAGTCTCGAAACTCCTCAACGCAAGATCGGGATGCCCGGTTAGCTGCAGTAGCTGATAATTTTCCTTCACAGCAAGTACTTCTCCGAAACCCAATGGTACCTCTAATAATCCGTTTGTTTGTGTGGTGCTTTTCACTTTTTGCCCTTGGACTTGGAGCAAACATTTATCATTTGTCGAGAGTATACGATTGCGCGCAACGACCTTCCACTTACATGGCCATCATTGTCGATGCCGTCGCATTAATATACATATTATATATCACCTACGATGAGTACAGAGGGAAGCCCTTGGGGCTTCGATCACCTGGCGGCAAGATGCGGCTCATCTTTCTCGACCTGTTCTTTATCGTCTTTGACTCCGCCAATATCAGTTTGGCGTTTGAAGCATTGACCGATTCTCGCTGGGCCTGTCAGGTCAGCAACAATATCGATCAAAGCGGGTCTCGATGTGGGGGCCAACTTGTCATTGTCGATCTTTGTCATCGTCAGAAAGCTTTGAGCAGCGTTTTACTCATTGCGTTGATCGCTTGGTTGTTGACCTTTAGCGTTAGTGTCTTGAGGTGGGTGACTATCAAGCTTCGTTTCTATAATATCCCTATACTTACTAAATTGTCTTAGGTTGGTCGAACGTGTTACTCAGAGCTGAGAAGGACTGTCCTGGGTCCCTGGTTTGTGAATTTTGTTTTATACCTCTTTCCCCCCCCCCCCCCTTTCTTCTCTATAGCTTACACATGCGGCGTCTTTGGCATATGATAAAGGCGCATAAGTTACGAGGTATTCGAAACCGTTATGCATGCGCAACTATTTTATAGGTAGACTTTTGTCATGATTTGTCATTTTTTCCCTTCTCCCCAACCTTGTCAGATAGTAGATTCCTTTACCCACGATTTGTCAGGATTAAAGTTGTACATACTCATCTTCCTGCGGTATCAGGCGTTGTCGCACCGAAGGTGTTTGTTGATTGTTGATGATGATATGCCTATGACGTCGATTCGAGTATCGCCCTAGAAAATCATATGGCCGTTTCAGGAATTTGTATACCCAATTTCTTCTCCATACACTTATTTTCAAACTCTGCAGTAGTATAGATTAAGATTTCACGACAGATCATTGTCACTTTGATTGAGTCGTTATTCATCATGTCTCCAGCCCGCCTGTCTCTTACGCCACTCAAAGAACTGGAGGTCATCAAGCGGCAGATTCCGGCGCATGGGCTCATCCCCAACACCTCGATTCAAAACAAACCACTTTTGATCTATAAAGGCGCATTCCGTGGCAGCGGCAACACAGTCTCTGCGTCTGCTATAGAGTCGCACCTATCTTCCGTCGGTATCGTGTCTCCTCAATGGCGCTACACGATGTACAGCACTACGCATTTCCATTCCACCACACATGAGATCCTCTGCATTGCAGAGGGACGCGCAAAATTATGTTTTGGAGGCGAGCAGAATCCTGGTCGACTCGATGCTGATGTGAAAGCAGGCGATGTGGTCGTCGTCCCTGCAGGTGTAGGCCATCGGCTGATGACCGACGTTGATGGCGGGTTTGAAATGGTAGGCAGCTATCCTAGGGGGGCAAAAAGCTGGGATATGTGCTATGGGACAGAGGAAGAGAAGGGAAAGATTGAGCGTATCAAAGAGCTCGGCTGGTTTGGAAAGGATCCGGTCTATGGTGAGGAAGGGCCTGCTGTGAACGTTTGAGGACTGGAGTTGAAGCAATCTGGTTATCTGCGCGTGTTACTGGAGTCATCAAGAAGAGGCTGGCGCTACCATCTTCTTAACTGCATAGCGTGCTGAGAAACATTCTTTTAAGGAAAAATTATCAGATACAGCTTCATCTGCTTACGACATAACGATAGCGATGTTGAATTTTTTGAAGCATTTATGAAAATTTCAAAATGTCAAAATTTGAAAAAGCAACTGTGCATTATTTAGACCCTAACATTGAGTAGATGTTGTGTTGCAACCAAGCAGCTGTGAGTAGATATGTTGACATACAATTACGCTGTGTCTCAATCTCACTTGACACACTTCCGTTATCGGATAGCTGGATGGTCAAATTGGTCGGAATATGACGATGGGATGACCCACCGCAATCCCGCGGGCTGTTTAACGCGACCCTGCGCTTATTGAACTGCGAGATGTGCACGTAAATCAGAACAGACCGCAACTGTAGAAGGAATCAAGGAGCTACGAGATTGAAGCTTGCGTTGTGCCCATGTACGATGAGATGAAAATTGTAGACAGTAGCAGTCTTATCAAGGCGTGATGTTTTGGGATGCAGTTCGTTGCCTGGTAGCCAGCAAGGTCACAAGTGCGGGTAGAATAGAACGGTCGCCTGGTCATTAGCGAAGCTGTAGCTGGGAACCCAACGCGACACAACTCAAAGACTTGAGAACCTTCAGCCCTCTTGAACTCGACTCTTTCCCCCCAAGTCTTCTCTTCTTGAGAGGCGCTTTTCAATCTCTCGTTCTCTCTCTCTCAGAGGCTGCTCTCTTTGCTGCAGAATCAACGCCTGTCTTTCGGTGGCAGATCTCAGCGGGAGGCAACGTCACCCACCTCGCCCCTCCACTCCTTTCACCTCCGACACATGCCGCGGATTCTCACAGATCGACGGCGACGAGCATAACTTTCTTTGGGACTTGAGCTGCAGCGAGTTCTGCATTTCCGATTCTTTCGCCGGCTTTCCGGTGCTGTTTATGTCATCCACTGCTTCACCGGTTGCTCGAATCCGCTGAGCAATCTTTACGACTTTGAACGTTTGGCGAAGTGAACGCTGCGTCCACTCCAACCCGTCAAGATGCCGGCTGTAATGCCACCTATGCCTAACAAGGATGACCTGAGAGCAACGTGAGTGGGATATGGAATTTCATGTTGTTGCCTGGCTACTTTGATGGTTCGGGCTCTGAAATTATGGGACCCTGCTGACTGGATGCTGGAATTACTTAGATGGACATACCTTGAGGCGGGCATAGATCGGATTATGACCAACTTGCAGGATGGCGTGGACATGGTCACGGTGAGCTTTGGCAAAACAATGGTTACGTGTGGGATAGCTGCTGACAGATTGCTGCTAGTATATGGGCGTTTACACGTGAGGATCGCCACTGTCAAAAAAGGCAATGGATCATGCAACTGGAAACTAATGTCTTTCAAATAGGGCGGTTCACAATTTCTGTACTTCCCAAACGTCAATCAATAATTCACCGGCAGGGGTGCTGGGAGCTGGTAATCGCGGCGGCGGTGCGCATCCCTTGTCCATGTGTGCGATCTAACGTAACGTCGGGCGCTGATTTGCATTAGCTCACCTGCTCGGAGAAGAGCTGTATCGCAAACTCATCGACTATCTGTCGAACCATCTTCAGAGAATTCACGAAGAATCTACGACACATTCCGATGAGGCTCTCCTTTCCTTTTACATTCGCGAATGGGACCGCTACACGACCGCAGCCAAGTACATTAACCACCTTTTCCGGTATTTGAACAGACACTGGGTCAAGCGCGAAATTGAAGAGGGCAAAAAGGGAATCTACGATGTCTACACTCTTCATTTGGTCCGGTGGAGAGAAGAGCTGTTTTCCCACGTGCAGGCGAATGTCATGTCGGCTGTACTCCGGATGGTCGAGAAACAACGAAACGGAGAGACGATAGAGCAGTCTCAGATTAAGAGCATTGTCGATTCATTTGGTATGGTTTTCTTTTCGATCTGGAGTCAATCAATTCGCTATTGGATTGCTAACGAGCTGTAGTGTCCCTTGGCCTTGATGAAGCGGATAGTACAAAGTCTACATTAGACGTCTACCGGTTCCACTTTGAACGTCCGTTCTTGGAAGCTACCACCAAGTATTACCAGAATGAGTCGAAGCAATTTGTGGCCGAAAACAGCGTTGTCGAATATATGAAAAAGGCAAGCAAACTGAAGCCGTTTCCAAAGGTGCTACCATTCGGCTTACATTTTTCCGACTTTTAGGCCGAGTCCCGATTAGAGGAAGAAAAGGACCGCGTGGGACTCTACTTGCATCCCGATATTATGACGCCGTTGATGAAGACGTGCCAGCAAGTTTTGATTGCAGAGCACTCGCTTCTCCTCCGGGACGAATTCCAGATATTACTTGACGGTGACCGACAGGAAGACTTGGCCCGCATGTACAGACTTCTTGCGCGCATCCAGGACGGACTCGATCCTCTGCGGAGCCGATTTGAGACCCACGTGCGCAAAGCCGGTTTGGCCGCCATTGAGAAAATTGCGAATGAGGGCGAGAGTCTGGAACCAAAGGTCTACGTCGACGCACTGCTGGAAGTGCATACACGATACCAGAATCTGGTCAATGAGGCCTTTACTGGAGAATCAGAGTTTGTGCGATCCTTGGACAATGCCTGCCGGGAATTCGTCAACCGGAACAAGGTCTGCAAGTCGGGATCGACAAAGTCGCCAGAGCTGCTGGCCAAGTATACCGACTCGTTGCTCAAGAAGAGCGCCAAGGCGGCCGAGGAAGCGGACCTGGAATACATGCTCACGCAAATCATGACTGTGTTCAAATACATTGAAGACAAGGACGTTTTCCAAAAGTTCTACTCGCGTATGTTGGCCAAGCGGTTGGTCCATACCAGCTCTGCGTCGGACGATGCCGAGACCAGTATGATTAGCAAACTCAAAGAAGCCTGCGGTTATGAATACACCAACAAGCTGCAGCGCATGTTCCAAGACATTCAGATTTCCAAGGATCTCAACTCGACCTACAAGGAGTGGCAGTCCAAGGTGCTGGATGAAGATGACCTCAAGAAAGCGGTGGACCCTCACTTTTACATTCTTGGTACGGGATTCTGGCCGCTCACACCACCCAACACAAATTTCATTCCTCCCCCCGTCATCGTCAAGACGTATGAGCGGTTCCAGAAATTCTATTACGAGAAGCACAGCGGCCGGAAGCTCACGTGGCTCTGGCAGCTATGTAAAGGCGAAATTCGCGCAAACTATTGCAAGGGAACAAAGGTGCCTTATACCTTTCAGGTATCGACATACCAGATGGCGATTCTCTTGCTCTTCAATGAAAGTGAGACTTTGACATATGAGGACATTGAAAAGGCGACGGCCCTGTCCAAGGACTGGCTCGACCCTTCGTTGGCCATTTTTGTCAAGGCCAAGGTGCTTTTGCCTTCTGGCGAGAATGGCAAGCCCGAGCGAGGGACAACGTACTCGCTCAACTACAACTTCCGCAGCAAGAAGATTAAGGTCAACCTGAACATTGCGGTCAAATCCGAGCAGAAGCAAGAAGTCGAGGACACGCACAAGACAATTGAGGAGGACCGAAAGTTGCTAATGCAGGTAAGTTGTCGTCCCGTCGTCCCGTCGTCCCTTTCAAGGCGCTCTGCTTTACTCTTTGGAAGAACATGACCTAATTGGTTCTATTACAGTCGGCTATTGTCAGAATAATGAAATCGCGCAAGCGAATGAAGCATGTGCAGCTTGTGCAAGAAACCATTCAACAGATCAAATCCCGCTTCACGCCCAAAATTCCAGATATCAAGAAATGCATAGACATTTTACTCGAAAAGGAGTACCTGGAGAGATTGGATGGCGAGGAACTGGGCTATCTAGCGTAAAGCATTTCCTTCTCAGCGGAGGGGTCATGAGTACAATAAAAAAAACCATGCTGGCATGTGGCAAAGTCCTTATCGAGCGCTGGCGAGCACCCCCCCCTTAGCAGATCGCCAAAGTAGAAAATGTCACACAGACATGGTCTGTACCTCTCTACTTGTTGTTGTTGTTGTTTCTCGTTCTTCTCCTTCTTTTCCCTTTTTTTCCCCTTACACCTTTTCCAGCTCATACGGCCGGGACTTGAAAGCGCGGCAAAACCCTACTACCAGCGAAAGCCTTCAGAAATTAAAATCATGATGAAGCTGATCACAATTCCCATTATGTCCCAATTCCCTCGGTGGCATCTTGTCATTATGTTCGTGATACAATAAATCTTGTTTCTACTATTGATTCTCAGTCGCCATGGTACCAATTGAAGCCTGTTTTTTTTGTTCATTTACAAACAGATGTACTACGTAGGTAGTGACACTATACGCTAGCTGCTGCTGCTGGGACAACGGCGGGGGATACGTTCAGGACACAGTCTCTTCGCCGGTCGATAACGGCATGTTTCATGAACGGACTGCGAGATCTGACGACTGTGCCCCACTTGAGCAGGACAAACGGGGTAGCAACAAGAACCAACGAGAGGAAAGCAAGAAGGGAGCTCGCCCACTGGAATCCAAGATCCGTATACATGACCGTAGTGGCAAGCGGGAGAAAAGCAATGGAGATGTTCTCGACCAGGCCGACAGCCGCGAGCGCGCTGGCCGCATACTTACTATACGCATCTACAAGATAGTTTGCATTGCCTACAATGACTGCCGTGGTGCCGAACCCGACCATAGCCAAGCCAAGCGTAGGTGCCATCCAATGCACGGCGGTATACGAAGTCCATGCATACACAAACATGCCGCCGGTGACGCCGAAAAGCCCTCCAACGATTGATGTGTACAGCCTAGCCTCGGGAATAGGCGTACACGTATCTGGAGCAGCTTCAGGATTGCGGGCAGCAGAATCATAGTACCAGTGATTAGTGGAGATGCAAAGCCCGCAGCCAAGGATTTCTCCAATGACAATAGCACCTTGGACGTATCCTGCCTGCGAGACATTCCAGCTATAGAGCTCTCCGTACACTTGCTCGACGGATTGGGTGAATAGGTAAATGGTTCCCAGACTGAAAGCAGCCCAGAGACTAGCAACAAAAACCACGGATTCTGTACATAGCATGTACAGAGGCCGTTGTATACTCTCGATGACAGCCTGGCTCAACGGTCTAGGATGATTGAGCTCTGCTGCTGTGTATGCTCTTTTTCCCTGGTTGCGCAGTTGCTTGGCCCTGGCTAGCAGGATAGCTGAACCGCGGCTCTCAGGGAAACCAGCGATGAAGAGGGGAAAAAGGGCAGCGGTCCAGATTAATTCCGTGTAACCAATCCAACGCCAAGATAGGAACTGCAGGATAGAGGAACCAACTACAGGGCCCATGCTTGTCGACGCAAGATATACCGTGACATACAGACTTATTGGGACACTCCGGGCTCGATCTCCGTCAAACACATTTGATATGACGCCAGCGACGGCATCGCTTATAAGTGGAACGCACCCGCCGCTAAAGAACCGAACCACGATAAGAGTTGCAAAGTTTCGAGCCAGACCGACGGGAATTAAAACACAGATGAAGAAGAAATAGGCGCCGAGGAGCACGGGTCGAACTCCAAAGTCCTCCATGATAGGAAACAGAAAAAGCGGGCACAGCGCAGCCCCTATCCCCCAGGAAGTGGTCAGCCAGTAGGAGTGAGGAAAGGTCTCGTCGGAGATGTGAAATTCATCGCTAATGGCCTTGTGGGCTACCGCGATGATGGTTCCGTTCATGGAACAGACAAAACTTGCAACAAGGCCAAGTCCAGTCGTCCACCATTTCTTCCGCAGAGGCCAATTGAATGGATCTTGCGGATCATCTGGTCCATCCCAAGTAACTATCACAGTGTCTGGATCATGGTGTGGCCCTGCATTCTATGATTAGTATCGGCCAGTTCAGGAGCACTCGGGCATGATTAAGACCAACCTTTGGTAGAAGAGCTTGGTACAGGGTGCTTGGTTGTTTCGAGCTCGTCCATTAGCAATAGACACGTTTCCCAAATGGAGCGGAAACTAAGTATGAAAAGCTGCTATACGTTCATTCGGGGATTAGCCAGGGCGACGCAGGTGATATTCCCAATCAATGGAGTGGCCAGGTCACGAAATGCAGGCTCCTGGTCGAGTTGTCGATGTTGCAGAGCTGTAGAATGAGAGTGGAGTCTCTGAAAGCTTTTCTTGGAGGAAAGCTTTTTAAATAACTTACCTACGGTAGTGTGCCGTTCTCTTATTTCCATGGATTGCTCCATGCTGCCCCAGTGACGCTGCTCATTGCCCCCTTCGTGCTTATCATCGTGCCCTGCTATCCATGCAGTTCAGAAAGGATTAGTTTTGCTTCATGCAGTTAGTTTTTTGCCGTCAAGTATAGCTGAGTGCAATAACGATCAATTATTGGCTGAGATCCTCGTCCCCTTGAGCTTGTGCCCCTTGTGATTATCATGTCTGAGGGTTTCAAATACACATCATTCTGAACCACATGAGTGTGTAGAGTGGGAATTAGCTATCATACCGGCAATATCTTGCTGGAGCTGCATGTTGGGGGATTACTAGAACAGGCAATTGTCCAGAATAGGTAAGGGGCCAGAAGCAGTTAGTCCCTAGTTAAAGGGCAGACGGGCCCCTCTCTAAATTAGTTTGGTTCCTGATCCCGCTCACTCGGCCAGGGACTAACTTTATGCCGGAGTTGCTATGTTATCAGCCCCGGATTACAGGATGTGACTACATATCGAAAATAGAACAATTTTACAACCCCATGTGGGTATTGTTACGGATTGAATAATACCTAATTAGGTATCGATGGAATGCCTAAGATGCAGCTTTCTTGGCAGCCCGGGTTTTCTCCGTCCAGGAAGCCCCTGAGAAGGTCAAGAGCACATAGAACCAAACGGGGAGCATTGGGAAATGCAGACGGACCGCAGCAATTTGATTTTATTGCAGAGGACCCTGTGAGATATCATAGGGCAAAACACTCTTCTTCGCCGGTCACCTCTAGACATTCAGCCACTCCTGTTGCGCCTATAATCAGATGTGAGGCAAGCTCAGACCCTAATGGTATGAGCCGGCCCATTGCCCACTATTCAAGGAATTATTTTATGTCAGGCAAACATGAAGCTCATTTCAAGTTGAAGCTGTCCAAGGAACCCGACTGTCTAATGAGCCGTCAATCGAGGGCTTGAGTGATACATCGTTGATCGAAGGCGGTGACTCTCCAGACTTGGAGGCCATTTACAGAACGACCGAGCCTTGCCCCAATCCAGGCAACAGCGAAGACCAATATGCGTCTTTACGTTTATCTGGGACCACTACGGAGAGCCAACTTCAGAGACCTGAGGGGGGCAAGACCGGTTTTGGTGCCTCTGAAGGCTCGAGTCAAGTGGCTACTATAGTACCATGCTCTCCTTCTGCCTCTATACCACCGACTATGCTGTACAGCAGCCTTTGGCAACGTTTTAGGCCCATCCTCGAAAGATGTATGACTATTCCGCCGCAATCTCCTCGGGCCATAGCCACTGACAGTCTTTTCTAGATAACAGGGAGTTTTGCAGAATTCCATTGACTTCTGACCTACAGGTCAATCCGTTCCGATACCGGACAGACCTCAGTCCGGAACCCATGTTTCTGGTTCACGCTGTGATGGCATTAGGGGGTCATCACGTCGAGAGCACATCAACTCAAATTCATCGCCAGGCGGCGCTTCAATTGCTCCGCGAAAACCTCGGCACGTACAGTAATGCGGGACATGGTTATTCCATGCTCGACACAATCATCATCTTATTCTCCTTAGATGTCAGTCACTCTTCATGTGCCTTAGACCTTTGCTCAGGCTGAAAGTAGATACTAGGAAACCCAGTCCGCCCTTGGGAATTGGCGAACACATCTTGTAGGGGCCTATGCCCTCATCGAAGCTTGCGGTGGTATCGAAGGGTGGGCCAAGTCTGCTCGGACACAGGTACAAATCGGAATGCTCACATGGTATATGAAGCTCATATTACTGATCCTCTTTTGAATATCTAGCTGACTTGCCTAGGTGGGATGCAATAATTAGTCTAGTCAACAGAGAAGACTGCGTGTTTCCTTATGCATACTTTGAAGGTGCAATGTCGAGTCATGATGCCGGAGAGTGGGATTTCTTTGGACTATGCGGTTGTCCACCAAGTCTCGTGAAGATTGTGATGCAATTGGCGCGCCTGAGTGCAGAAAAGCGAAAATCATCATCAATGCAGTATGTCACATTCGACAGTACTGTGGTCTCGGAAATGGAGCAGTCACTTGAGTCCTGGCATCACGTGTTTTCTGCAACAGCTTTTCAAGATGAAGAGTGCATGCAACAAGATCTAGACCGCATGCATTGCTCCGAGGCATGGAGAAATGGCCTCCTTCTCTACATATACAGGGTGTTTCGATGGGAACCTGGAAGCAGCACCCCGATGCCCATTTTGTACCGCGCAAGGGTCATTATGGACCACGTCGTTGCGTGTCGCGACGAAATCATGGTGTCCCGGCAGGCCTTGTTGCCACTCTTCTTTGCGGGCTGCGAACTGAGAGATGTATCGTCACGGAAGCAGATTCTCAAGCTTTGCTCTGTTTGGAACGAGAGGACTCGATATCACATGTTTCGCAGCACCATACCCCTGCTGGAAGAAGTCTGGGCGGAGCAAGCGACGAGAGGTTTCGAGAATGTGTGGTGGGGCCAAGTCGTGGATAAACAACATATGGTCTACTGTCGTTCTCCCTTGCCAATGCGGATTTGCTTTGGCTAGGTATATATACCTTGTCCGATTTCAGATGCATGCCAAACATTTCACGTGCGGTTGTCTTGCATTCGAGATGTAGCATATCATCTGTTTAGCATATCTTTTTCTGCCATTTCATCACACTTTAGATTGGGCATGTGACGTTGAGTAGAGAAACATGTAGAGAGTAAATATAATGCTCTTGCTAGCAATTGAATTACGAGCGTAGTCAAATGTTATGTTGCCATCCATCTTTCCTGCTGTTGTGGACATGTTGTCATATAACCCCCGTCAAAATTTTGTTATTGTTATCGTATACCCGGTAGCCCTATAAGGCAAAGATGTGCGACGGTGGGACTGTCGATCCGTGGTGCCCTGGTGCCAGGTGCCAACATGCGAGATGGGAACACGTTCGAAGGATTGTCGTTGGATAATCGGAAAGATCGGACTGTCGGCGTGTCGGCGTTGGGATGTCGGTATGTCGGTGTAAGCCACTCATAATCTCCTGTTGTATCTCCGGGACCAATTCTTATGGTATATTACCAACCAACTATCTTATGGCAGCTCTACTCCGTAGTTACGCTTGAAAGTACTCCGTACGGAGGAACATTCATTACTGACCTGCTAGGTAAAGCAACGGGTAGACGGGCGCGGGGAATCTTTTTTGTCCGGTCTGGCTGTGACTTTGGCGTTGGCGTTGGCGTTGGCTTTAGCTTTGGCTTAGTTGAGCCTTTCCTTCCCACTAAAGTTAGTTACTTCTACCGTACAGGGTAACTTAGGTATTCCCCCGCTTCAACTTACACTGTGTACAAAGTACCCTCAACCTACTACGTAAACACCGTAGCCAGTCCAATCCGAGGATCCCTCAACTCCGGTACAGTCTAGGGCATACCTACCTAAAAAAGTGATTAAGTCATCGACTTTCCTTTCTTTTGTTCTATCCGTACTACTCGTACCTCTGATCTCGGACAACGGAGGTACGTTATGTCCATGCTCCTACAAACCCTATTGACTTTTATATCGAGTACTGGGCACGTAACTCGTAATCGACCATAGTATCGTTAGTATCTTTTCTACATTGTGAGACAGGGTGAGGACCCGTACTGTGCAAATGCTTAGCATATCCTCTTTCTGCACCCGTAGTATATCAATGAGTCGGCGACAAGGGCCGCTCGGCCTTAACGGAACAACATGGGGTCCATCCTTATGATCTACACGACATGCATGATTTCTAATCCTAACCCTGCTTGATTTTCAATATTCATAATTAATTGTACAAAGGACAAGTAAACGTATCCATCCATCCATCCATCCATAACAGTGGATTTTCGTGGATAGTGTACTACGTACCGTGTACAGATTACACCGTGGTATATTACACTAACACCGTGGCATGTTTACAGTCGATAGTCGATACTCTCAATCAATGAAATTTAATATATAAATGCCCTTTGCATCCCGCCTTCTCACTGCCTTGTCTCCAACTATACGCCCTTTGTGTCCTACCTCCTCTACTTTTAATATTTTTATTCGACGTACCTCGCCGCTTGCGTTAACCTCAACAATAACAACAACAGCCCCAACAAGGAGACTCAAGACTCAAACTTCAAGCATCGCAGAGTTCAACTCACAGGAAAATAAGACGAATAAGAGAGACAAAATGACTGGTCAAAACCAAGCGCTCTGGCTCACAGAGCAAGAAGGCGACTTTGTCGTGCGCGAGGCGCCATACTGGACGCCCGGCCCAGACGATATCTTGGTGCGGAATAAAGCCGTGGCGATAAATCCGAGTACGTTTGCCTTGTCCTGTTGCTGGTATTTGTCCATATTATTGCACAATTGCACCATTGCACTATTGCACTGTTTTCTTGTCCCTATGCATACTCCCAATGGGAATATGCCCCCTCCAAAATGGAAGGAAAAGAGGCGCAAGAAAAGAAAAGAACAGAACAGAAAAGAATACAGAACAAGAATAAGAAAAAGATACTAACGTTCGAATAGTGGACTGGAAAATCAAACTCTTTGGAAAACATATTCCCTTCCCAAGGACTTTTCCTGCTGTACGTCTCCCATCATCGACCATCCACACTTTTATCCTACTTTGTTCCGTTGTTCGTCCTGTTTGTTTTTGTATATCTTTCGCTGCTTGCGCGTTCACTTGGTTTTTGAGGCGTTACTGCATTGTTTCGTCAATTGCGCGTCTTGTGTTAGTTGGAGTATGCGGTATATCCGTACGATACTCGCAGAGGACACGCTATGATACCGCCGAAGAAGAAGAGGAAGAGAAAGGAAAGGAATACAGAAATAATACAGAAAGACAAAATGCTGACGGCTGACTGCACAGATCATCGGCGCAGACGTCGCGGGCGAAGTCGCCGAAGTTGGCGAGAACGTGACCAAATTCAAAAAGGGCGATAGAGTTATTGGGTGAGTCCCTTACCCTTATATCCTGATACCCTTATACCCTGATATTCCCTACTTCCAAAGTAATTGCAACTTGCAATTTGCTTCAAAGTCATGATTTTCGTGTGGCATGCCAAAAAGAAAGATAACATGGCATACTAATAAAAAAATAAAAAAAAATAAAAGAAAAGAAAGGATAAGGAAAATAAACACAAAAGAGAAAAAATAGACACACAAGACACAAGCAAAGATAATACAATATAGATTGGAATAGCTAACACCCCACAGCAAAGCAAACTACGTGGCCACCGACCACCCCTCCACCGGCGCTTTCCAGCACTACACTGTCTGCCCTGCATCTGGCAGCGCGATTTTGCCTGACTCAATCTCCTTCGCGGCCGGCTCTGTCCTCCCGCTCGCAATCAGCACTGCCGCCATGGGTCTCTATCCTCCCCACCGTCTCGGCCTACCTCTTCCCTCCCCTTCCTCTGACGCCAAGAAGGGCAAAATCCTACTAGTATGGGGCGGCTCATCCAGCTGCGGCAGCGCGGCGATCCAGCTGGCCGCCGCATCGGGGGCGCGCGTGATCGCGACGGCGTCGGCCAAGAACTTTGCGTTTGTGAAGAGCGTCGGGGCAGAAGAAGTCGTGGATTACAACGACGATGAAGAAAAAGTCGTGCAGAGGCTGGTGGAGCGCATTCGGGCCATGCAGGGATCGAGTAAAGACAATGAAGATATATACGGCGCAATCGACGCAATTGGCGAGGACAAGACCTGGCGCGCAACTGCGCAGGTGCTTCACGGGCTGGGAGGCGGCAAAGTAGTGAGCTTCTTGCCGTGGGGACATGAGGGTGCGCCAGAGGGAGTGGAGGTTCAGGGCTGTAAGTTTTAAACATTCACCCCTCCTCCCATATGATAAGACTGATGGACGATGGACTAATGACGACGAAACAGTGAATGATACGTCTTCGCTTGGCAAGCTGACGGACATCAACGAGGCGGTATGGGGAAGATTTGTGCCCGAGGGACTCAAGAATGGTGCGCTCAAAGCGGTCCCTGCGCCCATTGTTGTGGGTAAGAGTCTCGACGCGCTCCCGGAGGAAATAATGAAGAGCCAAGCGGGCGTCTCGGCGGGGAAGCTTGTCATTGAGCTTTAATGTATACGGGAATAGTCGAAGAAAACGAATTAGGACTATTACGGGAAAGCAGCGAATTTTTTAACAGAATGAATTGAATGAATTGAATTGGTTTAGACAAAGTCGATGTACGACATGGTGATCTCGGATTGTTACACTGTAGCAAAGTGTCGTGGCTCCCATGTCCAGAAGCCGATCCCTTCGCCACGGAATAGCCACCGACAGGGACTTAGTGGGACAGCGTGCATGTCCCAGAGTCGCAACGCTACAAGTTGTTCTCCAAAGAAAGGGAATGTTGTGTAAAGGTAGAAAAGAGCCCATGTGAAGCGGACAATCTTTGCAATCATACTCTTCTTTCTGCGGTCTTGGGAAGTATTACTACTTGCTTGCCCCTTAGTCGGTTCACCGAAAAAGACACGCTCGACAAATAGCTCAATCAAGATGCCTGGAACTTGGACCCAGAAGAAGAGCGCGAGATGAAGCGGGCTTGCACTAGAGGCGGCTTTGGGAACCATGCCTGCATGCATCACGCCTGAAAGGAAGAACGCCGTGCTAATATGGATGGCGTGGGCAATGAAACTGTGGAACGACGATGTTGACGGCGCTCCTTTCGCCCTGGAAGAAGCAGAGTGCTGGGAAACGTTGCGGAGATACCAGTTACCAAGAATTTTACCGGGGTCGCCGGCAACCTGAAGAAATTCGTGTTAGTTGAGTGTACATATTCGACACTTGCCAGAGGGTAAGATGTGACTTTGTGACACCATGACAAGAACCTCATTGAAGATGGGAGGACAGAAGAGAGTCAAATGGCAAAGAGACCATTACATGTACTTACACATCGCATCATTTGATGCCACCAGTCCCCCCAAAACCCTCTCAAGCCCCTGTCGGCAATGCTCACCAATGACCCTGACGCAGGCCTCCACACGGCAGGATGACCCCACTGGTCACCCACGGTGCCGAGACCACCGAGTGATAGGAAGATGAGCCCCGGCATTGCAAAGAATGCCTCGATGCTCGCCCACGCCGGCGTAGCAGAGATTAGGACGCGCCAAAAGCGAGGATTCGAAATGGCCAGTGCAGAAACCTTGCCCTGCCCAAGCAGTCGGACTAGAGTATTGGCGGTTTCCGGCGGCAAGGGACTGGTAATGGAGAGATTAGTTCTCCAATCAAAGTAGGGATCGTGCAGAGCCCAGAGGCCAAAAATATCCGCGAGCATGTATGCAATAACGAAGCGGTTGAGGAGTTGAAGGATCCGAGCAGGTCTAGAAATGCTTTTGTCTGCACGGGACAATTGGGCCGCATCATGTCGTGCGTCACCAATAGTCCAGTTGCCGAAACGGGGAGAGCAAATAAGATAGCAGGACCATTTCAGCCTGGAGACGATAGTCGAAGGATGTGGTTCTTCCCATATCCCGGCATCTGCATGGCAAGGCGGCTTAACAGCCTGCGCAGCTTTTGAGGATGTAATGCCATTGACACCGTTTACATGTCCGTTTGAAGTAACAGAAGAAGAAGAATGAGCTGGCTGATCGACGGTATGGGTTTTCGAGCGGTGAATCCGTTTGAATGTCCCACGAACGTCCCTCCATACCAGCACGTCCATGGCGTAGAACAACGGACAGATGATTTGCATGACGACATCGATCCCCGGCCACGTATAGACATATGCTAGCCAGACTATGATAACAGGAACGAGAAAAAGACAGAGCTGTTTCTGGGATAGGGTAGAAGACGGAATAGCCAAGACTATGGCGAGGAGTCCATAGACAGCACATGTTCCCAAAAACGCGAAGAGGGAATCAATCGGCTGTTTGGGGGCTGGAGCTGCCGTTTCCGCTTGGGAAGACATGGACGGAGACATTGTATCAAAGTGCTGTGCTATGCTTCGTTCAGAACCCGCAACCAATTCTCAAAGTAGCGCCATGCATACGCTGGAAAGGATGAATGACAGGCGCAATTATCAACAGAAGCCAATATGCAAATGCATCGATGACATAAACAAGGACAGCAGTGATGCTGACAATCTAGACCGCTGAACTCTGACTTCTCAATGCCTCAGATCGTCTATAGTAATGATGGCAAGCTGCAAGTTTCGCTCAACGACGACTTTCATAGAGAACCAAAGAAGAAGAAGAAGAAGAAGAAGAAGAAGAAGAAGAAGAAGAAGAAGAGGCGGATACAGTGGAGAGGTGATCAAGGTTTGAGAGTCGGGGGTCGGAATTACTCTGTAGATCTCTTCTCAAAAAGGACCATCCTTTTGTGGCAGCCTCGTGGGCTAAAAGTAGCTATGAGCTGTTATGGGTCTGTGTGACAGTCGGTGTGACACTAGTGCCCGTCCTCTCATAACTGTATAGCGATGGACTAGTAAAATTGGAGGGACTCATTTTAGGCCAGGTCACCAACAAACAATTCATCAAGTATCATAGAAGAATGCTTGTTAGTTCCGCTCTGTAATATTCATTCCATCAGCAGTATTGATCCTGCCAGACAACAAGTGGGTATCAAACTTTCCATCATCAGATGGGCCGGAAACTCATATCGTAGTGGTTAGGAGAGTTGAGCCTAGTCTGGTTACATTTGCTGAGCTAGGCGAAGTCAACCATGCTGACGGGGCACTTTTGGCGAACAAGCGCTGACGTTTCTGCCGCCCTGGCGCAGTCCGCCTCCCACTAAACATTTCCACTACGGTGCAAATTACAAGAGGGAGCTACAAGTTATACTTCTATTGTAGGGAGCCAAACGAGTTCCTGAAGTCTAGACTCATGGCGCCGTGCCAGCTAAATTCTACGCTCGAGTGATTCATGCAGGTCCTTGCCATCAGGTCTGATATGACTTTCAAAATACAATAGGTTGAATGTTTGACGCAATATACATCTACACTCGAACAACCGCCCACAGCAAATCACTTGGGCATTTGCATCAGGAATTAGATCAGATCTGGAAGAGAACCACTCCATTCTTGCAAATAGGTATAAAGAAGAGAAATAAGCGGGAAATAAAAACAAGGAGAAACATTCCAAAGAGCCGATGCTTTTGCTTCGCTTTTCTTTGCTCTCTAAGAGAAATACAAATGACAAATGACAAGAGCGTAACAAAGGCAGCAAACAGCAACAGAGAAATGGAGGAGAAAGATCAGATAAAGAACAAAACGCCCTCAAAGCAAATTGGTATATCTTCCTTACTTCCTTTTCATCGTGAACGCGTTTCGGACGCCGCCGAGAGGGTGAAAAGTGGGCAAACACGGAAAACAGGCGGAGAATGCGAGGAAGAAAAATAAAAGAGCAAAGAAAAGATGAGCGAAAAGTAAAAACAAGAATGCGTTCTTTCAATTTTGTAGAATTTCCCAAATTGTAACCGCCTTCTCTTTTCTTCCATTCATGTTTAAAAAGTTCTTTTGCAGACCGCATGTAAAAAGTATGGGCCGAAGTGTTCCCAAGAGACGGTAACGAAGTGAACTCTCTGGAAAAAGAAAAAAAAAAAGCACAAAAGTTTCAAGGCCTGCAAAGAGCAAGATCCTCGAAAAGGAGAGAGAGAGAAGGTACTGGCAATGTCAAAGGGCGAAGAGTCCATGAACAAATTTAACAAATCGACATCAGAGTCGAAGGGGTATTTCCTTTTTCCTGTGATAAAAAAAAACATATTTTGATGTTCAACGAGGAGGTCCAATCGGACCGGGGTATCCTGAAGTAGAGTGCGAAGTGCTCGGTCGTCCACTATCAACGGACGTGCGAGGATCGTATTTCGGCGTAATGTCACCGGGCGAGGTGCCAAAGGAGAACTTGCTTCCAAGCTTAGCTGCCCAGCCGTTGTGATGATCTTCTTCGGGGAGATTTACCCCGCTGTCGTTCCATGGGTTGCGATACCCGGAACTTTGAGACTCAAGGCTAACGAGCGATGCTCGTGAAGCATTGCTGGATGCATGCTTGAAAAAGGACGCAGGTGATCGAGAGTTGTTCTTGCGGCGCTCGAGAAAGGACGAAAGCGAGGAAATGCTGCCCGGCCGGCGAAGCTTGTCGAAAATGGAGCGCTCGCCGACGTCATCTCCAAAGCTCGAACGCGTAGGTGAATCGGTGACAATCGGGGCTGGTGCGTGCTGCAGGAGCTTCGAGTCGAAGAATGGAAGGGACTCTTCGAATGAGTCCGACTTGGGACGAGGGATGGCGCCTTTAATGGTCGTGGCATCAAGTCCGTGGGCTACCAATCGGGAAACCAAAAAGTCAATGGCGTCCTTGAGGCCACCAGCATTGTTGCGTGTGTACGTTAGGAGAAGAGACTCGGTCGGGAACGGAGCAGGATCGGCCGGCCTAGGCTCATTGTTGATGTGAAGTTCGACCTCATACTGTGCCTTGAGCTTGTCTAACACGTCGGTCTGGAATTCTTGTGAGGTTAAAAATTCCCGCAGCTGCGGCGAGGCAGGAAAAACAATCTCGTGACTTTCAGGAACCATGCCCTATACTGTGTTAGCAGTCTTTTTTCTTTTTGCGGAGAAAAATTTCCTGGAGTTCAACGCGGCCAAAACTTACCAAGAATTCGTCCACCGCCTGCGGTACCTGGTATTCAGGCCCAGAGATGGTCACGAGATCGCTCGCCATTTCGGTGCTTGGAAAATCAATCTTGCAATTCCATTTCTTCTCTAGCGTCTCCAGTTCCGGCATGCGTGCGATAAGTTCACGGTGATAGAGGCGGTTGATGGGAACAGTTTCAGACACGAATTCAGCGTCCTGTCGGCGAGCATTAGTATCGATTCATAGCAAGGGGAAGCAATTGTTGGATAAGACGCACCACCTTCTCGACCATGTCCATAATCTCCTGCTTGACGAGGTCGAGGTTTTGAGCGTTACGTGCCGGTGTCCTGCAAATGACATTGTCGACCTTGACGTCATCGTCCTCCTTTCCGAGTCCGCCGCGATCCATGGCATTGGAAAACTTGACAAAGACCGAGTACTTCTTCATGATGCGTTGAATGTGCTGACCGCCGATGCCGATGATGCGCTTGTGGTATTGATCAGGAACATGGAAAGAGATGGACGCAGGCATTTCTTGCTCGACGAGATCCAGTCCGTTCTTGGTGGCCTCATATTGAGATCCGCAGACATCAATATAGAAGTTGTACTCGTTGAAGCCATCAAAGATGATTTGAACGTTGCCTGTATCCGGGTCAGCTTCATAGGACTACAAAGGGCATTTGCCACGCGCTCGCGGCATATGGGTGTATGCATACTCTGTCCCATAATCTTGTTAATCTTTCCATTCTTCTTGCCACTGACAAATTCCTTGTGCTCATTTGCGAGCTCAATCTTCACACGCATCTGATACTGCGAGCGTTTGACAAAGGGAATCTGATGAATGACCATCAAAGCAGCCTTGACACAATCGTCGGACCCGTTGATCGAAAAGGTCAGCTTTTCAAAGCTCACATCGGCACCCGAGTTGGCGCAGATATCAGAAAGCATGGTGCGGATATCCGAGGGAGAAGGTGCTCGGAGAGCACCACCATGGACGGGATCAGGAAGGAGAATCCACCACGTGGCGCTATAGAATTGGCCAGCCTAAAGTGCAAGAGATTAGCTACATTGATTCAGAATGAAAGCGAAGGAGGAAACTTGGACGAACAAGAGCCATGATCTCGCGGACAGTGCGTTCGACATGGAGGATCTCGGTGCCTTGAACCCGGATGATGCCGCGTTGAGTGCCGAGTTGCGGGAACAAGACATAGCATCCATTACTCTCCATAACCTTTCGAACCTTATCCAGCCGGTCGAGTAAAATACTATCAATCTTATTGGAAGAGACTATGACATCTTTGACGTAGCATTTGGTATTGACGACTAGCTCATGAAGTTTCTTCTTGGCGAGGACAATGCTCTCTGGCGTCTTGCCGGTGATAAAGACCTCATCCTCACTCCGACGGTGAGCACCAGGCGGAGTGTATCCGTAGACGCGTGGAAATGGCGGAGGGAAATAAATGGCCGTGGCCGTGGCTGACTCAATCAGCTTAATGTTCTTTCGAGTGCGACCGCAGATGAGCGTGTGCATGGACAGTTCCAGCTTCATGACGTCAACGGTTCGTTTCAGCTGGTATGCACGTTAGCTATTGGGATCTTTTGGCTTGCAGTCGTGCAGAGAGAATAGTGTTTGTAGGCTCACAATCTGATCAATCATAATCAAGACACGCGTCTTCGCATGCTCCGAGCTCTCCATGTCACCAAAAATGGCAACTCGCAAACGCTGGTGAAGACTGTTTTCAAGAGTGCCGCCAAAGCCAATCGAAGCAATCTCGGCATCAGAAGACTTGGGGCTGAGCAAGAAAATGTCGGTTCCAGTGTACTTGGCGATGATATCCAAGTGGTCAAGCACGCTCGCTCGAACAGCGTCAGTGGTGGCATCAACGACCAGGTTGGTATCAACATCAACAGTCGCACATTTCTATAGCAGAGGAGAAAAAATATCTCAGTCAGCCATCCGCAGAGGAATTGAGCAACAAGCGATAGAGCTTACCAAGGCAACGGGTGTCTCGTTCAAGATCCGGCCACGCATCTTCTGGACAGTATCCGCGTCGCCGGACAGGCAGACATTGGTGACCAAACCCTTCAAAGGTCGATGTTGCAGTGCCGGAATCGGCTTTGGTTCAGACGAGGTCACACTGGCTTCTAGTCTTCGGCCACCAGCACTGCTGGCCTCGGTGATCTCACGGCATAGTCTCCGTAACATCTCGCTGTGGTTCACGTGGACGGGAAGTCGATGAGTAGGCGTGGTCGGATCAGTTCCTTCGGGAAAGGTCCATCGCTCAACAGCACCAGGGCTGGCATGAAGGATATCATCAGGGTCGGGCCCAGGCAAATTTGTCGAGAAGGGCACATTAAAGGAGAGGTTGACAATGGTGTCGGTAGGCGTCGCGGGTGAGATGGGCGTAGTACCTAAAGGACGCTTGATGGACGGCGACGAGATCGGAGGCATGTCCATGTGTGGTCTTCCCATTCCAAAGGCCGCCGGCGTAACCTTCTCCCATCCATGGCGAGCGGATCCGGTGAAATTACTTATTCGATGCATGGTTGGCCGGACCTACGCCAGCGGGGATCGTGGGCGTAGGGGGAGGAGAGGGAAGAAACGGAAAAGTAAATAGAAGGGGAGAGTAAAACTTTGCCCAGAACGCAAAGTCTCTTCCCCTTGAGACCGTGACAAGGTGGCAGGGTGGGTGGGAGATGGGAGCTTTGTCGGAGATAGGAGGTTGACGGTTTAGAGGAGAAGGAGGAGGTAGTTAGGTGGTGGTGTTGTTGAGAGGTCGAGAAAGAGGATCGCGACAAGTTGTGTGTATAGAAATGGGCGAATGGGGGATGTGCAATGTCACTCTACGTGAGAGCGAGCAAGAGCCAAGCCTTTTCCCCCCCGAGTTAACAAGTACGTACCACTTCCGACCAAGCAAGCAAAAGAAACAGGTAGCGAGAAGAGAGTGAAAAACGCTTAAAAAGGTAAAACATTCTATGGACACCGACACACCCGTTCACCATGGGGACACTTAGCGGGAAACGGAACTGACAGCCTATGACACTACCGCATGCTTTGTATGGGGGAGTATCCTCATTATTTACCGCTTTTCCTCTTGTATTAGATGTGCTTCTTGGTAAACTGCGGTAAGTATTAACCGTATCTTCTGTTGTCTGCTTAAAGGCATTCTTGGGATATCTGCAGTACAGAACTATCGGGGACTACGGTCATACCCATCAATAAGCACCATGTCTTCATCCGTTATTCGATGAGGGACTTTCTCCGCAGTTATTGACAAGAGGATACTAAATGATCACAAGGTTGATTTACTACAAATAATAAGATGAGGAAAGTGGACTCAGAGATGAATCATCTTAAGGGGCCCATTTAAAAGTAAACGTGAGGATGAGGAAGAAAAAGAAGAAAAGGATAGAGCGAGGATGATGAGGGTGATGATGGCATGAGGATGACGATTGAAGAATTGCCGTGGTAATCCCACATGGAAAACCGGACACGAAGTGCATATATCCATTATTATGTGTAAATAACCAAGTAGTTGCGTCGTGATGACCGACTCTTGAAACCCAAAATTCCTATGCGGGATGAGATGGACTCACTCTAAGCGTCCGCCCTGCCGAGACAAGACAACGACGAGATGAAACAGACGCACAGGAAACACACGTACACATGTGTATTTCTTTAAACACTGTATACACTTCGGCAAGAGACATGCTCATCTTGATACGTTTTCGTTACTACCTAGCTACCTGGTCTTTGCAAAAGAGTCTTCGATAAGGATGGTAAACCGGGGGGAGCTCCTCTGGGCGTTGATGGCTCACGCAAGAGTCGAACGACTAAGATAGTCCTTCGATCCGATTCGAATACTACAGAGTAGTGCTGAGAAGAGTGGCCCGAGGGGAGCGAGGAGGCCACTCGCCTCACTCAGCCAGCCCACAAACCCCCCAAGGGGAAGATCGTCGGAAGACGGAAGGGGGCACACGAGGGGGATCTCCAGGGGGAATGAAAAGAATGGGGGGAGTATGTGTCCTGAACTCGGTAGAATTAATGTTCCGTAGGCTGAAGCTACGTAGTACGGAGTAGACACGCAAAACATTTAGAGAAAAACATGATAGATGAGATCAAGAACATTCAAGCAAGTGAGATACCCAAGGTAGGTAGCAAAAGCGTAATCATATATAACTGTACACTTGAAAGAAACCAATCTAAATAAATTGTATTGAACCCCCGACTTGAAAACGTATAATGGTCTTGCTGATAATAACAATGAAATTATTCAAACCACGATATTGGCGAAAAGGCAAGTGCCGGACTGCCGCTGTCATCATTCATGGTCTGTGTACACAGCGGATAAAGTCACGCATCATTACTCTCTGATCCAGAAAAGGATACCCAATGCATCTATCCGTCGCGTTGTGGCATCATTCGACACACATCACTCTGCGTCAACATTCTTTCACTCTACAATATGGGCATTCAATCTACTATAGCCCCAACTAATTGCAACAACCCTCTTCGACACGCTACAGATCTGGCTTAAAATCCGCCCAATTGTTGCGGGGAATACGCGTCCTACTCCCACGCTAAAACAACGTTCCCGTCCCGTATGTAGCAGTTTACGCCCTTTTACACATGTCCGTGCAGTACAGGTAGTCGATTGTATTGGGGACGAATAAAAGTATCCAAAGACAAGCAGGCGGAATACACAGTATGCTCGTAGACTCTCGCTGCCGCCATGTCAGGCATGTTATCTTGCGTATCCTCTCCCGGCAGGCGCAGTCAACGGAAAATCGGCTCCTATGCAGACAGAATGCACAGAGACCCCAAGGTAGGAAAAATGGAGGACCATCCGACGCGTCGGGAACTCCCATGGGCACAGCATACAGTAGTCCCTCAATCCAGCAGCATAGCCTCCACAAGTCCGCAACGTTTCGCGCCAACCAGAACGTTTTGGTTGAAAAGAGCTTACCATCTTTCCATACCGGGACCCCAGGGATCAGGGATCAATCATATGATTCCCCATGTCCTTTCGTTCCGCATTTGCCGACTACAGGAAAAAAGTAAAAAGTGACAGACAAATCATATGAAGAAGTTGGCCGACGATCAAGCTTACATCAAACCAGATGCCAAGCAGAGATAACAATACATTGGCCAATACCTCAGTAACGCGCCCAAAAGATCATCCCCAGGTGCATAAGGCATGCATGTGGCCAACAACAATATGCATGAAATATCTATGTATGAAATCAATTTTATTGAGGGCAAGTAGAAACGAGGCGAAGCAATTAACATGTAGTCCTTGCAACAATTCCATAGACAGATATTCGCCTGTAAGATGCCCTGCCCAAAGTCCTCGATGCACCCCAGCCAGCCAGTCAAATGCTCGAAAATGCGATGCGCTGCTTTACTTTGCTTTTTTCCCAGCCACCCAGTTAAAATTACAAGTGCAAGTTGCAGATCGCTTTTACTCAGCAATAATGAAAAGATACGGTATTTCCCCCCATCTATCCCTTTTCAGACAAAATAAAACAACAACGTACGGTGTATCAATCGAAGGAAAATATGACACGGAGGTAGAGCACACAAGGCTCTGCATGAAAGCTCATGACATGAATGAGTTTAGGCCAGGGAAAGATCCAATCGCATGTCACAATCCTAGGTAGGTAATGATAAACGGCAGTCAATATGGGAAGGCGCCCCTTTTCCACCGATATCCGAATCACTCAGCTCATCAGTAACGGTACACGTGGCCCGAGCCTGCGCCCGCGGTATCGGGTACCATCTCGCGTCCGTACCCGGCTAATACTGGCTCCTCCACGTATCGTCGAGCCTGTGTTGGGGGCTGCTGCGTGTGGGACATGTAGTGGAAGCGCTCCTCGTCCGGCACATACTCGGCATACCTTCGGCCGTCGTCGACGCGTACACTAGCCTCTCTGATTATCCGCGGAGCAGGCGCCTCACGCCGATGGCTTAAGCCAGCGGCGTATTCGGGCTCCGGACGTACGCTCTGCAGTCGCGACGCATACTCTGGAGCGACTTCGTACCGTGCATTTCCTCCAGGCACAACGCTATGAGTTCGAATCACGCGGCGGCCAGTCACATCATCAGCACGCCCAGTTGCTCGCGGCTCAATGTAGTCGGCTTCGCGAGGAGCTACTTCTCGGAGGCTAGACTGCTCGGCTGGACGTACAGAGTAATCCCTTTGTCGATAGACGCGATAGGATGGCGCTTCAGACTCAATCGGCTCGGCGTAGTGTCGCGGTAAACCGACAGGTGGTCCCATGCGGTGCACATAACCGCCGTCTTCGTAGGCCTCGGCATCTGCAAGAGGGACACGGATAATCCGATCCCGCGAAGAAGGTTCATCGTAGTAAATAGGTGCATTGGAGTGCCTGCTTGGAGGTGCGACAGAGTGGCGCATCTCCATCGGATTTGGCGCAACATAATACTCTCTGCCATGCTGGTCGACGATAATACGTCGAGGAGGGCGAGCCATGGGAGGGGGAGGGGGAGGCACTTGCACAACGGAAGCATACCGTTCACGAACAGGCTGAGGAGATCGGGATCGATCGCGGATATTATGGGCCGCGACCGGCCTGACCGACTCACGGTAGTATCTAGGCGGCTCGTCCGCGATGCGCTCTACCAATGCATGTGAGGTTGCGCGAGCCGACCGCGAAGTGTTGGAGGGATACTGTACAGGATACAAGGGCGGCGACGGCGGCTGTCTGGCGTATTGAATACTAGCTACTCTTCTGAGATCTTGCTCATCCCGCACTGGGCGCCGGAGAGACGTTCGAGACGATACGCGGACGGGTACTGGTGAAGAAGGTGACTGGATCTCGTAGTGCGGTGACGGCAGTGCATGATCGGATTCCCGGATATAATATCTGCCATGGCTAGGGTCGCGCATAGAGTACTCATCATGACCAGGAGATTCGCGTTGTCGACCACGATAATCTACAACCTGACGGAGATCTGTGCGGTGGGTGAATGGAGGTGGAGAGATAGGCTCCTCCTTAATACGCGGTTCAGGAGACTCTACCGCACGTCGGGACACGACACGGCCTTCTCGCTCCTCGCCAGCTACGGCTGCTCTCCTTCGTTTTTGGGAAAGAAGTGGACCATGTCCGGTTTCGGGGCTTTGTTGAGCAGCGTGCTGGCTAGAAGAGGCTATAGCATGACCATTTTGGGCGGGTACCAATTGGCGCTGGTTTTGAACAAATGGCGGAGGCTTGTTCATAGCAAGTGGTGAAATTCGCGCCGGCTGTGGCGCAACCGGTGAGCGCACATTGTTACTGACTATGTGCATGCCAGTATTTGGTGACGGAGGAAGTGGAATATGAGCGGGTTCACGACGCTCATTCTGTGGTTGATACCCTTGAGACGGCCCATGGTGGATAGTAGTACGTGGAGAGTCACGGAGATCTGCAGCAGGAATGGGCTCTGGCGGAGAATATTCTTCCTCATCTGGTGAATCGCGCATCTCTTGCGTGTCAATCTGCTGCTCTGGTAGCTTCCGCATAGACTGGGCATTACTGGGAAGAGGAGCGTGTGGTAGATTTCGAGCATCATCTATTCGGTGGTTAAGGCTATTTGCCGCGTCGGGCACTCTGTACGGCGAAAATTCTGGCCTCGTTGCCTTTGCTGTCTTATGAGAATCTACAGGATAGACGTCAGCATCAAGGCTGTCCAGTTCCATTGGCTGACCCTGTTGATCATGAGCGAATGACGCGCGTGATCCCTCACTGGTGCCCATGGGCGTATTCACTCGACTTGAGTAGAATGAATTCTCATCAAACGAGTCGCTGGAGTCAGCAGCACCAGTCTCTGGGCACTTCAGTGTTGTTTCAGATAGTGGAGTGACGAGTTCGAATGCCTTTGCCAGGATGTCTGAAAGGTCAAGGTCCTGAGCGCCCGAGCTGGCATCCTTGTGTCTGGACTCGGCCCGACGATTGTCGAGCTGTTCGCGCAGAACACGTTCAATTCGCTGTCTTTTCAGCTGAATTTCTGCTCGCACAAGATCGTCAGACTTTGTCAAGAGCACGGGATCAATCCCAGAAACGCTCGGTCGCGATGCAGGAGCCGCCTGAGGAATAGGCGCGTGACGCGGTATCCCATTTGGTTGCAGCGGCTTCTGTTGTAATGGCAAAGGCTGCACTGGCACTGGCACTGGAACGATTGCATTTCTATTCTCAACAGGAGCCGCTGGAGTGGTTGCAGATTGGTCCTTGGCAGCCTCGGATCGCGGCGAGGACAAAGTAGGGGAATGGACAGGTCGCGGGCCGGGTTTGCCATTTAAAGCGACTGGTACTTTTAATCGCGGATGTCTTCCTGAAAAGACATCGTCTCTCAAGCTGAGAATCTTGTCATACTCAAGGGCCTCTCTTAGCTCCCGATCAGTAAGTTTTGGTCCATGGAACTGGACCGAGCCAACCATCGGAGTGGCCATGGCCTGTAGCAAGCAAAAGTAGGTGAGATCTCAGACTATAGTCATGTTAAAATCACACAGCTGAGCTTCTTGTTTCAACGAGCAAGTTGTGTCTGAATCCCACACGAATCCAGTCTGAAAAGGCTGGGAAGTGAGTAGAGATACTGAAGTGGTAAAATGAAGGAGAAATTGAAGATTCTCAGCAGGGAAGATGATCAACTACAACACTACAGTGCGTGACTCGGACGGCTGTCCCAATTGGTTCAAGCGAGTTCAGTTGGCAGCGGTGACTTCCGCTCCGATAAAGTTGAGGAACTACCGCCTGTATCCGTCAGTCATTCAGTGACTCTTCTCCAATTTGCCCCCACCGCGCTCTTTTCTGCCTCTCTCTCTCATTCTGGGGCATATTATATATCTCGACCAGAGTCAAGGCCATTGCCTCCATTCTTAGATCCTCTCATTCGACTCTTCTTACCAGGTGACTAGGCCAAGCGACAAGCACCAACGTCAGACTCGCAACCGCCATTCCCCGCGGGCCTCTCAGCTACCCCACTATCAACAGATCAGCGAGCACAATGGTGCAAAATCTCGGGCAACGGCCCGTCTTCTTCTTTGACATTGACAATTGCGTATGTTTCTAATCTCAATTCTCAAGAAATTCCCCGAATCATTCCGCTAATTGCTGCAACAGCTCTACCCACGAAGTACGCGCAGTGCCCCGCACAGATAAACGCTCCCAAACCGAGCAACTTCAAAGAATTACAATACTAACAGTATTACTTCAGGCAAACGGGTACACGAGTGCATGTCAGTACTCATTGGCACGTCTCTTCTCCATTTCTCTTTCCGTTCCTCTCCCATGGCTAATAGGCTGTACCCTTAGACAAGTACTTTATGACACATCTGTCCCTCTCCGCCGAAGATGCTACCCGGCTTCACAATAAGTACTACCGCGAGTACGGCCTTGCTATTGAAGGACTTGTGCGCCACCACAAGATCGACCCTCTAGATTACAACAGCAAAGTCGACGACGCGCTTCCCCTCGATGACATCATCACACCCGATCCTCAACTGCGCAAACTGCTCGAGGACATCGACAAGAGCAAAGTGCGGCTATGGCTTCTCACCAACGCCTACATTACGCATGGACAGCGTGTCGTGAAGCTCCTAGGCGTCGATGACATGTTTGAGGGCATCACCTTTTGCGACTACGGCGCAGAGCGATTCGTGTGCAAGCCCGACCAGCGCATGTTCGCCAAGGCGCAGGCCGAAGCAGGTGTCTCGAATGCCCAGGAGTGTTATTTTGTTGGTAAGTGGAAATTGAGCGGTATCGCATATGTAAGAACAAAAATGCTGAGTTGGGTTCTGTATCTCGAATAGACGACTCCCACCTCAACTGCCGCCACGCGCAAGCTCTTGGTTGGACCACGGCCCATCTTCTCGACCCGTCGGACCCAGACCCGGCAACCCGCGCAAGCAAATACCAGATTCGCAGCCTCGAAGAATTACGCACTATATTCCCACAATTCTTCAAATCGACCGCACAAGTCGAGGCGCAACCCGTTTCAAATGGATCAGAAACCGCTGCTGACACAGAAGTTGCTCCTTCCGCGGCTGCCGCTTCAAACGGAACTGCTGCATGATTCGCAACCATTAACGCCTGACGCATGCACTCAATTTATTATGACTCATTCCGAAATCCTGCACATCGTTCTTTCCTCGAACAAGACCTCTAATACCCTCTTCTTCTCATTCTCATCTTATCTTCGCCATTGTCATCGTCTTCATTTTCGTCAATCCATTCAAATATTTTCGAAACATTTTCACAATTCAACCTAGATATCCTTTTTCATCTTCATTATCTTTGAATCTCTGTTTTTAATATGCCAAGTTTCTTTTTCCCCTTTACCGCTCTTCAACACAGGCATCCAATAGAGAATACGCCTCCGGCGACTATAAAATCATACGGCAACCAGCAAACAGAATATTCCTAACAAACACGGCATTGGACATTATTGTATATATCATTGGACGGGGAAATGTTCCATCTCTCCGCCGCTAAAGAAACCACCATATAACCTCATTTTTGGAGATACTTCACCGCGCAATATATTTCTTCGCACAGTTTTAAATGGTCATTTTTCCCTTCATGTACTTTTTGGAGCTCGACATGTTCTTCAATACGTATACTCTACATATGATATGCATCAAAGGGTCAAATGTTAATGGTCACTATCAAATTCAATGGTCCTACAAAATGCATCACATATAGAATACAGCACCTGCGTACGAGTCAATAAAATCGATCGATAGAGTGCCTTCCAAGTAAAATTTATTATGTTCAAAAGTTAATTGAATAATGATATGAAATATTAGAAAAGCCAAACCAAAAGATAAAAATAAAAAAAAAAAAAAAAGACCACGTTTCATACAAAGGACTGTCTTATCTCTAATCCAAGGTCCGCTCTTCCGTCATTCAATTGGACATGTCTTACTGCGGTAATAATACCTCTGTACAGACAATCTGGGGAGCAAAATCTAGTCTTGGGTAACCAAACAATTCAGGCGTCTGCCCAATCTTTTCTTTTGCTCCCTCGTGCTTGCTCCTATTTACTCTTTTGGTGGCACAGGCTCGACATTCCAGATAAGATCAGCATACTCCTGAATGCAGCGATCACTGGTGAAGAAGCCCATGCGGGCAACGCTTTGAATGGACTTGGTCAACCACTCGTCCTGGTTCTTGTACGCTTCGTCCACGAGGTCATGCGTTTGAATATACGAATGGAAGTCGTCGCTCACGAGATAATAATCGCCGTGGTCAACAATTGCATTAACGAGTCCGGAGAAGGCATTGGCATCGCCAAATGTGCCAGACTTGATAGCTTCAAACACTTTGAGTAGGTCCGGATCGAGTTCGTATTTGCCGTACAAATGGTGGTGGCGGAGCTCTTCCACATCTTCTGCGAGGTTACCAAAGAGGAAAATATTGGATTCGCCAATCTCGCGGGTAATTTCAATCTTGAAAAGACGTTAATACCTGAGCAGATAATGTGATGATTACACGAAAGAAGTGGGTTGGGTTTGGGAATAAATGTGCCAAACTTACGTTTGCTCCGTCGCAAGTTCCAATGATCAAGCCACCATTGAGGACAAACTTCATGTTACTCGTACCACTGGCCTCGGTACCGGCGGTGGAAATGTGCTCGCTGAGATCGGAAGCGGGGCAGATAATCTCAGCCTTGCTGACGTTATAGTCTTCCAGGAAGATGACCTTGAGAAGGTCCCCTACGTCCTTGTCATTATTGACAACCGCACCAACATTGTTGATGAGGTGAATGACGGTCTTGGCCATCCAATATCCCGGCGCAGCTTTTCCACCAAAAATGGACACGCGAGGAGCAAGCTTCTTGCGTTCTTCAGCAGTCATAGACTTTATGGCCAAGTAGCGATGGATGACGCCAAAAATATTCAGTTGCTGGCGCTTGTATTCATGGATACGTTTCACCTGAATGTCGAAAAGAGCAGCGGGATTGACGCTGACACCCGTAGTTTCCTTGATGACTCGTGCAAGGCGGACCTTGTTGGCGTATTTGATCTCCTGCCATTCCTTCTTGAAGGCCTTATCGTCAACATATCTCTCAATTTCGCCCAAAAGAGTCAAATCCTTGAGGAAATCGTAACCGCCAAGTTTAGATGCGATCAACTCACAGAGGCGGGGGTTAGCCTGGTGTAGCCATCGACGAGGTGTAATGCCGTTGGTTACGTTTGTGAACTTGTCGGGTCCATATATCTTCACGAAGTCTTTGAAGATGGTGGTCTTGATCAGGTCCGAATGAAGTTCGGCGACGCCATTGACCTTGTGAGAACCAATGATAGCCAGGAAAGCCATACGAACCATCTTTGGCTGAGACTCTTCGATAATGGAGACGCGAGAAAGCATCTCACGCTCCTTGGGGAAACGCCGCTCTACGGACTGAAGGAAGTAGAGATTGATGTCATAAATAATCTGAAGGTGGCGGGGCAAAAGATTCTGGAATAGGGGTACCGGCCATTTTTCGAGAGCTTCAGGGAGAACGGTGTGGTTTGTATATCCGAAGGTCTTGACAACGACTAGAAAGAGTTAGCATTAATGCAGGGAGTTTTCACATTAAAGGGATACAAACTTTGCCATGCCTCGTCCCACTCCAGGCCTTCCTGATCAATCAGAATACGCTGAAGCTCGACGACCGCCAAGGTCGGGTGAGTATCGTTCAGCTGAATCGCGACTTGGTCCGGGAACGCTGCCCAAGCGCGCTTCGTTTTCTTGAACCGGCGGACAATGTCGAAGAGGGACGCAGCGACCCAAAAGTACTGCTGCTTCAGACGTAGTTCCTTGCCACGTTCCAGACTGTTGTTGTTTCGTCAGTGGTGAGAATCACACAGGAACGTGGACGAACTCACTTGTCATTAGGGTACAAAACGGCTGAGATGGTCTCGGCGCGCTGTTGATCGGCAACGGAGCTCTCGTATTCTCCCCGGTTGAACTTTTGAAAGTCAAACTCACCACTGGCGGCCTTACTAGACCATAGCCGGAGATTGTTGGTGGTTTTTGTCTTGAAGCCGGGAACTAGTCTAGGGTTTAGTAACTGAGTCTTGTGTCTATCATCACTGCAAGGCACTGACTTGGGACATCATAAGCCACTGCTTCAACAATTTCGCCTCCTTCCCATACGGCAACATTCTTGCCAGTTTCATCCCTGTGGAGAAGTCAGGCATTTAAATTCTTCGTCTTTCTGCCTGCCCGGCCATTCGGCTTTACTTACTGGTATTTTCTCACATGGCCGTAAAATTGAATTTCAACGGTAATGTCATGTCTCGGAAATTCCCAGGGGTTGAAATCGAGCCAGTAATCAGGTACTTCGACTTGGTAACCATCTACAATTTCCTGCTTGAAGATACCATATTTGTATCGCAGACCATAGCCCCAGGCGGGGAAGTCCATGGAAGCCAGGCTGTCCAGGAAGCATGCTGCAAGTCGCCCGAGGCCGCCGTTTCCAAGAGCAGCGTCTCGCTCCTGCTTGATAATGTCCTCAATCCGAAATCCAAGTTCACTCAATCCGTCTATCAAACAATCAGCAGCTGGCTTAGTCGTGTGGAAAAGCTATCGTAAGAGGTACCTTTGGCAGCATTCTTGAATCCAACATTAAGCATAGCATTATCAAGGGCTCGACCCATCAGAAATTCTAGTGAAAGATCTATGTTCGATATTGGTTAGTAATGTAATTATCCATATTCTGTAAATTATGGGGTCTACTCACAATAAACACGCTTCTGATCAGCAAATGTATGACGCTGTTGAGTTTTATTCCATTCTATCACAAGGCGGTCTCGAAAAGCCAGGGCTGTCCCGGAATATGCGGCACTAGATGGCAATGAACATGCTATTTCCACGGGGGTATCTGAGCCGGCGCTTACAGTTCATCGCAGTTAAAGAGCGAACGAGCAAGTGTCGTTTCAATGTGACGCACGGCCTCGGCCTTGATATGAAATTTTAGCCCATCATTTCTCCAATTGGATAAATCGATCATTCTTACTTGAAATTCCTCCTTGGTCGAGAATTCCTGGGCGGTCTTCCATGGGTTGTCAGTAACAGTTGCTCGAAATTTGGAATGAGACGGAAACCCACAAATTTCTTCCAGCTGCATATTCAGCAATGTTAGCCAAAAATCGGCCCTTGAACAACGTCAGGCTTCATTCAGTATCATCGGTACATACGCTTCTCGTTGGGGCTCAGGAATGGCAGCCTCTACGCTCTTGATCTCACTCGGTCCAAAGCCGGTGAAGGTACGCTTGTGCTTCGGTCTGCTAAACGCCGGACCCACGGGACCCTGAAAATCAGACAGTGGGGCACTAGTAGAAGGTCTACGTTCTCTCGTGGCCGACATTTTTGCGAGGTGCTTAGCAGCGGCCCAATGTATCGTTAGAAGCCTGTATTGATGTTGTTTACAATGAAACGGCTAAAAGATATGAGTTTCCACCCGGGTATATGAGAGCAAGAGAACGATTGCCAACCTTGACCGCGGACGTTCAAATGTTGTGGATCGTGACGTCGTTCCACGTGGGTTGGTACAACGCGAGGCACAAGGGCGGGGTAGGTCAGTTCGTTACCCCGGACCGTGAAGACGTGGCTGCAGAAGCAAGAAAAAGAAAGCACAGATCGAATACGGCCGGGCAAACGCACGATGACGGGAGTTGGAACACAAGAATAGAGACAAAGGCGATAACCAATATCTAAAATATGCAAATAAAGTGCTGTACACCGAGCAAACGATGGAAAATGGGATGAGGAGAAGAGATGGTCAGAGGAAGTGGGAGTGGAGAAGGATAAAAGTAAGTAGGGTAGCTTGGCAGTGGGAAGCAGCGACGAGGAGGGTCAACACATTTCCTCGTACGATTGATAACTGCATTCGTAGGCTACCGGGGCATCGAGCACTAGAAACCCAGTCAGGGCCCGGACGGGGGTTCCCGAACAATCAATCAAATCCAGTAGGTATTTTAGTCAACTTTCCCCCCAAGACCATCTCAGAGCCATCATTTCACATGGTTTGGGTATAGCTCTTGGCTAAGCTGGACCCTGCAATGAGGGCGAGAAATCACGACAGTAAAGCATCCTGGCGGGCTTGGTGTGGATCGAGATCCACGCCGCGCGAATCGCCCTAGAGCTACGCAGTAATCAAGAGAATGCAGTAACACATTGTCATTGAGACAAGAAGCAGTGGGATGAGTGTCCATCAATGACTGTGAAGGTCAATTGGCTCCAATTGAGAGACTGCGAAAAATGAAGAGGGATAACGAGTACCCTGGAGGCATTCATTGGGGGTCCCATAACCACGTACCGTAACGGCATCACTGAGGGTAGAAGAACATGCGGAGAGACGGGGAAAGAGTGGATTCGCTCCGTCCTCACTAATGTTTAAGGTGCTTCTTAAGTGTCTTTTAGCGTTGAGTGGGGTTGCAGGCGACTCCAACGCTTCGGTGCAATTCCCGTCCCAAGTAGCGCTACCATCGATTCAAGTCGCGCTACTTATGGGGACTTTTGCACACTCGGGCCAACCTTTACAGGTCATGTGCCGATTCTCCTCTTAACCCCTCTTTCTCCATACCGAGGTAGCTTGTTGCTACAGTGCATGGTCGAATCTGTAGCAGAGAACAAGACTGCTTACTGAGAAGGATGACTTGGCATGGTCTTATCGTTCAATTGCACTCATACACTATCTACAGACTACGTGATCGACTCATCTGATGCAGATGCCAGTAAACGGTTGTGTGCAATCAAAGGAGTAGAATTATCGTATACCTTAGCTAAACAAGAGTCAATTGGCAAGTCGATCGGCTAAACTGATACGTACTTACACATAATTTACGGTACTCACTACGCTTTATCGTATTATCGGCCGGCCCAACGACCAACCCCTGCTCTCGGTCTTCAGAACCACCGGCCAGTCCGACGTCGTCATTTGCAGGGGCAAGCCGGAAAGGACGGACCTGGCTACAGAACCACATGTCCATATCACCCTCAACCGGGAATTTGGCATATCTCTCACAGTTCCGTCGTGCGTGCAATTAGAGCAAACTTTGCAGCGTGGTCATCCTGTTATACATTCATACATTCATTTAATTCATTTCATTTCCATCAACCAACTCAACCAATCAATCACCAATCGAAACCAATTCAACAAGGTTGCCGTCGACATTCGTCATTGGGCCGGAAGACAGGACTCCATCACATGGGACAATAGGATTAACCAGTCCACCCAAAAGAAAAGTAAGACACTTGGTAAAAGCCGTAGAAGACCTAGAATTCCCCAAGATTTCCCCTTTTGCGCATGGCCATTCTGGAAAAATGGCAATGCAAAGGGGAAACCCCCATCCATAGAAATCGGTTCCTCGAGCCTTCATCTGGTGCATCTTGTTCTGATTTCCCAATCTACCCTAACCGAACCATGTCTGTGCCGTCTTCGTCCTGCACGTGGAGAAAGAGACCTGCTCTTTGCGAACTTGTAAAATCTTCATCAAACGCATGCGTACGATTGGCATCTGCCCATCCAAATGATGGCGATGAGAGACGAAAAATAAAAGAAAGGTAGCACCAAAATGGAGAAAAGAGCGAAAACAACAAACACGGAATGGCCCACAAGGAGAGCGGGCCTTTTTGGAGCGGATGTAAGAGAACCCGACGTAAGTAAAATAAAAAAGAGGTAAAGCATCTGCGTCCCTCAACGACATAAAACAGTGAGCCCCAACTCCAATGCTCAATGACAAGATGCGGAGCATATTGGCCGCAGCTAGGAGAGATTATGGCCAAGTGCTCGTCTGGAAAAGATGAATATCAAATGATGAAAAAGACAAATCGTCTGTCGACATGACTAAAGTAAGTAAGAGATGCAGCTGTACACTTGAAAGGTAGATGGCTGGTTAAGTTATCGCGATCACTGAGACGCTGCCATATTTTACAGGATGCCCGAGTCTTTGAGCGCGTTGTGTAGAATGGTCTCCTTGACGGCAGCAAATACAAGTCGGATATTCGAGGTATCAGTCGCTTGAGTAAGGCTAAAATATTAACAATTTAGCAGGTGGTATATATGACGAGAGTAACAAAGTTCTGATACGTACTGTGGATATAGATTCAGATGGGCTCGGTTAACTTGGTTGAACCGCCACAAAAGATATTTTGCGGCACGATTTACATCGTTTCCGCCAGAATAGTCCGGAAAGTAGTTTCCCAGAGGAGACCGTCCTAGTTTCTGCTTGAAAAGGTCGACCTTGTTCAAAAAGAGGATGATGCTCGTTCGCATGAACCATCTTGAATTGACTACGGAATCAAAGAGAACCAAACTTTCAATCATTCGATTCTGAGTTGCAGAGTTAACACGTATCCTGTGCGGTGAGAAGAATTTTTGCTCACCTGATTGCTTTCCTCGAGGAGAACCTGGTCATATTCACTTAGCGCCACGCAGAAGATGATGGATGTCACATTTTCAAAACAATGAATCCACTTTTTCCTTTCACTGCGCTGACCACCAACATCGAACATGCTATGCAGCATTATTAGTGACTTCATTTTAAGGCAAGCTTAACTGCTCCACGTACTGTATGCTGAGTTGACCCATAGTAAACCGGGTCTCATAAATACCGGTAGTCTTTGTCCGAGCCCGTAGGACATCAGACTCGATAGGTATGTAATCAGGCGCAGCTATGCGCTGAACTTCTTCAAAAAAGCTTTAATGTATCTTAGCGATGTTTTTTCGGCAACTGATTATACGGGAAGATAACTCACTATGGTGCTGAATCCATGAGGTAAAATTCACTTTGATGTTCCATCACTTTTGCTATACAGGGGTCTTTCCAGAGCGAAGTCACTGCATCTCCAACTTTGGACTCCAGGCAGGTGTGTGGGTCTGGATCAACCTGGTAATCCAGAAGATAATCGCAGTATTCTCTGTTCTGAGGATTCTCGGGATCTATCTCGAACTGACGCATTGCTCCGACAAGGGCTTTAGCGCAGTCCAATAGATTCTTATAGACAGTCAATCGATACAGAGCAAGCTCATCCACAGTGTAGCCGTTTTGGTGAATGATTTTCATTTGCTTCACGATTGTTGACTTTCCACTTTCGCCGGATCCTAAAGCGCCCAATTATTATCTCTCCTCGAAAATTCATGCAGCAAAAATCTCCATACCTAGCAAAAGTATCTTGCATTCTCGTCGAAGCTTCCGAGAATCCTCTTCGAGTTTCCGATCAATCATTTGACTCCTCTTTCTCTGCTCCCCATCTTCGGAGTCGTTACTCATGCAGATTCCCATTTTGTCTATAGATGATGCAACCCTCTGGCCACAGGAAACAATGAGATGAGAATGAAAATATAAAAATGGCGCAGCTTTCGAGAGTCTGATTCGAAATTCGTTGCTGGTGTGATGGAATTCGAGGCTAGGCTTCGGGAATGTCTAACCTTCAGCCTCGTGTCACAGAATTTCGTGAAGAATCGGCCAGTTGTATCTCGTGGAGCACTGGGCGGGTGTTGAATTTAGCCCCGGTCGAGGGCCCCAGATCCAGCTCACCCGCCGAATTAAGCAAACTGCACGCAGGCACCACCGAAAAGGCTTGAGATCCCCCGATAGATTACCACCCAGTACTTTCAGTACTGGTGGGAGAGATAGGGAACAGGGGACGGATATTGAGAAATTCGGCGGTCCAACGTTGTCGTGGCTTGCGGATCCCTCGGGAGCAAGTGAAGCACCGTCAAGGAAGGCCCTGAGCTAGTACCAGGTTCTACACACCCAGTTACGCAGGAATCATTTGCTGAAGCTCCGTAGATTTATGAGTGAACAGGATGCGAAAAGCGACAGGGCAAGGCGTCGACTAATGGTAGGTAGAGCGACCTTAATCCCGTCTACACGGTCCGTGACGGGTTCGCCAATGAGCGATACCAGAAGCGAAAGTAGACAAGCCAATAATTGACGCTGTCAATGGGCTCAGCTGACGAAAAAAAAGCTGAAATGAAGCCTTGCTGTGGGCGAAGGAGGTAACTTGGCAGGTGCGACTGTGCTACACCTTTACGAGATCTGCAAAAACGGACGCTTGAACGTCCGTGTCGAAAGGCGTGAGTGTTTTTGAGGCGATATTGAGTTTGTTGGCGGTTTGATTCTCTAAATTCCAAGGTGAGCAGAGATGCAAAGGGCGGGGTGAAGGTAGCTGCCAGACGCTGGCGGTGGTGATGATGTCGAGGAACCGGCCAGCGATGATGCTCCTAACCTGTCTCTCTACTTACTCTCTTGATTACGGTACGCTACGGGAGCATAGGCCGAGTTACCTTAGCTAAGGTCCAGCAAGCGACTTTCGTTTTGGCGGGATTACGCTTTGCGAGGGGCCGGGTAATGCCTCACAGCTCGCCAAAATGCTTGGGGGCTTAGTCTACCTGCATTGGTCCGCGGGGCGGAGATCAAGAGATCAGGTGGGATGATGATTATTATTGTTATTATTGCTGATGTTATTATGATTATAAAGTCGCCTTTAATACAACATTATTCACGAACTAGACTGTCTTGGATCGACCGAAAACATTGCAATTGCTTGAACCAGACCTGAAACTAATTCACAAAGAGACTGCGCATTATTTTGCTGTGTCCATGTTGAGCCATCGGTTTTCTCCGTCTCTGCATGGAACTGCATAATTTTATTGCAGGTGAACATAACTGAGCTTACTTCCTAACCGGGTCAGATTTGTGCACTCACGCTAAGCCGTTCGTATGCGAATGACCGAGACAATTTCAAATAATGAGTTTCTATGCAATGGCCATTAGCATCAGGATGGAGATGACAAACAGGCGGAGACCTAGCACGAGCTGTGATCGTGGTTCTCTATTCGCACTATAAGCATTGAATTTAATTCTCATTAACTAAGCAGCTATATGAACCTCCGTGTTCTGCTTGGATTCCGCCTTTCCGAGTCATCGATCATTAGTCGTGGCCTTTCTAGCGGGGCGCAAGAGTGAGCGGATGCAGTCTGCTTCCTAAATTGCCTCATCTCCAAAATCGATTGCTGCTTAATGAGCGCATGATGTCAATGCTTTGAATTTTACGAGAAGAAACGATTTTGGGAAGCATTGATTTTTGTAAATTTTTTTTTTTTTTTTTTTTTTTTTTTTCCCTTCTTCGATTATATTAATGAGAGAAGATTTACAGAGAAAAGACAAGAAGCAAAGCCAGAGTAGTGCCGATAATAAAACTTAAGGTACCTTCACTATAGACCCTCGTTACGAAGAAGACGCAGCGATACAATAGCCATGTATTTCAGCAATCTTGGAAGGAGGGAAAGCAAAGCAGTTTATACAACGACATCCGATGATCTGCGAAATCCCATAATGGCGTACAATATCGATCACTTGATCTCAACATTTTCTCACGTGCTAATATCGTTTCTGAAATTAGGAGGAAGGGGAATATTTCTGGCGAAGAATATCATATATTTGTATTTTGCAGTATTGTGAGAAGCTGGTCGACATATTGCATCCAGAGCTAATTGCTCACCATACGATTTTGTCATAATTTTATTCCCACAAGTTTCTCTGGGGCCATGTTGTCTTGGAATACGGGATGATACACGCTCCACAGCCGACATGGTACTGCTATTATTCTGTACTCCAGGCTCCAGAATGGCTGGGAGCCTGGAAGTAAGGTACAAGGGTAGACAGGTTAGAGCAATTAACAGTCAGCCTTACCGTCTCAATCTCAATGCATCGTTGAATTGAACATTCTTGCACCGCCAGGTCGATCTGAAATTGCCGTGCCAATCTCTATATTTTCGGAAACCATGGTGAAACAAGCTCAATGATTTGGTTTCTTTGAAGTGATAATTCTTCAGCCGCGATCCACAATTAGCATGCCACTTGGTTCTTCGAAGGAGGCTTGCGATCACGTGCAAGCAAAACTACTAAAATCCTTAAATCCCACAAGGACTGCGTGGCTATTAGCTCAAGGAGGTTTTTCTGGGGATGTCCTGTTTAGATCAACGTTCGATCGACGATGCGGGTAATCTAAAAGGAGATCTGGCAATTGATAAACTCCATACGATCAGTCTAGGGTAGAACGGGCTGCTTGGCTGAAAGTTGTGAGATTGTCACCAGGGTCAAATTCTTAGCGCTAACCTTGAACGAATACTTGATGTCCTTGATTTTCCAAATACCTCACTTATTTCTGTGCATTGCTTAGTATATCGCTAAATGCACTTCAGTTTTCAAAAGTGAACTAGATCCTGTAAACACGATAATAAAAAAACAGTTTGAGAATTGGAAAAGGGTTGATCGACTAAATGAAGGATAAAAACGGTATGGTAAGTCTTCTTTCAATTTTCTGATGCTAAAATTGTATATGATCATTCCCAGTCATTATTGTCGTCCTTTATTTACTGATTTCTGGAATATGCAACGGACAAAGGGAGATGCGCACGTGTTGTGGCTCTCATCACGTTTGGCACCTTGTCCCGAGTCCGGTTGTTCGTCCGAGCCAATCAAAAGGCCGGACCATAGCCGCGGATTTCCTTTGTTTTTAAGATTGAATACCTATCTAGGTAGGTAGATAATTTATCACTTTCATTCTACATCTCTGTTCGTTTTCCTTGTCGATACGATGGCATAGATCGCTCTTTCCCTTTCACAAACCACTCGACTGGACATTGGAAGGAAATCTTCCAGATCTTGTTTTGCTTGGTTGATACAAAGTGGGGCTAGAGGGGAAGCTATGATGACGATGTTGCTGCGGTCGCGATGGTTACGTCACAGATACCATGCTGGCGTTCTCGTCTGGCCAGTGGCTGGTGGAGCAGGTACCCGGGTACCCCATAGAGGCACCTGCCAAGGTTTTGCATCGCTGCCCGGCCCTGTCACACGGTCTAGACTGAGCCACCCGATGCTGGCGTTACGACCTGATGCTCAAGAGAAAGGGGGAGAAGTGGAGAGAAAGGAGATGAAAAGTGAAAAGGTGGCTCAAACAGGTAGGGAGCGAAAGACATGCAAGCTGCGTCTTGGTCAGAATACTCCGTACGCTGAAGTGCCCTGTGGTCGCGGGGCTCTCCGTGCAGTAGAGCCCTGTGGGCCGAGGCTGGTGACGTGCAACTTTTTCTTTTCTCCATGGGTGGGATGCCGCGAGATCTAGCCAACTTGATGTCCACCATTATGATATTGCCATTTTGACAAAAATTTTCCCATTTCGCCCCAATTTGCCCATCTATAGCTCTCCCGACCCCAACCAATCCCTTTACCCAGATTTGCTGCGGTGCTGACTTACCCGCAGTTATACCCCCGTAGCTTCCAGTTAAGTTTCCAGCCTGGTCAATCCCCCGGACTTCCACTGTAGTGAGCCCCGGACGAGGCGCTGATCGGCGTGTGAACGTGTGGTTTTTAAACTTTGTACGACATATCCTGTGTACAAACCTAATGTTCGACCGAACTGTGAAATCCGTCTTGGATCTATCCAATGAAGCTCGCCTGGTGTTCGCCTTCACACACACAGAGAGAGAAACGACTGAAATAAATGTGGCCCGGACCAAGTTGACTGACTATACGAGTAGGCAGAGTACCCACGTACTAACATAGAGATCGGGGACCCGGAGTCTCTCCATCTTGCTTTGTCTTTCCCGCCTAGAAGAGCAAATCGTCGATCTCGCAGTCGGGAGTTCCATCGTTACACCTCCTTGTTTCCCCTGTTACAGTAGTTATTACCCAAGATTCCCAGTTAGACAGTAGTTATTATTACCCTAGGGCATCAATCCAGTTACAGTAGATTTTCCAATTCCCCTCCTTCCTTCGTCAAAGGCAAGGAAATTGATCAGCTTCCCCCCCACCAGACCCTGCTCAATTACTTCTTCCCATTTACTATCCTTATCACCATCATCGTGGTCGCTGTCGTCAATTCCACTCGTCTCACCTTCATACTCATTATCTGCCTCGGCGGGACTACTAAAGGCACCCAAGGCGCTAGAGTCAACCGCGGCCTCCAATTTGCCGTCGTCGTCCGCTCTCTTCTCCTTGTTGAATAGCAAGAACGCCGCTCTCTTTCGGCATCACCACACGTTCTTCTTTACTCAACTCTCCGCCTACTCGAGTCTTCGCGTCAATATTGCGATCTTCGTCTCCTACCATTCTTCCTGTGTCGTGAATCAGAGGTCCCTCTTCACGCAAATTCATCTCCGCTGTCTCGCACAGTGTGCCACTTCGTTATTGCACCAGCGTTGTGAAAAGCCCATCGCGACACTCACCTTCATTCCGCCGCCACATCATCTACCTTTATTCAACTTGTGTGGCCCAACGGTGCCTGCCTCCTTTCATTGATTTTTCTCCCCTTTTCGACAACGAATCTTCAAGATGGCCGAATTCGTGCGCGCTCAGATTTTTGGCACCACGTTCGAAATAACGAGCAGGTAGACAATTTTGTTCCCAGTGCCGCGATTGAGATGGGTGTATTGACAATACTCGACAGGTACACCGACCTCCAGCCGGTGGGCATGGGTGCATTTGGTTTGGTCTGGTAAGATTTTTCTGCCCCTCTCAGAAGCTCCGTGGATATCTTGTTGACCATGACTGTGACAATAGTTCTGCCAAAGACCAACTTACTAGCCAGCCCGTGGCAGTCAAGAAGATAATGAAGCCTTTCAGCACCCCTGTGCTGTCCAAGAGAACCTATCGAGAACTGAAGCTTCTGAAGCATTTGCGCCACGAAAATGTATGCACTTTGCCGCCTTTCATCTTGATTTCCTACACGTCCCGCTGACCTGCCTCAAAGATCATTAGTCTTAGCGACATTTTCATCTCCCCGCTGGAGGACATGTGAGTTTTATTATTGCTCAGAGGACTTTGACTGGTCGATTGACCCTGGGCAGCTATTTCGTAACGGAGCTTCTGGGAACGGACCTCCACCGACTTCTCACCTCCCGACCGCTAGAGAAGCAGTTTATTCAATACTTCCTCTACCAGATCCTGGTATGAATCCCCGCGCCGCCCAACCGCTTTCTGAAATCCGACTAACTTCCTATCAAGCGTGGTCTGAAATACGTGCATTCGGCTGGTGTCGTCCATCGTGATCTCAAGCCTAGCAACATTCTCATCAACGAAAACTGTGATCTCAAGATCTGCGACTTCGGTCTGGCCCGAATTCAGGACCCCCAAATGACGGGCTACGTTTCGACGAGATATTACCGTGCGCCGGAGATTATGCTCACGTGGCAAAAATACGATGTCGAAGTTGACATCTGGAGCGCGGGCTGCATCTTTGCTGAAATGCTTGAGGGCAAGCCTCTCTTCCCTGGCAAAGACCATGTCAACCAGTTCTCCATCATCACGGAACTCCTCGGAACTCCCCCAGATGACGTGATCAAGACGATCTGTAGTGAAAATGTACGTTTTGCGCTCCGCAGCTCAAATTTTCGTACTAGATGCTAATGATGTCTAGACGCTGCGGTTCGTTCAGTCCCTTCCCAAGCGCGAGCGCCAACCATTGGCGAACAAATTCAAGAATGCCGACCCGTCAGGTAAGCCACCATTCTCCGACACATGGGTATACGAAGACTAACTTTCGGCCAGCTGTCGATCTGTTGGAGCGGATGCTTGTCTTTGATCCCAAGAAGCGAATTAGCGCGGCGGATGGTTTGGCCCATGAATATCTGGCCCCCTACCACGACCCCACCGATGAACCCGTGGCAGAAGAAAAGTTTGACTGGTCATTCAACGACGCTGATTTGCCGGTGGACACATGGAAGATCATGATGTACGTGTGCGCGTGAAGGGGAAAAAACGCAAAACCCTTTTGCATGAGCAAGTTAACTAACTCTTCTTACTCGGACAGGTACTCCGAAATCTTAGACTACCACAACGTGGATGGTGTGGCGGAGGCTGCTGCGTAGAAGAGCCATTTTGCCGTTTCTTCTTTTTCATATTTTTAAACGTCACCGTTCTTATGATTCACCCCTTTCTTGTCCCGCTTCTGCTCCCCCAAACGCACGCAATTCCTCTATCCACGTCTGATTCATTCACCGCTTGGCACATATGGTGTGCCTCCACATACGACCCTCCGAAGGACACATGAGATGGGAGCGGCCAGATTCTGGTTCTTGATGAGCTATTCTATATGCGCGGGAGCGTCAATTGCTGAAATACTTGCCTTTCCAAGCCGTTGGGCAACTGGTCAGGAGGTTCTGGCCTTGGGTATGAGGGGATACGCTCTCACCTCTTGGAATGCGTGGCGTTGTTGCGGTGTCTTTTTCGATCGCAAATTAGTATATGAAGCAGCGTAATCAGATTTGAAATGTTGAGTATATGACTAGAAACAATGATATACAAAATAATTCCTCGAATGCGATGGAGCATAAAAAGGGCTTCTGGGTATTGGTGATATTTGTATTTTGGATTTGCCTTGTACAGAAGAGCGACCCATCTGTGATGATAGTCACGCCGATCTTAGCTGAAATTGGAGGTAACCGGTTCTGTTTGGGTTCTTGTCCAGTGACGTTCTAGGCATAGAGCTTTACCGAAGGAGACCCACGATTTCTTAAGCTTCTTGGGTCAGAGGGGGTTTTCCCAGGGAGCTCTGACAGGATCTCCGATCGTAAAAGGGTATTTTATGTGCGTTATCAGTGTCATTGCGAACGTGATCAAGTCCTTTTCTGTGCAAACATCTCTGCCCCTACCCCCTGCAGTATGTGTTGCATCCTCTGATGCGGCCGAGTAATATAATACGAACGGAGGATGGCCGGCCACGGCAGCGGCTTCGACCCGGTCGTAACGATCGTTGGATTTCATCACGCACGGTTCGAGGAGCTCCTAGGGTCCTTCCGAGGCATGCCTCCAGCTAACTGAAAATTCTACAGAGGACCTGAGATTGAAAACTGGTGGGGGGTCGCGGACGGTAGAGATCTAGCCTCTGAAAATGAGTGGAGCTTGTTGCCATTCATGGCCCTCTCGGACGGTGCCCATGCGTGAGCTCTATGACCTCCTTTTTCTGCGCCAAAGGGTATTCGATTAATGCTTTGTATAAATACAGAACGTCTGAAGGCTTCTCCTACTTTACACTCCGCCATGAGGCGCAGGGCGATCGGCCTGCCACGTCGCTGTTCGGCATTTCGTGTACTCGACAAATGGACTCGAACGAACTGATAAACCGACCGGCCGAGGTCACCAGATCGACAGTACAGAAAGCTGTAGTAGTGATTGCAGATAGTCCGCAGTATTTTGGTCATCTTCGGGAGAAGCTTTCTGTGGTTACCAAGGCATGGTTCGCGCAGCGGTACGACTTGGCAGCCTCGTGTCACTTCGATTTAAACATGCTGAGACTTTTGATATCAGAGACTTTTCAGATGTGGATATCATCAAGGTTCGAAATCGCGCTTCGGCGGGCAAAGATATCTAAACTAAGAGAAGTTTAGGAATTCCAAGCCAGCCTTAAGCAGACCCTTCACGATAACGATGCGGACAAGGATCAATATCTGGGTAAACATTATCCGTATAGAGTGTGAATGACTACAGACTACGAGTGCTAACATTTGGATTATTTAAAGGTCTTTCATTACGAGAGATGATTCACGAGTTCAAATACCAAACGCTGGTGCTTTTCAAATGTTGTTTATTGCAGCCAAAGGTAGGAGGCATTTGTGATTACCATTTCGTCCTGGCTATTGACTCTATTAGATGCTCTTCTTTGGCACTCGCTGCGAACGCCTATGCATGATGCAATTTTCTCTCATTTCCCTCATCCCAGGTCTAATTCGAAACCTTCAAGATTGCGCCGATCCTGATTTGAACAACCTTGAGAAGTCTTCAGTCAAGCCCACATCGCTGAGAACCAGTGATAGAAATTCCTGTAGGATGTTGTACTGCTGCTCATGAGGCTCCGTCGCTGACACAACATCAGTATTGTCCTATATGGGGCTTCCGTTACAGCTTTTTGGCAAGGTCGGTAAAATGATGGATGAGCTTCGGCAGGCGAATGAACTGAAACCGTAAATAGGGGAGCCTTTTCGGCCCATATACGCCGCTGCAGCAGCTTGATTTGCTCGCTGATCACGGAACGAAATCGTACATTGTTGGGTCTACCAATACCCTGCTTCTCCAGCAACGGGACAGATATAGCGACATCCTCGTAAACGTAAGCTTTGGGTTATTGGCTAGTCGGGAAAATTTCTAATTTGGCTCTAGTTGGATGAAGATACGATTGATATTTCCTCCCCTTCATTACGGGGGGTCTTGTCATTAACTGTGGCTGATCGAAGATGGATTGACTTCCTGACGCAAGCAGTCAACGATACTTGGGATCCCGGTAAGGGCCTTGGACTGCTCTTCGGCGAATATTGCTAATATGATATATAGCGAATCCGGAACGACCCAAGACTATGGGATACGCTGGCAGCGAAGACTTCATCAGGCTTCAATTTGAGGAGTACATATTAGCCTTGATTGCATCAGTCAAATACCGAATGCATGCTGAAAAGCACAAGAATGAGCCGAGTCAGCTCTTACCAGATATAGGTAGGCCCATATCTGAATAGATCTGTATTTATAGATGAAGTATTGACGAGTAATTCAGAAGGGGACCCTGGCGCCGACTTTGGAACCGAGTGGATCGAAGCTTGGATGAAGACTGACAATTTTAGGATTTTCCAAGAGTTTACAGGCAAGCTCATTCGTTTCCTCAAGTGTAACTTCTTTGCATCATCCTAACACAAACATATAGATTCACATTTATTCGATATTGTCGAGCCTCGACACCCATGTGCGGGCGGCCTTACGATAGAAGACGTGCAGCGTCGATTAGCACAGTATGTAGAAAGACCGAACTCACCAGAGAGGAGGAGTCTGATGCTGATCTGATCACTTTACAGTCAAGTCGCAGAACTCCACTTGGATGAACGCCTCAACACTGGCCGTGAAGCTCTAGGGAAGCATCTGGCCAGTGGCCAGAAGAAAGTGTCTTCCGCATTCAATACTCTTTGGGCAGACATTGAGGTTATGCGCGAAGCTCAACGGAAACGGCAAGAAGAGCATCGTGCCGCAGCAGCCGCAGCCGCAGCTTCTAGCGCTTCGCAACCGTCTTCCTCAACTCATGAGGGTGGCTGGGCCGGGTCAAAATGTGAGTCTCCCATTACTGTCTCCAGCTTAATCATGATACCCATTCCAAACCTGCTGCATTGATCGTTCTATCTGGCAGTCATACAAAACCACTGAAAAAATACGGGCGGAAAGCTAAAAATCATTACAGTTTCTCGCGCTCCTGATTTCTCGGCCGCCCAGTCCTCTGTAGCAGCAGCCTCGTCCCGAGCAGGAGCATATCTTTCTTCTTGGACGCAGTGGGCCAGCGAGAAGCGCCGAACAGGCTGGAACAAACCCAATGTCCCCGCCATACAAACCTCGCAACTGCCGACAACGCCATCGACCCAGCCCGCCCAGCTGTCCTCCTCATCTGTGCCCTCGTCTCCGGTTGGACAGCTGCACTCTCAGACACTCTCTAAAGAGGAGAAAGGCGAAAGCAGCCCGCAATCCCCTCAGCACCGCCATGATCATCAGCAGCATCGCTTTTCCTTGTCACCTACAAAGCGCAGATCAATGAATGTGTTTACTTCTTCATCAGCAACGGAACCGGTGTCAAGTCCGCAGGACAATGAAAAGACCGCTGCACCGGGACATGAGACAGACAATGGGGGTGCAAAGGAATGAGATTACTAAAGAGCCTGGAACGAGCATTGATACAGACCCCTACGAAGAGAGAAAAGGGAGGGGCAGGGGGGAAGGAGAGGAAAGCAGTTTTATATATCAGTCTCGGAAGTGTCGAATACACGCGCCAACGGAAACCCCAACACACTCACATTACAGAGTATACGTATATGTATAGCATTGGAATGACATCGAATGTTGTCAGCCGAGCAAATTGACAGAATAGTTGCAAGTTTTTACTTCCACGACGATAATAAGCTGTGCAGTAGATTCATACCAAATTGTAGTATGCCTTGCAGGGTACAGTGCAGTACCAACAGAGCATTGTGCAGCGCAGTATACTAGAGAGCAAGCTAGGGAGAAGACAGGGTAGGACAATGCAAGATAAGACACATACAAGCCAGCGGGGTAAAGATAGAATAGCCACAACCTTACATGGTTTGCTCAAGGGTATATTTGCCCTCTGGTCCGTCCAAATGGGCATCAAGCACGGCAGAGACGCCTTGATTCTGGACTGCCTCTACAGCAAGGGGGAGTAATTTATCTAGATCCTCGACTGTCGAGGCACGGGCGGCAAAGAGGTTCCCGCCTGCAGCCGCCTTGGCGATGCCTGCGTAGTCGGGAGTAGGCACGAGAGAGATGTTAAGTTCTTCATTGGATGCGCGGGAGCCGAGGCCGTCAGGGTGAACAAGCAGGAGAGAGCGGCGAGGTGCGTTCCAGCCTAAATTTTTTTGTCAGTTTGTCAGTATCCGTTATATTGTACTATTTGACACAGAAGGAAATGCATTTCTGCCGAATGTATAGACATACCCTTATTGTTCAAGACAATCGTCAGAATTGGAATGCCATAGCGCTGACAGATCCAATACACACTGCCTGGTACGCTGAACAAAAAAGTGCCATCACCCACAATCTGGCAGACAAATTTGTTGAGGCCAATAGCCTGGGTGGCGAGCTTGACTCCCAGCGCTGCACCGCCAGACCATCCTAGTCCGCCGCCGCCGCAATTGATCCATTGCCCGGGAAGCGTGGCCTGGAGCTGGTCGTGCACTAGGACGGACTGGGTGACGGCCTCGATGCAAAAGATGGTGTCCTTGGGTAGGGCACGCCGCAGGGTTGCTACGAGGTAAGGAGTCGAAAAGTGGCCATTGGCAGCGGGCTGGGCCTGATCAGTGATACTTTGAAGCCGTAGACGGTGCGAGTCCAAGAGGTTCTCCCAACGTTGGTGATAGAATGGTAGTCGTAGCTTGGCGAGAAGATCTGGACGCGCTTCGATTAGGGCATTGATCTGGCTGAGCGCCGTACAGCTGTCGGTGCGGTACCGCTGGTGCGCAGCGATGTAGAAAACCGGCATTTGCTGTTTGAGCGGATCAACATCTAGATGAATAATTTTTGCGTCGGCCCGAGGCTGGCATTGCGTGTTGATCCAGGGCACGTCGCAGTCAATCACGAGTATAACATCTGCTGTCTTGATGCTCTCGTCCACGCCGAATCGCAGCCCAAGCCATCCTGGGTGATCAGCGGGGAAACTCATGTCTGATCCGGCCGTATCGAGGACACGTAGACCTCGAAGTGTATCTGCGAGCTTGACCAACTGGTTGACTGCAGCATGAGTGCGACCCAGATAACCGGTTATGACGAGTGGTTCTCTGGCATTGACGAGCAATTCTGCAATGCTCGCCACGGCGTCCGGGAAGAGTCCACATGGTTCAACGGGTGTCCATTGTTCCTGAACAAGAGAATATGCGTCAATTTCCTCCTCCATGGGCTCCCGTGCTCCGACCAGGTAAACGGGTCCCTTGGGATCGCTCATGGCAAATTGCAAGGCCCGATTGACCATTTGTTTGACATTCTTGCCGGTTTTTATTTCGCCGGTGTAGCGGCAGTACTGTCCCAGAATCGCCGTCTGGTCCCGCACATCTTGAATCCAATGAATATATTCTGTTCGTGAGCCGCGCATTTCGCCTTCAATAGTATATGGCGAGAGGCCGGCAAATATAAATACAGGAGCGCGTCCGGTGGAGGCATTGTGGACTGCGGCCCCGAGACCCTGTGTACCCACGTCGACGTGGACTATTACGCATTGCGGCTGGTTGGTCAGTCGGGCATATCCGTCTGCCATTGAAAGAGCAACCATCTAGATATTTTATTTTTGGGTAAGAATTTTGCACCACTGCACATTTTTAATAGCTTCACACTCTTACCTCATTAGGGCATGTGATAATCTTTGGAAATTTGCCCTGCTTTTCATTTTGCCCTTTGACTATAGCTTCGATGATGCTGGGATGGTCCGATCCAAGATTGACAAAACAATGTGTAATACCGGCCTATAGCAAAGTCCATCAATTCAGTCAAGGCGAAGCAGAGAGTTGATCACAGCAACACCAACCTCCCATATCGCCTCAAAAAATGCAAAAGATGCTGTATACCTGTTCATGGCCAAGTTTTTCAGTAGCATTCATCTAGGGCGCTCTAGTTGTTCAGCATTGTTACGTACATTATGCTGCTTTCAAAGCTAGGACTATCCGTTGAGTTTCAAAGACAGTGAAGGACGAAGAAGGGTAAACGGGAGAGACAATGCCCAGGGTCCTAAGCGTCCTAAGCGTCTAGTAGTCATCCCGAATCTAACCATTGAGCCAGTTCCATTCGAGACGGGGGGTGGAGGAGGGGGAAGGCATGCAGTGTTCTCTCCACCTCCCATGTTCCTTGCGAAAAGGGTCCTCGTAGCTGCTCTCCCCCTCGTTCCCCGCATGACCCTCTAGGGTAAACTGGGGGTAGTGGGGGATTGACCCGAGTACCGACGCCAAGCGAGAGCCGATCTCCCTCAAGAGCCGTCGGAATTTAGTTGACCCTAATCCACTGTCACCCATGCGTCAACATCGAAAGGTTCACCGTCCCCTGAACGTTATGCAACAGCATCATAAACAATTGTTGATTTTTTTCTTCTCTCTGTATTGGTCAAAAATGCCCTGAATTAGTACTACTGACAAAGACAGTCCCCGCCACCTGGTATCATTAAACGTCTGCCCAAGCTTTACTTTCGAACAGGAAAATAATTAACTCTGGAATGAAAAGAAAATCCCCACCAAGCCTAAAAAGCCAAGCCCACTTGCCTATTACCGTCCCAGATGTTGCGACGGCTATGGTATACGTCATAACTCGCGGTTCCCTCCTGCATGCCCCACATAGCGGCGAGCTTCTCTTGACCCAAATTGGCTTGAGGGTCCAGACGAACACTTCCCGGAGAAGAAGTCGCAGATGCTGCATTCTGGGAAAAGAAATCCGTCGAACAAATTGAGCCTGAGCGGGTGGAAGGACTCGTCGTAGCTGATCCAAAGGATGGAGGCGTCTTTGGTGTATCGTAGCTCTGAGAATGGGCTCTTTGCTCTACGAGCAGCGCAGCCTCCGGCGAAGTATTTATCACGGACGTTCGGAAAAGCCAACGTGCGATTGAGGAACGGCCAGTGAACCGCGTCGGAAGCATGTTATAACTTGGTGTCTCTAGCTTCGGAGGAAGTTGAGGCGGCAGCAGCTGCGGAGAGAAATAGGATACGTCTGATGGAGTAGGAGTAGGCGGAAGAGGACGCTGGAGGACCGAGGCTCGTAAATATGGTCCCGCCGAGCGTGAGCGTGTGATATTGGGACGGGATTGGCCCAGCGATGTTCCCGCCAGCTGAGTAGGATTCTCAGACTTGCCAGAAGCTGGAGTCAGATGCATCGCACCAGAAGAGACCTCCTGGATGCTGTCCATGCGTGCTGGTTCAACGCAGAGCTTCAGCGCCCGCGATGAATTCTTTCGAGAATTCTCGTCTTCGAATAAATCGTTTGCAAGACCGCATTTAGACAATGAACCGCGGCTTCTTTGAGCAAGGTCACTGGTGGAGGAGGTCCTACCTAGTAATGGCTTTTCACCGTTGCGGGACCGCATGGCAGCCAGTAAACTTTGAGTGCTAGGTGAGTCGGGAAACCCCAGTCCAGTATGGAGCGGGTTCGCTGTCCATTCCGTAGCCGTAGTCGATGGAGTAAGATGGGAGTCAACACTGTGACGAACGCTCAAGGATCTACGACTGTCCCCTGAAGCAATAGGCTTCCTGGGAATAGCAAAGTTTCGAGATGTCTCTGAAACTACACTTCCACGTCTCGACTTAGTCGGCGCCAGCACCGAGCGAGCTCTTGGTCGTGGCTCGTCACAGGAATATGAATGAAAGCAAGGCAAAGGAGAGAGAATGTTCTCAGGATGATGGATACTGAGCTCCAGAGGGGAAAAGCCTTCGGCATCTCCAAATCCATCTATTCTTCGAAAATTGGATGCAGCACTGATGACAGGTCGTGCTGACTTGGTTCGATGAGACCTTCTGCTCGAGAGACTAGCCATCGACAGGGGACGCGCAATCATGCGTGGCATTGCGGCCCTTGGACGAGATGAATTGGGAGGCAATGCCGCCTTCTCGGGAGGAGTGAAAGCCTTCGCTGGTGCGATCGGCCGCGGCTTGATGCACTTTTGACTTTCCGATTTTTCGACTGTCATTGATTATAAGAAACATTTTACACGCTACTACTTTATTGCAAAAGTCAGAAGACTTACCACTGTGCTCTGGCCTTCCATGTTGATCGTCAACATCGAGGTGGGGAAAGCAGCAGGAAAAAGGGAGGACCAGCCATCGCCTGCATACCCGTTCCACATCATCACAGAAATTTGACCATGTCATGACGCTTTCCACGACATCATCTCGCCCGGCGAGAGTAAAGGTGAGATTGAGAGCGGTGCTGTCATATTATACTAAAGACTGAGGGCAAATAAGGCATGCAGACCAACAAGACAGGCACACCCACAGAGACGGGGCCACGGGACACCAAAGCGGCTTTTGTCACAAGGTGACTATTGGGAGGGGGGAGGGGGTCACCCTTCATGAAGCGCCCATTCTCGGGATATCATTGAGCTACACATAGAAGCCCAAGGTCACAAAGGTTTGATCTTAGAGTAGTCGTTTGATCCTAATGTAAGAGAGATATTGGTGTGGTGATTCAGATTGGTCCAAGTCACTTACTCGGTTGTTGATAGGCCCACGGCAGGATGGCCAATTTGTCTCGCCTGTCACTGCCCGGGCGCTTAGACGGGTCTGATCCACATGGCAGGCTTGGAACCGATTGGTTTGGTCCACTCAAAAACCATGTCTACTGCAGCGGTGTGAAAGAGATCCCTGTGGCGCTTTTTGACTATCTTGATGCAAGGGAAATTACTGGTAAACACCTTCGCACATGGAGTCCCAAGACATGATTGCTCAGAACAGGTCATACTAATTCACAATGGGCGCCTTATGGGCGCAGTAATAATCCCCAAGACTCTTCTAACACATACAAAGATAATATGCAAACACTCAGGGACGGGCAAACTATTTCCAGGTCCCTCATCAATGTGCGTCGGTAATCGTCGATCACGGCTGCAAGAGCTGCCCCAAAAGAATAAAAAGGGAATAAAACAATTAAAACGCCTGTGCCATGTGTCTGCTGAATAACTTGACCCAAAAGAGCCATGTACAGCACCCAAGTGAAAGGAGGATATCAATCGTCATGCTCGCTCACGTTCCCCCATGCGTTTCGCTCGTCGTAGAAACTTCCATAATGCGTATTTCGCGTCTGCATATCGGTTTGCGGCCGAGTCTGCTTCCATTGTCGAGCTTCATCCGAATCTTCTCCTTCATCGTCTTGCGCCGAGCTATCATCATCCTCATCCTCGTCCTGAATGGCAAAAGCAGATTCGCCTTGGTTCTGTAAAGGCGGAACTTCGCTGGGGTCAAAACCGGCGCGAATCTCCTCCCCTTGGTCCGAGTCTGGATATGTTCGCCTTTTGGTAACGTTAGAGGAAGAATGCTAAGCCGGCTTACGGAATTAGACACATACACAAATAACTTGGGTTCAAGTTCATTCCATGCGGGACCACCTTCTTTTCGTGCACGAACTCTCTCAGTCTCCTCGGCATCGCTGTCTTCAACGACAAGATCAACGAGCTGGCTTCGATCAGACTTTGCTGAACTTGAAGAAGAGTGTTTGCGAAGCATTCCATTCAACATTGGCGCCCTGGACACAGATTCGCCATTTTGTGTTGCGCTGGATTCGTCGCGACCTTTGCCCTTGGTCAGAAGCTGTTTGATATTACTCTCACGCCGAGCATGATAGTCGGATGTTGGTTGTATAAGATTTCTGTTCGCAGAGGTCGTAACAAGCGAGGGCTGGGCTAGAAGCCATCTCTCTCTAGACGGTTCATTGGCAGTTATGACGGGATACTTGAATACCATTTGTTAGTTTGTGCACTCTTGCAAGGAAACCAAATCTTTTGCTCAACTTACGTGCCAATCGCCAAATTCGAGGGCTCTGGCATTGGTATATAGCGTCTCATCTTCCGGGTCAAGCTGAGCATCTTCGACTTCCATGGATGCAGCATCCCCATCGACACCATGCGGCGACACCATGGAGCGACTGGCACTACGTGGTCCACCTGGCCTTGTTTTCCCGAGCAACGGAGTCCGGCTATTGATCTGACCAGGTCTTGGAATCCAGTATTTGCCTTTGCCGCCTCGTTCATACCGCATTCCTTCCATTAAGCGGGCCACGCGCGAGCCAGATTCCGCATGCGCCAAGATATTGTCGCCAGTGTCGAAGCTTCGATACCCGTAATTCTGACCGCCAAATGTCTCCTTGGTATCTTCAATGAGATCCCGCGGCCCAAATGCGTCGCGAAACGCGTATTTGACCGGCATACGGGCGGAAGAAATGGTAATGTCTGCGTAGTCATGCCAAGAGAAGGCATACCAGTGAGCAATAGCAAAAGCAGGGAGCTCAATGCAGATGAGCGCATCTTGAATGGCTGCGGCCAAATTATCTGGGGTGTAATCCTCTACATTATCTGGAATGGCACCTAACCATACCAGAATGGAGAGAAAGAAGCCTTGCCAGTACGACGCGAAAATGATGAGCTTGATACACAAAAACTTCGGCACAGGACGGAAGGGTCGCAAATCATGAGACATGCACGCCCAGAACATGCCCAGGGAGTAGAGGCTCAAAGTCACACTGACATTGTAGACAAGGCCACTCCAAAAGTATCCGGATCGAAGCCCAATGTACCCTTCTTGGTATGAGTTTGTTGCTTTCATAATGATTGTGGCAAGGCTTAACACGGGCTTTAGCCATGTATACTGAAGGATTCCTCGTTTGATGGCAAGGAAGGTGTGAGGGTCTGAGATGTCGACCTTGGGTAAGCAATGGTTAAGTGGCCAGAGGTGGTGAACCGGGGCCCGTCCGTGCATCATGATGATAAGCGCTCGTTCGCCACCAAGGAAATTTATCAGCAACTGGAAAAATGTGTAAATGGTGAAAGCCTGTTATAGACGATTTCAGTCAGAGATAATCGCTTCAATCCAAAAGTTATTCTAAGATGGAACAAGCTGCGGTACCTCATAAATATCACGAATCGGATCTATCCAGAATGCCGCTTTGAGAGACACGATGCTTGTCCAAGAGGCGACAGAATAGATGGGCACCCTGAATGGTCAGCCAAGGTAGGACCTGGACGACTGAGCTCCCTTACATTAAAAGTATTCGAATAACATATCTCTGAAGAAGAGGCTTTCGATAATTTTTCCTGTAAAAAAGGGCATCGTAAATAAATGGTAGTTGGTCAGAAGTGTGAGAGAGGAGAAACGCACGTTTGCAGCCATATTGAACTGTATCCTTGTCAGAAAGGTATTCCATTTAGAAGACTATTACAATACGAAGCTCGACGGGTGAGATGAACTTACACAAACGACAGAAGAGTTGCCGCAAGCGACGCTACACCTGAAATGATGATAACCGCATTGGCAAGCCTTTTCCCCGTGCCTCCATTGGACGCAGTCTGGAGCATTTCAGCTCCGAAACCACTCGGGGACATGGTTTGCGCGAGCACACCCATGATGATGGCGGCTCTTGATAAGTCGTGCAAAGACGCACAGTGTTCAAGCAATCATAGCCGAATGGGAGAGGCATAAAATCCTTAGGCAGCAGTCATCGAGAATGACATTCGTCGTGGATCACACCGTTAGTTGACTCGGGCAAAGGTATCCTTGCAGTGCCAGATTCCAGATTGATGAAATAACAAACCCTCCAAGTTGTAGGCCGTTCAGTAGCTAGGAACAGAGATAGTTCATCTTCAAACCTCCTAGGTAAGGAGGCGCGTGCTTGTTTTGTGCAGAAAAGGATGGCGGTGAGTTGGGGGTGGGAATTATTTACACCCAGTTGCGTTTAGCTTCCTGAGGAAGGCACGAGGCAACAGCACTTTCCCTTTACTCCGTACCCTTCCCTACCTTACGTACCATCCCACCAAGCACCCTGCCCGCCGCCCACTTCTCGCCAAAAACCCTTCGCTTAACCACTTTCCTCGTTTGTTAAGTCGTTAGCTTTCAAGCACAGACCAGCAAAGATACATTACAGTGGCTGACGGAGCTTATAGGCATGAGCCACACTTGCTACAATCGATCTGACCCCAGATCCTCGCTACCACCTATCGCTTGTGATTTACCCTCTGTAGTACAGTACTGTAATCCACGGCATTGTTTCTCTAAACATCCTGAGCTCCGTCACTGAGCTTCTATGAACTTACGGGCAAAGCCTCTTAGTACCATCTTGACTGACCTTTCGGGTTTGCGCTTCAATGCTGAAGCGACACCATGCGCTACGCGCCATAAGACAGCTACAGTCAATGAAGCCGATCAACATCCTTTGATATTCTTTGATGCGGTCGACATGTGTGTAGGGTCGATCTGGCTCAACCAAACGCGTATCCGGAGATGGCGAACAGTAATGGCTTGGTAGCCTCATCACTGCGACTCGGCTCAAACTTTGACTGGTAGGGGACCATTTGTGCGATCCGAATGATTGTCAACAACTAATCATGTGGTGATCAGGGAGTTTCTGATAGAATTACTCGTTTGCGGCGTCTTGTGAGAAGTGCCCCCCGGTGTGAAGGGCCATCATTTGCGCGGGTTTGCTAATGTAGGGACAGATCCCTCTTCTTTCTCTTCTATTTCAATCGCGTCTTTGGTACACTGGTTTCGTACGCTCTACGCGCTTATACTTGGCATAAATATCGGGTGTACATCGACATTCAAGCACTGCAGATTTCCTTGCTCGCCGGAAGAATATTCTTCAAAGGTATACGGTACTATGGCAACAATGAAGCCATATTCGTCCAGGGCGGATATATAACATGGAGGTACTGGTTGCGGAGGGCCAGATCTGCCGATATATTCCATGATAAAAACGGCATTCAGGCGCAGCAGAGCCCTGTTACTGAGAAATCAGAGCCACAGTCGAGCGACAGTCAAAATGGGGCCGACGCCAGCAGTGAAAAAGGTGACCCAAAAGGTCCTAACCCTCTCCCATGTCGAATTGTGGTTTGGATGCAGGGGTGCGAGTGGTTCATTTACAATCGCAGTCCTGCCTACGATGCCATGATAGCTAGCATGGACGAAAGTATCGGAGGCGGGAACCCTAGCGGCGAGCATTTGCCAGACGCTGCCCACTCAACTTCCACAAGCCAGCCTTCTTTGAGAGCAAGCTCCAGCGATGCCAGTGCAAGAAAGCGCCAAACGTCCCCTCCCGTGAACGAAAGTCGTCCGTCTCAGGAGAATGTGTCCAGTATTATTCAGGATGTATCAGCTGCCGTTAGAAGCTCAGCGGAATGCACTGATCAACGCCAAGCGTCCAATTCGAGCCCCTCGCCCGTCTTTCTCCGTCTTCTACCGGTTCAGTTCACCTGCGACAGAGGAGCGATTGTAATGGGCAATGAAAATACCACGTCAATTCTTACTGCCAAGTTTGACAGAGTAGATGGAGAAATTGATGCTTCTCAGTCCCGCCCTATTGATCAGTTCAAGCAATTAATCAACCTTCAGTTTCAGCACCCTGTTGTTCAAATGAAGCCCAACATGGATTACAAGGAGCCGCAATTAACGGCTGCCTCTCGGATGAAAGAGACATCGTCAGGATTGGCCGCATCTGGCCCCGGTAAAAGTCGTTCTTGGAATTTTCGAAAACAAAGGCATAGGCTTTGGCATGGCCTTCGCGATCTCGTTCCCTTTTTCCAGTCATCGGTAGAGTCCTTTCCGTCGAGTGTCAGGGATCGTAAAGATCCTTTTTATGCGTCTATTGCTCCTTCAACATTCATTGGGGAAGATCGTTGGCTTGGTCTCACGCGATATCTGGATGATGAAGAGCGGGAGGAGCAGGACAAATGGGGCGCGGTGGAATATGCAAAATCTTCTACCATTGTTGACTCTCCGGGAATTAGTCTTAATGTTCGTTGGGATGTTGCGGGTACATTGCCTGATTCTCCGGGGCTGGGAGCGCAACCTGGACGAAAAGGCCCGGAAGATATCAATGGCGATGAACCTCCGGAATGGGCCATGGACCTTACAATTCAGGGCGGTGTTGTTCGGTATGGCCCCTGGGCAGACCGTCAGCGTGCGAACCTGCAATCATTCTTCTTCCCCTTCAGTTATCGCGACTCACCGCCAGCGCAGCCACTCAAGCCAGGACAAACGAGAATGAGCACCGTTTTCCGTCTTTTTGTTGATATCGAGGACGATACGATCCTGCGTGTCCCAACCAGAGAGGGTTCCAAGGACTGGGCGTGGAAGGGCCGTGATCACAACGTCGCCGGAGGACGTGTGCGGAGGCGGGGAAAGTCTGGTGCTGAAGCTCATGCTGGGGACACTAAGAAAGGAAGGAAGCGCTCTGGCAAAGACAGCAAGGATGACAAGGCTGTATCAGGACCCGACATTCGCCCTTTTGGCTGGCTAGATCTCAAGATATCAAACAACTCGTCGGTTAGTTATGTCATGGACATGGTGCCCGGGAGACACGGGTTTCAGAACACACTGCGTTTTGATATACGAAGTACCGAGCTTTTCACAAGCATAAACCACGACTTGCTCTGGAGAAGCGGGCCATTGGCGGTCAACTGCGATCTGTCGAACCCTTTAAAGTGGAACGCCTTGCACACGTGGAAGTTCGACATATCTTCCGCAAATCTTGAGCTTTTCTTACTTCGAGACCACATATTCTTAATCACTGACCTGGTTAATGATTGGAGCGCTGGACCGCCGCAGGATTATTACACCTTTACGCCTTTCCAGTACAATCTCATGCTTGCCTTCCCAGACTTCAAACTCTACTTGAATGCGAACGACTCCAACATTATTAATAATCCTTCAGATCTTGAAGACAATACTTTCATAATACTTTCAGGGAGAAGTTTGAATGCTACTCTAGGCATTCCAAAAATGCATTTCGAATCAGATATCAACACGATCCACTTCGACGTCGAGGCTGACCATGTTGGACTGCGACTTCGAACCCCGCCGTGGAATACGTATAACACGTTTTTGGACGCTTCAGAGGTCGCTACATTGAGGCATATTGACGTGATTGGGGATTATACTTATTATATCTCAACTTCTCGGGATCTTACCGATACAGTTCTTTTAGATGTCCGTGGCCAAGAATTTTCGATTGATCTCTACGGATTCCTCGTTCGCTATCTTATGAAGGTGAAAGACAACTATTTTGGAGATGACATTCACTTCAAAACCCTGGAGGAATATCAACAACTGGTCGCAGGAGACAAGAGCTTTTCTGAGGGCGCCGAAGCCTATCAGTACCATCAGTCAAAGACCAACGATCTTGATGTCATTCTCAGCATTGCTGCTGAGTCCAGTCGAGTCTATATTCCCGCTAATTTATACTCCGCCCGTGAAAACATCACAGTCGAGGTTGAGTTCGTTGGCGCAGACCTTCGCTTTACCAACTACTATATGGACCTTGTAGCCGATTTCAGTCCTCTGGCTGTTTCCATGGGCCAAAAGAATTTATCCGAAAGTATAGACGTGGAGAGCTCTGGTACCCAGATATTCCTCGATGGGTTCAACATAACAGGCCATCGTCTCTTTGGTCTTCCGCCAACTGAACCGACCTATGTTTGCAATTGGGATATCGCTGTCGGCGCGCTGACTGGGGAATGCTCTCCTCGATTTCTCAAGCGACTTGCATCGTCTTTAGAATCTTTTGCGTTTTCTTTCCACGATGACGAGAATGCTCTTCCGGCAAATCACCTCTCAGTCTTGCATGATGTGACGTTTCTCCGAGCAAGAATGCAACCAATCAAAATTTGGTTTCTCGCGGATGACACTGCCTTCCTAATCAGCACCGACACTATCAGTCTTGATTTCAATGACTGGGCAGGCTACCTCTTTTCAGAACGCTTGCAGCTCCTCATTCCCAGCTTTACAATGGCCTGCGTTGACATTGGTTCGGCGTCTCGTCATCGAGCCAAGGACAATCTACCCGGACTCACACATGCTTTCTTCCAAACGTCGCTTACCCTGGCAATGGCAAATCGGAATCTTGAATTTTCCACAACCAAAAAGAAGCAGCAACGGCATATTGAGTATCATGACCAACGCACTGGTCGTGCAGCTTTCCTTCTTTCGCCGTTCAATCTTAATGGAAAAGCTTCAAAGAAAACTGCAAAACAGGGCTCCATCAACCCTCCGGCTATACCAGTCCCGTTAATGCCCGATCCTGTACTTGGCCGAGCAGAGACAATTTCAGATCTGTCAAGCCAACACTCTCAATTTATCAACTCTTCTCATGCTGGTCTTCAACGCAAAGCGTCATCTTTTTCATTGAGATCATCCATTAGCTCCAGGCGAACTATGAGCATTCGGCGAGAACCGGCTTTTTCGCCATCCTTCGGGAAGGTTGGGCAGAACAAACTGACTTCACGCCACGAGAATCTACATACTTGGGACAGGTCTAGGTCGCGAACCCCTTCTGCTCATCATGGGAGAACAGAGTCTCAATATATCGGATCTGATAACACCCGGAAGGAAAGGAATGCCTCGCCAAGAGGATTTGCCTTCTCCAGCTCTTTTGCCGGGCCCCACTTTCCTCTCATGTCCATCAATCTTGACTTTACGGAAGTTCCAGAGATTCCTTCCGGTTATGCCAACGAGCAAGACTATAAAAATGAAATTTCAGCTGCGGAGGAGGTTCCGCAGCGAGCTTTCGACGAGGATATTACACATACAAGTGTAATGCTGAACCTCAACTCCGGTATTAGGGCTTATTGTAATCCAAAAGCGCTGCATTCCCTCTCCACTCTCCTTGATGCTTTGCAACCAAAAGATGCTCTGGGCATCTTGGACTCCTTTCAGATTGACGTGCTCCGCGACTTAGTCATCAATACTTTGAGAAAAACAATGGGCTCCGGCAAAGTACACGACTTTAGTCTAAGGATTCCCTACACCCACATCCGGCTGGTCAATCCGATCGATAATACATTAGAGGGTGTCAACGCCAGTGAGCAAGATCAGTACAATGTTGTCCTGGCTAAAGTCGCCAGTTCTGCGAGGATAAGAACGATGTACCAGGAGAAAGAAAAATCGGAGGAAGGGATACGATCGTACGCTGTGCATTTGTCTGTAGACTCAATAGGTCTATCTGCAAAAGAGCGTGTCAGCGCTCACATAGAAGACCATGCAACAATTCGGATGCGATTGCACGACCTTAGCTTGTGGGTAGCATATGAGCAAAACTTGTCAGCCAATATCCAATTTCGAGAATTGGAAATGTCTTCGATGGGTACACACATCGAATCGTTGGCGTCCCTAATCCATCGAACTACCATGCTTATGGAAGATCTCACAGACACGTTCGTCTTACTTGACGTCAGTCGCAAGCAGAGAATACGTTACTTTATGTTTCTGCTCACTATGTCGGGAGCTCATATTCCTGATCCTCCTTTCCTTATTCGACCATCATACATCTTGCGTGCTGCTCCTGATCACTTGAGACTTCGTGATTCCTGGAAAATCATATCTCGGTTTCGCTACATTTATCGAAGCCTTCCAGACTCTGAAAAGGAAGCTTTACGCCACAAGTGCGACGGCGACTACCCTGTTTGTCCAGATGACGCCGGCGCTCGTGTCATATCAAGTCTTGATAAGTGGCGGAGCTGGGATCTGGCGCAGATTCAAAATTGTGCTGCAATGAAAAAGTTGTACGGCTCTGCCGTCAGCCCGGAAAGCCTTGAAGAAACGGGTGTTGTTGCCGGAAAAGTCACGATTAATACTGCTGCAGTCAGACTAATCATAGATCCCGGGCCGAATCAGAGCGAGATTGTCCTTGACACTCTTTCTATCGCGCTCTCACGCAACATTCTTCCCGGGGCGAACTCTCCATTGGAACTGTCTTATACCGGCTCGGAGAGGATAATTACCCAAGTTCATTCATCGGATGTTGCGATTCGACTAAATTGGGAGCTCTGCGAATTGGTGGAGGATATTCTCAAACTTCAAAAAACAAACAACGGCCGGGTTCCTCCTCCTGTGATGGATGTTGCGTCGGCCAAAATATCGAGACCAAAAAGAGTCGAGATTCATACGATATTCTCCACAGATAGCGGGGTGGTGGCCTTGAACACTATTAATTTGAAGCTCGTCTCTGCAAGCAAAGGCCTGAAAGGGTCTGTGATGGGTACCGCTGAAAAGAACGAAGGCGGAGATTTTCCTTTTAGCATACTCGTCCACGCCGATGCTGGTTCGAGTGAGATTCTAAGTCATTCTCGACAATTATCTCAGTCAAGGTTGCGCCAGCCAAGCATCTTCATTTCTCGCAACCAGAGAAATCATGGTGGTGTCTCTGCAAGTACTTGGCAGATTGCCGGTGCGTGTGAGACGCTGACCTACAATATTAAGGAAGAAATTCTCGGACTTCTCGATATAGTCGATATGGTTATTACCGATGAGGTCGCCTATCTCCATCGGCTGATTTCTGGTCTTCAAAAGATAAGTGGTCCGCCAGAAGATGCTTCAAAAACAACCCCGGTCGCTGAGGTCTCAACTCCCCGAGTTAACCTTGCATTATTTCTGTCAAACTATCATATCAGCATTGCCCTTCTTCCATACCTAAGTTACCTTACGACCGGGACGGTGATTCGGACGTCCATGTCTCCTTCAGTCAGAAGCGATTTTTCTTGGACATTTGACTTCGATGTCAAGGAGCAGTTCCATGCCATACAAACCATTGTCAACCAGAATGCCGAGAGCGTCTCCCATCTTATCATTCCTCCTATCAATGGGCGACTATCGACATATCTGGGCACCGAAAGAACAGTCCTTGAAACTTCTATAACTGTGGAAGCTATTGATCTTGAAGCGGCCGCGATTCAGGGGTTTCTGAGTACGTTGAACAGACCTGAGATTGAGAATCTGATGAAAGACCTTGAATCAGACGTTCTCGTTGTCCGCAACCACGTAGAAGAGATCTTCGGAACCTCCAAGGGAAGCAAAGAAGTTCAACCCCCGGATGCGACAAAACCCTTTGTCTATGATGCGCATATCACAATTGCTGGCATCAACGTTTATGCTAGTACACCTGGCGACTCTCCAGGTTCGAACCAAGCTCGGCTCAACTTGAATCTCGGAAGTATACAGATGAAAGCCAAAAATCTCAACCCGAAGGATGACTTAATTTTGGTATTGCCCGAGATTCTCGTCAAATTAGCCCACGTTGAATTCAATATGGCGCGCATGGACGAAGACAGAATGCAACCTTGCGGCAATGTATCATTTGGGGCAACACTAACCTGCACATCCAAACTGAAGAACACTAGAGAACAAGTGCGGAGCTATCATCTTGATAGTGACGGATTGGATGTGAATTTGTACGCTGAGACTGCTTCTACCATCGTGGACGTTATTACGCATCTTCAAAATAGGATCAAGAAGCTAGAGTTCTCGAGAGAGGTCCAGTATTTACGCAGGCTTGGTCAGCGAAAGGCAATTGAGAGCCAACCTAAGTCTCAACTGGCGCCACAAGACACCATTTCAAGTACTATTTTGGCATCGCTCTTCGCCTTTGAACTACTAAATATTCACGTTTGCTGGATCGTTGGGTCTCCCGTTGGCGGTACAGAGCGCCGTGAAACAGAGGATCTTGTCTTGTCCCTGCAAAAGATATATCTTACAAAGCGGGAGGAAAATGAAGCGAAACTTGTGTTGAGCGATCTCCAGTTGCAAATGGTTCCCAACTCTTGGCCAAAGCGCCAACGTTCCATGAATTCGGCCCTGCTTCCTGAAGTCGTTTTTAATGTCGCTTACGTCTCGGGGAAGGAGGGTCAACGGTTCGCTTTTCAGGCAGCAGGCAAAAGCCTTGATGTTCGCCTCACCTCCTCCTTTATCCTTCCGGCGGATGATTTGCGGCAATCCTTGGCCAAAGCAAGCCAACTCTTAAGGAATGCATCCGGCAATTGGAAGGCACCGCCAATCTCGGGCTCTGAAGGATCACAGGGTCTCTTCAGCAAAAAGAAGTTGGCGTCTCTGCTAATTGATGCTGACTTCGCCGGCGCTGTCGTCTATATGCAGGGAAGGAAAACCCAGGCAGACAGGTCTCACGCGGGGTTCAGTCATCTTTTGCATCATGGCCAATATGGAAGGTTTGGTCAGAATGAATCCAGTCCAAACGTAACCCTTCGAGCGCCAGGAGCTGCGATCAAAATTGAATATAAGTCTTTGGGTCCGATTGATCCTTCTCTCAATGCCGAAATTCAGATCAATGCCTCAAATAACACGATATATCCGACTATTGTGCCCCTGATATTAGAGATTTCTTCAAGTATCAAGGAGGTAGTAGGCGATTCAAATGGAGATGATCAAAAATCAGTTTCGGGGGTATCCCAGTCGAAGTCTTTAGATGAAGAGACTCTGCTTGCGGTGGATCCTAACAGTGTGCTTGGCAAATGTAGGGTGAACATAGGATTTCGCATCTGCAGACAAGAGTTTTCGCTCAGCTGTCAGCCAATTGCCCGAGTTGCGGCCACTGCCCAGTTCGATGATGTCTACATGACTGTCAATACTATTCAAACTGCTGAGCATGGCCGTTTTCTTGCTCTCGCAACAACTTTTACAAATTTCCAAGCGACTGTGCAGCATGTATATTCTCGCGAATCCACGGCAAGCCTCGAAGTACGGTCCCTGGTTCTTTCCTTCATGAACAGCAAGCATTTAAGCGGGAAAAGCGGAATATCTGCTGTGCTCAAGGTCAGTCCGATAATAGCGCATATAAACATGAAGCAACTCCAAGACTTTTTACTCTTCCGGGAGATATGGACGCCTCCAGAAGTTCGGCATGCAAGCAAAGCGCAGCTTCCCGTACCGTCACAAGAGCCACAGGCATATCTCGTTCAACGTTACAAGCAAGTGGCTGCAGCTAGCGCATTTCCATGGAATGCTACAGCTGCTATCGCCAAGCTTGACATCCGACTTGATTTTGGCCAGGCCTTAGGCAAATCGACGTTCATAGTCTCAGATCTCTGGGCATCATCGAGCAAAACAACGAATTGGGAGCAGAACATGTGTCTAGGATTCGCCAGCGTCAAAATAGACAGTGTGGGTAGGTTGAGTGGCTTTGTCGAATTGCAGACGTTCAAGGTCCGCACATCCATACAATGGCCAGTCAGGAACGAAAGCATCAATCAAACGCCATTGGTTTCCGCTTCATTAGGCTTTGGTCGTCTTCGCGTCAAGGCTGCTTTTGATTACCAAGTCTTCCTCATTGCGGATATCACGGCATTCGAGTTCTTGATGCATAATGTTCGGGATCCGGGACAGTCCAATTCAGATCGCCTCGTCGGTATCCTCGATGGCGATGGGGTGCAGGTTTTCTGTACAGCTACAAGTGCGGCTCAGGGTTTGGCTTTATACCAGACAATTGTTCGCTTCATACAGGAGAAAAAATCCGCCTACGAAGCTTCGTTGAGGGATATAGAGAGGTTTTTAATGCGGAAATCATCCCAGAGCCAGCCTCCTCCTCAATCGCTCGGTCACACAGCAAAGACACATGACCGACCGATAACTAGTCCCATATCTTTACAAACTGACGTCATGGTGACTCTCCGAAGCGTGCATGCGGGCGCCTTTCCCAGCACTTTCTTTGATAGTCAGATTTTTAAATTGGAAGCCCTTGACATGCAAGCTCGCTTTGCAGTGAGGATGGAAAATGGGAAGATCCACAGCGGTCTTGGCTTGAACCTCGGGCAGCTTTCTGTTGCGCTATCTGCAGTTCGACGCCCGAACGTCCCAAAGGTTTTGGGAGAAGTTGACGACACGGAGCTCATTGAATGTGCCAATGACAGCCGCGGCGGGACAATCTTAAGAGTGCCCCAGACAGTTGCTACGATGCAAACTTGGCAGGTTCCAGACTCGAACCATATTGATTACATTTTCAGAAGCTCTCTCAAAGGAAAGGTTGACGTCGGCTGGAATTACTCTCGCATCAGTTTCATCCGTGGAATGTGGGCGAATCACTCTCGCTCTTTAGCCCTGAAGCTTGGGAAGCCGCTGGCTCAGTCGACTTTCCAGATAACGGGCGGGCCAGAGCCTGACGATACTGGGAAAGATACAGCATCCAAGCGTGCTGACAGTGAGCAAAACAAAATCACCGCCGTGGTTAACGTTCCCCAGTCCAAATATGAATACACGGCACTTGAGCCCCCCATCATTGATACGCCACAATTAAGAGACATGGGAGAAGCAACCCCTCCTTTAGAATGGATTGGACTCCACAGAGATAGGCTGCCCAACGTCACTCATCAAATCCTGATCGTCTCACTGTTAGAGATTGCCAGAGAAGTGGAGGATGCATATACGAAAATTCTTGGTTCTTCTTGATTGCTTTACTTTGATATCATTTTGTTACTCGTTCACCAGGCGATGGGAAAGAACAAGGGGTAAATGGCGTTTGTGTCAGGTTGTTCTCGGTAGATACTGTATTATTTGTCCATGTTCGTCCATAAGATTACGGCCTCTGCGTACCTATCCCACAAAACTAGGTTCGCGTGATAAAAAAGTTTTTTATCACAACACAGATATCATTGCTGATTGAATTGCTGATTTCATAACCTTGTTCTAATCTTGTTGCCTGAAATTTTTCACATGATTGATCTCGCCTCTTAAGTGGGAGTTATGCTGTGTTGTTAAGATATGGTTGTGAGTCAAGGAGTCAGCCCGGATTGATATGACTCATTGTTGAAACTTTGTGTATGTTAAAATGCTATTTTCGGGATACTTCCGTCAAAACAAATGACGGTGAAAAATGTCATCGCAGCCGTCGAAATTTTCCGGATTCGTCGTATGTGAATCGATTTCTGCAGAAAAAAAGCTGGTGAGACGTTCGATTGACAAGGTGACATGACTGGTCGAGTGTGAGAAGCAGTCACCGTTAAGCGAGGGGGACATGAGGGGCATTCAATTTTTAGCGCAGGATTTGAAAGCAGCGTCGCCCCACATATCACCACATCCTTTGCTCCCGATCTTCTTCCTTCAAATCATCAATCTCCCGCAGATTAGGGACCTCTCTCAATCTCTCAATCAACTTTTTGCACCGCCCCAGACGGTAGGAGGCTCAAGTGCATTTTAAGATCCGACTCGAGCAAGCTCTCGTCGTTGGAAAAGGGAGGGGTATCCTCATTTGCGTTTCGACGTCATAATAAAAGTTTTTTAAGGGAGTTTTCATTTCAATACCGCAACCATGGTCAAGTAAGTGGTCAATCAACTTTTTTTTTTCTTGGAGTGCTACGTTTGCTGGTACGATGGCGCATGAGGCGTCTTCGTTGAATGCGCGTCAAGCTCTGTTCCAGACCTTTGATGAAATGAACAGCTGCTAACATTGCTTCCCAACAGCTTCACGATCGATGAGGTACGTCCACAGGAAAGCTCTCCATGAGAGCCATCAGCACAAATTCATCACCAAGCAATCGATACTGATCTGAGTTCTAGATCCGTGGTCTCATGGACAAGCCGGCAAACATCCGTAACATGTCGGTTATTGCCCACGGTGAGTTGATAAAGTTTTTGTGCCCCGCTTTCAAGGGTTGGGGCGGTGAGCTGACATTGGCATAGTCGACCACGGTAAGTCCACCTTGACCGACTCGCTCGTCCAGCGTGCCGGTATCATTTCGGCCGCCAAGGCTGGTGAGGCCCGTTTCACCGACACCCGTCAGGATGAGCAGGACCGTGGTATCACCATCAAGTCCACTGCCATCTCTCTGTACGCCCAGCTCCCCGAGGGTGAGGACGTCAACGAGATCCCCCAGAAGGTTGATGGCAACGACTTCTTGATCAACTTGATCGACTCTCCCGGTCACGTTGACTTCTCATCTGAGGTTACTGCTGCCCTTCGTGTCACTGACGGTGCTCTCGTCGTCGTCGACTGCGTTGAGGGTGTCTGTGTCCAGACCGAGACTGTCCTTCGTCAGGCCCTTACCGAGCGTATCAAGCCCGTCGTTGTCATCAACAAGGTCGACCGTACCCTTCTTGAGCTTCAAGTTTCCAAGGAGGACCTCTACCAGACCTTCGCCCGGACGATCGAGTCCGTCAACGTCATCATCGCCACTTACTTCGACAAGGCTCTTGGTGATGTCCAGGTTTACCCCGACAAGGGTACCGTTGCCTTCGGTTCCGGTCTTCATGGCTGGGCTTTCACTGTCCGTCAGTTCGCCGTCAAGTACGCCAAGAAGTTCGGTGTCGACAAGAACAAGATGATGGAGCGTCTCTGGGTAAGAAATTCTCCAATTGGCGACTGCTCTTTGCCAAAGCTGACATGGAAATGTAGGGCGACAACTACTTCAACCCCAAGACCAAGAAGTGGACCAAGAGCGGCACCCACGATGGCAAGCCCCTTGAGCGTGCTTTCAACCAGTTCATCCTTGACCCCATCTTCAAGGTCTTCAACGCTGTCATGAACTTCAAGAAGGATGAGATTGACACTCTCCTCACCAAGCTCGACATCAAGCTTGCCAGCAACGAGACTGAGCTTGAGGGCAAGCAGCTCCTCAAGACTGTCATGCGCAAGTTCCTTCCCGCTGCTGACGCCCTCCTTGAGATGATGGTCATCCACCTTCCTTCGCCCGTCACTGCTCAGCGCTACCGTATGGAGACTCTGTACGAGGGTCCCCACGACGACGAGGCCGCCATTGGCATCCGTGACTGTGACCCCAAGGGTACTCTCATGCTTTACGTCTCTAAGATGGTGCCAACCTCTGACCGTGGCCGATTCTATGCTTTCGGTCGTGTCTTCTCTGGTACCGTCCGCTCTGGTCTCAAGGTCCGCATTCAGGGCCCCAACTACACCCCTGGCCGCAAGGAAGACCTCTTCGTCAAGTCTATCCAGCGTACCATTCTCATGATGGGTCGTTACATTGAGCCCATTGATGATGTTCCCGCTGGTAACATTCTCGGTCTGGTTGGTGTTGACCAGTTCTTGCTCAAGTCTGGTACTCTTACCACCCTCGAGACTGCCCACAACATGAAGGTCATGAAGTTCTCCGTCTCCCCCGTCGTGCAGCGTTCCGTTGAGGTCAAGAACGCCCAGGACCTGCCCAAGCTTGTTGAGGGTCTTAAGCGTCTCTCTAAGTCTGACCCTTGCGTCCTGACTTCCATCTCTGAGTCCGGTGAGCACATCGTTGCTGGTGCCGGTGAGCTTCACTTGGAGATTTGCTTGAAAGATCTTGAGGAGGACCACGCTGGTGTTCCTCTCCGCATTTCCGACCCTGTTGTGCAGTACCGTGAGAGTGTCAACGGCGAGTCCAGCATGACTGCCCTCTCCAAGTCCCCCAACAAGCACAACCGTCTCTACGTTACCGCTCAGCCCCTTGGCGAGGAGGTCTCTCAGGACATCGAGCAGGGCAAGATCAACCCTCGCGACGACTTCAAGGCTCGTGCCCGTATCCTTGCCGACGAGCACGGCTGGGATGTCACCGACGCCCGCAAGATTTGGTGTTTCGGTCCCGACACCACTGGTGCCAACTTGCTTGTTGACCAGACCAAGGCTGTTCAGTACTTGAACGAAATCAAGGACTCTTTCGTCTCTGGTTTCCAGTGGGCCACCAAGGAAGGTCCCATTGCCGAGGAGCCCATGCGTGCTGTCCGCTTCAACGTCATGGATGTCACTCTTCACGCCGATGCCATCCACCGTGGTGGTGGTCAGATCATCCCCACTGCTCGTCGTGCGCTGTACGCCGCTACCCTCTTGGCCGACCCCGGTCTCCTCGAGCCCGTCTTCTTGGTCGAGATCCAGGTCCCCGAGCAGGCCATGGGTGGTATCTACGGTGTCCTCACCCGGAGAAGAGGTCACGTCTTCTCCGAGGAGCAGCGTCCAGGTACCCCTCTCTTCAACGTCAAGGCTTACCTGCCCGTCAACGAGTCTTTCGGTTTCTCCTCAGACCTCCGTGCCGCCACCGCCGGTCAGGCCTTCCCCCAGTCCGTCTTCGACCACTGGCAGCTTCTGCCCGGAGGCTCGCCCCTCGACCCCAGCTCGAAACCCGGCCAGGTCGTGCAGGAGATGCGGAAGCGCAAGGGTATCAAGGTCGAGGTTCCCGGCTACGAAAACGTAAGTTCTATTCTTATGCAGCGCTTGATGTCCAGAATAAACGCTAACATGTTTTGCAGTACTACGACAAGTTGTAAAGGTCTTCTTTCGGTATTGGAGTACTTCTGCGGGTCATTCAACGCATGTTGCTTCGGCAAGGTTTTTCAATGCTACTCTTGACGCGTTATGAGAGTAGGAGACCTTTCGTACATGTAGCCTGCAATTAGAATGAAGTTTACGATTTGGTTGCGAGACTGCCCTCGCATGCCAATTTTGTTTGCTTGTTACGTCTCATATGATCATCTATGTAGTTAACCAAGAAATTCATTTCGGCTTGCTTTTATGTTGAAAGAAAATGATGACATAAACGTGTTTTTTGGTTGTGATGATAATGATGAAAAGAAAACTTGAAAACAAGAATTTTCAGGCTGTGATGTTTACGGCGTTCTTTTGCGAGAGGTATCTTTCGTAATTCATGAGACAGTCCGCTCTTATCAGCTAGCTTGGATGCACTTCAGGTCAAATTCCATCCACCTTGCTGTAGAAGCAATAGTAGATGTGCATGACAGTAAAAGTGATCGTATCATCACGTGATAACATTTTGGGAAGCTGGGTGGAAGTGCAAGCATTATCGTAGGCGATCAGCGTAGGGTACGGTACATTTGTACCTCGAGTCCTCCGCTTTACGACGCTGAAAATATACGTGAACAAGCGCAGATTCGCATTGTCGTGGATGCTTTGTCTGTGGAAAATACTAAAGCAGCCCTGATCCAGAAAGGATTCCGCAAAGTCGAATGTCTATCACTGCAGTAATTTATTAGTGCTATGCCTGAAGAAGCACCAACTCACAGCAATAAACACGCCTAGGTAACCAGGTACTCGATTCCCGCCACGCGCTCCAAGCTAGCCAGTTTGTTGCGAGAATCCAGCCCTCAAGGGCATAACTGGCGATTTAACCTCAGCTTACAGCTGTCGCGAAGGAGATTTGTGCAGCTACATCTGCTGCTGTACCATTCAAAAATGCAGTTCACCGATGAAGAAGCTGTCCCGTTAAAGAAATGGGTAGTCAAGAGGCTTGAAGACATGTACGTTGGATCGATATTCAATTGGCCCATTTGTGCGCGGAACTAAATACTAACAACGATGCGCAGCTCTGATGCGGACTCAGATGTTCTGGCCGACTACGTGCTCGCACTCATTCGTTCTGATGCCTCTGAGGAAGAGGTCAGACAGGCTTCAGTTGAAAGCTTGGAGGATTTCTTAAAGGAGCGTAAGTAGCTCAAGTCCTAAAAAAGTGGATATTTCAGGAGACTTTTCTAACAATATCTTCGTCAGATACCGCCAGCTTCGTCGAGGATATATTTCAAAGCGTCAACGCAAAATCGTTTCTGCCGAGTCACTCACCTCAGCCCCCTCAAGCTTATGCTCCTCCCACATACCCTACCGCTCCCGCTGCTCCAGTCCATGAAGGTTTTAGCCAGCATCCCGTAAGTTCAGGGGCAAACGGAAAACCAGATCAGTCTCGGAAACGGCCTTATAATGATCGCGAGAGTGCCGAGCCTAGCGATGGTCGCGACCTACATTACAGCCGCGGAGGCGGTGAAAGATCAACGAAGCAGATGCGTAGAGGTGGGGGACGAGGTGGCAGATTCGATAACTCTGGGTCCCGAAACTCATGGCAAGGCGCACCACCCAGTCGAGACGTTCCTCCGCAAGGCCTCCCAGGCTTGATCCAAACTCCGAACATAGGCTTCCAAGGAATGCCGCAACCTCCGCCAGGCTTTCCATTCGATCCATCTGACCCAATGACTGCGATATTAGCTATGCAAGCGATGGGCTTTCCTCCTCTACCTGGAATGTCACCGTTTCCCACCGCAGGGTCACCGCAGGGATTTGGTCAAAGTGGCCAGCGGTCATCTGGCGGCGGATTACCGGTTAAGAAAGTTGGGCAAAGGTGTAAGGATTACGATGAAAAAGGGTACTGCGGTATGGGAGCAATGTGTCCATATGAACATGGGCAGGAGCACATCGTGGTATCAAGCCAGAGTGAAGGTATTATCCCTTTCTCTTTCTCCCTCTTCAACGCGCAGCCAACAATGGCTTGCTAACCGGGCAACTAGAGTACGATCCACACAATTCTTCCATTATGACTGACATCCAATCAACATCACGCAATGGCCACGGGGGTGAACGTGGTCGTGGCCGCGGCAGAGGCCGGAATGATCGGGGTGGCTTTGCCTCATCACGAAAAGGCCGGTCGGAGTATTCTATTGCCGGCCCTAACCAGGATAGATCTATTACAACGATTGTTGTGGAGCAGATTCCTGAAGAACAATGCAATGAATCAACTGTTCGGGCGTTTTTTTCCGAGTTTGGGAATATCCAAGATATCACGTTGCAGCCATATAAGCGCTTAGCGATGGTGAAATATGATGACTGGGCTTCCGCAAAACGTGCTTATGACAGTCCAAAGGTTATATTTGACAATAGATTTGTCAAAGTCTATTGGTTCAAGCCAGAGAGGCATTCGACGCCTACCAGTGCCTCTGCAAAAGGCGATGAACCGATGATCGATCTTGAGGAGTTTGGGAAGAAACAAGCAGAAGTACAAAAGGCTCATGAAGAAAAGATGAAGAGGCTGAAGGAAACAGAAGCTGCGAGAGAAGAGCTCGAAAAGAGGAGAGAGGAGCTTCTACGCAACCAACAGGAAGAAAAGAAGAAGCTTCTGGAGAGACTGGCCGCCAAGACTGGCTCCAAGACCCCCAGTGCGAGTCCTGGTCCAACGGGAGAGGGTGCCTCTGAGGAGAGACAAACGACGGACGACAAGTCTGGCTCCCAAACTGAAGCATTGAGAGCGCAGCTCGCAGCTTTGGAAGCTGAGGCAAAAAGCCTTGGATTAGACACCAACCTTTCAGAGGATAGCTACTCGACACGTGGGCGTGGTCGTGGAAGAGGCGTGTACCGCGGTCGAGGCGGTTACATCCCCCGTGGTCGGGGCTATAACCCATACTCCGCAAGCTACCGCGGCGGATGGGCAGGAGCTCGCGGCGGCAGAGGTGGGTCCTCTCATAAACTCGACAACCGAACCAAGAAGGTTGCAGTATCTGGTGTCGAATTCGACGCTGCCAAGGACGAGGGCCTTAGACAATATCTTCTTGTAAGACTCCCATCGACCGAAGCTCACTCACTCCTCAGTTTCCTTGCCCCGAGGGACTCCCCCAAGACTCTCACCACGCGCGCTAATTTCTCTATCGCTTCAGGGAGTCGGCGAATTTGAGCACATTGAACATAGCCCCGAAAAGCCAAATTCCCAAGTCATCACATTTAAAGATCGCGCTACTGCTGAAAAGGTAAGCATTGTCGTCCACTTGCGCTTACACACTGTCCCATCCCCAGAAACTAATTTAGCTTCGTCCCTACAGTTTCTCTATACCAGTTCAGATATTCCTGGTGTCGGCAAGGTAGAGCTTTCATGGGTCAATACGCCTCTTCCGCCAGTATCCCTGCCGCCAAAGCAGCCTGAACAACCCTCACAAGACAACGACGCACAAATGGGCGATGGTGATGCCACAGCCGCAGATAGTGCTCGGCATGCCGATGTCGATTATGACGTTGCGGATGATGATGATCGGTGGATGACTTGATTGGGTTTTGTCCTTGCTTTTTTTTCATGTGTATTAACTGGAACGAACATTTTCCCATAGCGGGTTATGGTTGGGTATTCATGGTTTTCACAGCAAGATATGCTTGCTTGCTTTTGTGCCTCGGTTTCATCTGGCCCCGTCTTCTCAACCCCGTCTCTTGTCTCTGCGCAGCAGCACTTGGTACTTGCAAAAGCACAATACATTAGCGAAAGGAGAAATACAAAGAAAAGTCTTGCAGCCTTTGATACTTTTGCCCCCTCTTCTCTTTATTTGCCTAATACATGTAGTCTTTTGGTGGTAGACTAGAAGTCATAGCAAACCTCCTCTTGCTTTTTTGAACATGATCTAACTTATATAATTCTGTGTCATGTCTATAATATGGCAGTAATATACATACCCATTTACGTTGTTTCCTCTCGGCGTTTTAAGCCTTGTGGTGTTGCAACTCGATTTCAGATAATGTCAATCTATTCTTCGACTTTGTTAGATCACCGTGTACATGCCTATTGCACCAAAATATCTTGTTTCTTTGATCTTCTGGTATGTCGTCCTCTTAGCCACGCCCTTATGAGCTGCGATCAAGTCGCCCTTTTGTCACAACATTCCTGAATCCCACCGTTTACAATCATCCTTCTGTACTGCTACGCCTCACTGATCGAGTCATGCAACAACGAACTGTTTAATGTCCCCATCTCTGCTCATATCTTCTAACATGGAGAATATACATAGACGTCTACCATCATTCTTCATGAACGCAATACTACCAAACCTCCAGTACTTAACACGTTGTCGTCCCAGTCAAGTTCAGTTTTGGTTCTTTATTTTTTTACGTGCTCCCGTGCATTGTTTTGATTGTCTTCCTCTATTTTCTAGTCTATTTTGTTCTCTGTCTAGGATGATGCTCTTTTTCTCTTTCTTTTCCTTTTCCTTTAAATTTTCTTTTTCGTTTTATTTTTGATTTTATTTATTTATTTGTTTGCATCTTATTTTTATTATTTCACCCCAAGAATTTAATTTACAAAGAAGAAAAGTAAAAAGAATATTTCAAATTTCGAGCAACTTTCCAGTAGAAGAAAAAATACAGTGAACAATACTTACATAAATAACAATAAAAATAGTAATAATAAAACAACTAACGTATAAAAGGCAGTTCAAATAAATTCATGGTCCGGAGGTCATTAGGGCTAAAGTAGCTCCAAACCCCAAACCACCATATCTGGGAAAAATCACGGTCCAGAGAAGTCTAACGATAGCCTAGGGGGCACAACAACAATGGCTTTAACGGTTGATGATACAACAAGCGGTGGGATGGCCGAGTTGGTTATGGCGCCAGGTTAAGGTCACCTTAACAGAGTTGCTTTCTTAGTAATTTCCTGGTTCGGGAAACTGAGCGTGGGTTCGAGTCCCACTCCCATCAACAATCTTTTTGTTCCTTTTTTTTTGCTCCGTTATGCTTCGAAGCACTGTTCGAATTGTCTCGCCTTGAATTGTCTTGCTTTGAATTGTTCTTTTCTTTTTTTGAGTGTTCGAAAAAGGTGAAATCTTGTCGCGTCAACAGGATCACTATCACGTCAAGGGTGTCTCTGCGATCAGGTAGAAGGTTTGCCGTAAAGTACAGGCTGCGTAGTATTGCAATAAATGTGGAAACAAATGCATTCGTGCATCGTCCATGGACTGTCAACGGGTTACTGGGTACAATCACAATGAAGGTCTTCAGGGACTGGCAAGTAATATAAATGACTATATTGTCAAAGATATTGGTCGTGCGGTAATGATACAGGGGCGATAATCTAGGGGGCTTCTGTGACAATCTTCTGCTACGCTCTGACTGACCATTTTCACTTTTCAACTTTCAAAAAAACATCAATCGATCAAATCACCCAGCCCTAGTAATCCTGGACCCATCACCAAAGGAATCGCATCTCGATTGTAGCGTGTTTCAAAAAACAAAAGAATTATCCGGGTATGAAACGCATCTGCATTATCTATACACACACGCCTCCAACAAGAAACGATCTTCGTGATGGCGAAAAGTAAAACATAGAATTACCCCTTTCGGTTTTGTCCTCTCCAGCACTCCCCGTCAATTGTATATGGCTAGTAAATTTACAGCTTGGAAATGATGGCAGCGGCGTACTCGTGGGTCTTAGCCTTGCCACCAAGGTCACCAGTAAGGGTCTAGAATGGCAAGTTAGCAAAAGAGATATTTGATATCGTAGATGGTG